AGACCAATACTGCCGGCATAGCCAAAATCGTACTTGTACATCTCCTGCTTCGCTTTCTTGAAGCGCTCCATATGGAACCCAGACTCCACCAGCGCAAAGAAATTGAGCATATAGACTCTGGAAAAAAACCCAAGAGTAAGAAAAATGAAAACGACGAAAACCCCCAAGTTAGGGTCTTTAACGTCCATGACCTCGTTGGAGAATGCAAAGTGATAGGCGTGAAAGAGTAACTCTCTGGAACAAATCTGGTCCACTGAGCACGTCGAGGTCCCAGGTGCAGCCGAAATCTGGGATGCAAGACATTCGTATGTGGGATACTTGGAGACCGTATCCGCACTGGCTTTCCATATGTATACTGACGCTATCCACTGAACGACGGCCAATGTGTATAGTGTCCATTTTGTAACCCATGCTGTTGTAGGGGCATGTTCGATAGCACAATTGTATGGATGAAAGCTGATCAGGTAACCATACTTCCATAGTGATACCCAGCTGAGCATCCCAGGCGCAGGGAATTCTGTTGGGTTATTGAGATGTCGCCCAAAGTCGATCCACCACCAAACCGCCGAGACCACATCCCAAGCCATGATACCCCAGACGTCCCATTCGATTTTCTTGCATGGGTTTCTCCTGTTGCTGTACAGGGCTTTTTGTAGCTTTCTGAGCTGCCACAGGGCAAAAAGGAAGATCATGGCAGCTTTGGTATACGCGGCAATAGTTGTCGCCCAAAAGGCCGAAGGACGCGGCGAAGATGGGACGATCTTGAATTCGTTGAAGCAGCTCACTACCTCGCACCAGTCGTAAGAGGACTTTCGAGTTTCCGAATTGGTCGAGTCGAATATATTGAGCTTTGATACGTAGCCAAAATTTTGGGCCACAATGTCATCTTGGCCCAGTCTTAAGATGGACTCAATGGCAGTGCAGTTATTGACGACAGGCGGAGGTACGTTGTAACAATCCTTGAACATGGAGTTCTTGTACAGCGCGTACTCCGAGCTGTTCTGGTCGAAGCCGTTATTGTCTGTCTTGACCGCAAACAGGACTATGGCGACAACTGCGATTCCAATCAAAGAGGCTAAAACCACAAGGCCGAACCATATAGCCCCTGTTGTTGCACGTCGGACGACCTTGTTCTTCGTTCGCGCAGGGAAAGCTGGAAACTTGCAATCGTTGACTGCTTGATTATTAGTTAACGGCCCAACGTGCTGCCGAGGTAGACAAGTACGTACTCTCGTCTCGATTGATATTGGTCTCTACTGTGCTATACTCAAACCCATAGGAGTCTGTCTCCGAAGGGGAGTTATGGTACCGTGGCATATTGAGTGGATGACTTGATATTCACAAGTAGCTGAAGGCAAAGGGGGAATATTCCAGTGAATATATACTTCACGAGGCTGCCATACACTCTTCTGTGTCCAAAACCAACAAATAAACATGGAGGATTATCTCCCTGAGCCTTGCGCCTCCACGAATTCCGACTTGCTATCGCCAAGGGAATGGTGCATGAAGTATAGGATCACTATGCTGCAATAAGTTTAGCCTGCCCATTGTTTATACGCCAAATACTCTCTTGGGGCTCATGCCAAGTCAAGGCGCAATCCACTTGTAGGCCAAGAGTTCTCAGCTGAATACTGCTTGTCTCATAGACGGAATGCAGGACCAGTGACGTTTTGTATCCGGGGTCATACTCTTTGGGGGTAAAACATAGCCACAGCCAGGCACCAAGTTCCCTTTCAATGAACCTATGCTGAGTTCTGGCTTTAGTGTAAAATAAAGAGATACATAGGAGTCCAGGCAGCGTAATGGTGTGTGGAATGCTGTGGTCTTCTCTTCTTCTTCACTTCTCTTCTTTTCATAATTTGCTTTCTTTCCCTATCTTCACTGGGTGTCTCTGGGTATTGCCCGAGTCATGTTTGCTGAGCCATGCTACTTTGGTCGCATTGCATTTACGAACTATTCAGCCATCACGCCCTAGCCGCAGGATCCCTTAGGGCTACCACCAATAGCAAGTTGCCAAGGCCAACACTCAACTAGCCCTGTTAGAACTATAATTAACTTAAAGCCCGAGAAAACGTCCCCGAGTGCGACGCTTGGGGAGATTCAGGACTGATCGCCGTCCCTTTTCTTATCCGTCTACCATTAACTTGAAGCCCGAGAAACATCCCCGAGTGTGAGGCTTGAGAAATCCAGGACTGATCGCCGTCTCTCTCCTTTCTTGTCCGTAAGTGTAACGCCTATCATTCTGTCGCATTCTCAAATGGTATCGGGATGTATTCAGGAACTATGAACAGACTACCTAGTGAAGCACCATTTTTACAGAAGCGTATCCCAACCGTAACACCGTTCCCCGAATTAAGCATAAGCATAAGCCACACCAACTCCGATACTAGTAGACAAGATAGAATACTATTGGAAACAAGAATGGCAGCGAAAAGTTGAATATTGGGGTCTTCGTTCATGTACAGTTGAAGGCCGGTCGAGGTTGGTAGATGATGCAGATTGGCGGAAAGCGGATGATTTTGATGAAATATGTGATTGGGTAGGTGATTATTCGGCTTTAATGGATGTAGGGGATCCCCTGTCTGGTCGAGTTGTATCGTTGAGCAGATATAGCTGGATGGGCCGTTTTTGGCATGCTGCCGTGCTCTTAGACGACTGGTAAATGGAAGTTATGCAAAGCAAGCGCAGAAAAGCGGTGATAACTTATCACATATCCAGGAGAGTTGGGATATTCGCATCAAGTCAGTGAGTCGAGAGAAGCCAGGAGTTCAACGAGCAATCTTCAACGTTCTAGTCTACCCCAGCGTAGAGATCGACAACAATATTAATTGCGGCCACGAGAATCTCCGCCGCGATCAAGACGATAACTGATAACTGTTAGATGAATCGCTATTACGTTCGCAGTAGGACTTACCAATCCATTCGAGATATTCGCCGTGACGGTGGGTCAATTGATCCTTGAGGACTGCAAGCAAATCCGCAATAACATCCAGTCGCTCCGTCAACAGACTGACCCGTTGATCCATCTCCAGGTAGCTTCGGACTGCCTGGTACACAGGCTCCAGTTGCGGTTCTGCCCAAAAAAGTTCAGGGCTATCTAAGACAGATCCCTGTAAATGGATGTTGATGCGGAGAATGAACAGCTCCCCGATCTGCATGTTGATCTGCTTGCGTGTGAGATTGACACTACCAGTCTGCGCAATCTGGGCAGGCAGAGGTGCGGTGTCGGTAATTGTTTCAGACAAAAGATCTTCGAAAAGCGAGGTCTTGACTGATTGGGCTAGAGCATGAGAGATAGCCAGCTTGATCATGTTGTTGCGTGGGTCGCGAAGAGAGATGAAGTCGTTGTAAATCCTGGCCTGGTATTCCCGCGCATAGTAGAAGTTGAAATTCTCAATCTGCGTGTCATCAGGGCTCAAGATGGAGGTCGCAAATTTCGAGATATCGGACAAGAATCGTGATTCTTGCGCTGGGGACATTCCCCATATTACGACTGTGCCGTAATCGAAGAGAAATATTTCCGGTGTGTGAATTGTTGTGTCAATGTCGGGGGTATCTTGGACCACTGCTTGTTCGGTATGGTCTGCTGAATGTCCAGCCTCTTCATGCAAATCAATCAAATCATCCCTTCGGCTCTTTTTGTTGTCTTCCACCTCCACGGCACTGTCCGAGTACCTTCTTTCGCTGGGTCGTCGCTCAGGGTGTCCATTACCACCTGGGTCGGGGAATATCAAACCCTTCTGCTTTTCTTCGTATTGGTAGTCAAAAGGCGAGTAAACACATTCGTCGTAAAGTTTGGGATTCGCTCCACGAGTCTTGCTCCGCGACTTGAGGAACTTGGTCACGCCCTCCAACCGATACGAATTGGCCGTACAGTAAGCTGTGACTCGTGGGATGCGATCGCGGTCAGCTTTGCCTAGTCGGGCGGCGTGGCTTCGTGCGGCGGGGTCCTTAATTCGAGTGATTTGCGAATAGACGTCCCGAGGGAAATCACCATCAAAGCCTTCTTCCTCTTCGGTCACCGGATCGGGGAGCAACTTTAGTTTCTGCGCTTTCTTGGTGGTTCGCTGCGGTCCAATCTTAGATGCCGGGTGCGATGGGTATGACGAAGCGTTGAAGGGAGCAGCCCCATGGCTGTTGCGACGGCGGAGTTTGCTGTTCAACGCTGAGAGCATGGGCTGGCTGCCCGGACGGGGCTGGGTACCCTGGGCATTGACATTGAGGACTGGAGGTGAGCCTGTCTGCAGGGGTCGGAATGTAGGATCGGAGGTAGAGGAGGTGCCATAAGTGCTGATTTGCGTGAGCGGATTGAATGATACCGACCGCGGCGTCCGGCTTGCCCGTGGTGACGTAGAGGCTGGATTGTGCTGAGGCAGCAACGGGGAATTCTCTTCTGGCGGCATGGCTAAACTGAAATGGTAAGACTTAGACGACAAGCGCCATTGGCGGGATTGGAGTACAGGAAAAAGCAAGAGAAGAAAAAGGAAGCTGGGAGCTCCCTGGCTTGCACGTGTTCCGCCTTATTAATCGGTGACATCGTCACTTTTTCCAAGTTTGGTCTGCAGAGATCTACACATGCATGCTTGAGATACTCCATATATTTACTGAAAGTTATCTATTGTTACATGGTATCCTTTGTTTGTTTGAATTCAACAGTTATTGGACTCCGTAAATGACTAAATTGCTATGTACATGACTTGGTTTCGTAGGTTTCACTAACACCGAACACCATGCAACCTTCGGAGACGAAAGAACCAGCACCATCGATTGGTCACAAAATGGCTGCAGATGGCGGCGGGTTGCATGCCCAGTCGACACCGACTTTCACGTTGCGCCAATGGGGCCCAGAAGACAGGGAAACATAAACTCAACGCAGTGTGCGTGTTGCCCGAGTAATGGCTTTGGTAGGCCGCAGTAACATGCGGCTTCCAGACGTATTGGAGATATGCGACAGTGGAGAATAATCGCTTTTAATGATCATACAAGGTTTGACGTCAACTTCAACGGCGAACAAATCCAGAGGGTCCACTTGCTTTCTTCCGGAGCCCGTTGCCTTGTGCTGAGTTACGAGTCATCTGCAGCATGCTGCCCTTGAGGTTCTTTCCGGCCTTGGAAACCCTGGGGGCCAAGGCAGGTTTCGAGCTCTTCTTGGTGGAGGGCGCATCAAGCACCCGAATCGAGACATCTCCCATATTGACATCCTTGGGAATTTTGTCCTTCTTATCCAGGAATCTCAGCTTATTTGACTTCTTCGGCATTGCGAATTCATCGGCTGGGGGTGTGGGAGGGCGAATGGCGGGCTCGGCGTTCAGGATGTCATCGGGAAGCAAAGCAGGAAGAGCAGCCCGTCGTGCATCTTGCGTAGTTGTGCCTTGAATGGTAGCTGTGCTCTCAGAGAGCAGATCATCGGAAGACTCCTTGGGCTTTACGATAGTCTTGGCTTGCAACTTGCGGCGCTCGTCCAGTTTCCGTCGCTTCTCTTTCTTCAGTTGTTCTTCTCTGTAGGCATTGTCAGTAAAATTCATTTGCAAGTATGCAATAGCACGTACAATTGCTTCGCGGTCTCTCGCTTCTTGGCCTGCTCCTTCATTTTCAAGAGCTGGGCAGAGTTATCAATAGCCTCTGGCGCATCGTCATCGCTATCCTCATCATCATCCTCCTGATTCGGTTCTTCTGAGATTTCTTCAGGTAGTGTCTCAGGGATCTCGGGTTCTTCGCTGTCAAAACGGAAGTGGTTCTTCTTATCCACGGGCGCTTTCTCTCCGTTCACGTTGGCTGTCGCGGGAATATCGCTAGCATCCTCGGTTTCCGTAGCTTTGGGATCACTCCTTCTTCTCCGCTTGGTCTGCTGCTCGTCGGCCTTGCTGGCCTTGCGCTTTCCGCTCGCAAGTTCGGGCGCAACTTCGCCTCGTCGTGTAGTAACCATGTTGGAACTGGCAGAATCTGAATTTTCTGGTCGCGCGAATAGACCTTTAGCAGCAGTAACCAAGTGAGCAAACATAGAGTGACAGAATTGGATTGAACCTGTCCAGGTCGAGAGGTGAAGCAAAAATAAAAAATCTCTCGGCGATTGGGATTTCCCGAGGGCGGAGACTGATAAGCTACTACTCCGCCTTATCTACATGTACTTCATCTTCACCCCCTTTACTATTGTATTCTCAACTGTATTTGTTTTGATATGAGTTTGATTGAATGTTCAATCCTGCACGGCTATTTAAGTTTCTTGGATGCTTTCGAAAAGTTTCGTTTTATTCGGTGGTACTGTGAATGTCCATTTTGTCCACTCAAGGCCCCGATATACATTCGACTCTATACACGCAACATGGAAATTAACTCGGTAGCAAAGCCTTGCCTTACAAAAGCGTCCCTTCTGAACAACCACTGTCCCATATGATTATAAACACTAACCAGAGTGTTACCAAACTCGCCAGAATAAGACTTGCAAATTCTTCTGAATTTGGTGGTGTAGTTTGCGAGAGTGTTGTTGCCAAAACCATTGACTGGGTTGAGAAGATTCAAGGACTGGTTGAGCTTGGAACGGGTCGACTCGTCAATGATGGCTGGTTCAGACTCAACAGTGTCATTGTTGAGATACGTAGTTGGCATCAATCAAAAATGAGTCCGTCGCCAAGCTCGAGGCTTTCCATTCATCGGAGCACTGGTAGATCTTCTCTGATCGCTGGCAGGCAGAGGCATCGCACTCTGCGATGTTCTGGTACGCGGCCATCATGGTACCACCGCCACTGTGTCTGAGGATGACGACCTGGTTGATGTCTGTCAGGTTATATAGGTACTCCATCCCCTGATTTACGTCCGTCATCATGTCTTCGAAGTTGAGATCCGACATGTATCCGCTCTTGCTGCACAGAAGGTCGTGAAGCCACGTTTGGGTAGCTCGGTACAGGCGGAGAAGGATAGATAGTCTCGCTCGGCATCACATAGACTGCAATGCGAGATTTCGAACCAGTCGTAGAATGTCGGTAGAGACCACCAACAACACAATCGTCATCAAAGTCAACTAACTCGGGAGCTGGAAGGGTTGTATATGTGGAAGCGAAAGTCTGAGGGCCAAAGACTCCAATGGCCACCAGGCAGCAATCCCAGTATCCTTTATGGAAAGCATAATGAACTGTGCCTATATAGTTGTATAATGAGTCCGTAGGATCGAGAATGGTAGAAGGGATATTTGACAATGACACCGAAACAAGCTTAATATGTCTAATGAATGCTTTGAAAAAGGGTGATGCGAGCTACCACGTCCTGCGAGGAGACGGCAAGATGTAGACCATATGGGGCAGCGTCATCAAATACTTTGTTCTGATATACTAATCCGTACGAAACTGGGAGATGCTGGCCTTTTAATAGAGCAAGTTGTACCTTGACTCAGAATTGTGCTAACGGACAACATAGTGAATGACTTATATACGCTAATTCTCTTCACATACTTTGTAATTACGTGCATCTATATACATTCATGAAAGAGTAGTGAAGAAAGATGACTTAGCAATATGGTACCTACATACATTTAGTCTCGGGCCATAAACTATCCCCACAGGTACCTGCATCTCCGACTCACACTGCTCGCAACAAGAAATTATCCCTGAGGATTGATATGCCCCCAGGCACATCTCTTTGGCATTGACTCGACCCACTGATCATCCTATGCGGAGTCTAGTACTAATTATAGCCTCTATCACTTGCTGTGTGCATTGCAGGATGGGGAAAAGATTTTACAGATCTTCGGGCATTCAGAGACCTTGACTGAGTCTCTTACGCCTAACTGTGTATGTGTCTAGGACATGATCTGATGGATTTGGTAACTTGTTGATTTATTCACATCCCTAGCACGATGTCCGTCGCCAGACACATAGTTTCCGTAGAATATCCAACATTTTAGCTAGATATGTTCGTGCATGCATTGCTCTGCCCAGATACCACCATCCCGATAACCAAAGAAGATTTGTCCGCTCATAGAACGTGCAACACAATCCCGCCAGTTATGCAAGTCATACTTATCTCATGTTCAGTTCCAAAACTCCGCCATAAATGCTGCTAAACCCAGATTGAACGCCGCAAAACCCAACCAAACTCCAAGGTGCTTGCAAAAAGACGCAAAAAAAATGTATGTTGAATCACTTTTCAGCAGCTTTCGCGGTCCAGAATTCCATGTGCTTTCGGACACATTCCTGGCGCTCCTCAGCCTCCTCACGGAATCGAGTAAAGTCATCCTCCCCAAGATCACTAAGTTCCTCCCACATCTGGTTGTATTCGTCCTGGTCATTGCCCGTGACCGCCCACATGTTCTCACGAAGGCGCTTGTTGCGCTCGCGGTCCTCCTCAATGCGCTGCTCGATTTGCTTCTTGTCGAGGCGTATCTGAGGGGTGCCAGCCTTTGTCTTGCTTCCCTCCTCAGTTCCTTCTTCGTGGTCCATATCGAGATGGGAGGGGTGGGTGTCACGATCCTTCAGAGCTGCGTCAATCTCGGTCACGCTCTCGGAGGTGAGGACATTCTTGGTCTGGAGACCGTTGAGAACGTGGCGGACGTGCTTGACGTTGGCTGCGCCGGTGCCATCGGGGGGTACGACGGAGTCGACCACGCGGAGAATGTCGCGCTGCATCATGCGGACATAGGCCGGGTGGTTTTCCTTGAGGGCCATGTCGCAGAGATGCTCGATAAAGTACATGATGTTCGCGCGGTTGTTCATGTTGTTCTAAATGCAAACCAATTAGCTAAGATCCAATGTAGTGAACGGTAACATTCATACCCGCTCAAGCTGCTCTAGGATACAGGAATGAAGGTCCTCATCCAGATCCCGATATTTAAGCGCATAGAGGGCAGCTTTCTGCGCGGACGTGACTGATGCACTGAGGTGCTGCAGCTGAGTCGTGAAGCGCATGCGCACCTCAAACGGATCGACCATCATCTTGCCGCCCTTTTCTTTGGCTTTCTTAACTTCAGCCGGAGTATCGCTAAGGGACTCATCAGGAACAGGAGTAGACATCGTGATAGGCGCTGCGGGCGATGGAGATTATGTCAGCGGAGTGGGTCGTCCAAGAATAACGGAGCTCTGGGAGTTGTGGAAGAAAGAAGATCTATACAGTAGGCAAACCATCTTGGAGCGCTGGGCCCCTTTCAGAGTACTTGTTTATTAGGGACATTTGATCTGAATACGCTTCATAATCTATTATCAGTGCTGCCACAATTTACTGGGCTATCCATTTCACATATCTAACTGAAGCAAAGGCTTTACCGGGTAATAACATCTCCAATAAAACCATGTAGATTACACCAGAAATGAGAAATATACAGAGCAAGATGGTAGCAAATGTCAGAAAGAATCCCCCAAAGAACTACTAAGACTCGACCTATCATTCCCATCAAGTAAACCGACTTCCTCGGCCTCTTGGCGATTCTGGAAATCTTGGGAGTCCTCGTCTCTAAGCGCCTCCTGGCGACGAAATTCCACGCCATTTGAGTACAGACCAGACATCTTTCTTGGTCAGTAAGCCTTGTAAGATACCTTTATTGGCAAAAAGCACGTAACGCAGGCCAAGGCGTTGGAACATCCGCAGCACAATCAAGAAGGTGATGTTGCTGTTCAAAGTGATGGGAGTCTGATCCATCCATGGTCGTAGATCAAGGGTATCAACAGGGTCTGCAAAAGGTTGATGCGAAAAGAAGACCTGGGTCTCCTCGGAGAGATTGCGGGTAGTCGAAGATGTTGAATATTTCAAAGCAAAGGATAGCTCGTTGCGCGTGATGTAGCCCAGAAGAATGGGCTTCGAGGTTTCAGAGACAACGGGAAACCCGCGGTAGGTAGTGTTAGCAAGGAGACCGCGGATAGAAGCAATCGTATAACCAGTTGCGGTCAGAACACTAATGTCATCCACGGTCGTCATGACTCTGTGAGCAGACACATCTGGGGGAGTGGTGTCATCACGATGGTCGAGGAAAGGATACTCATTCAGTCGAATCCATGATTCGTAGATACCTCGCTTTCCGAAGATATCACCACACCACTTGGAAAGCATCACAGCAATCATGATCGGGATCACGTATGTCAATGCGCCAGTCAACTCGAACATGATAACAACAATTGACAACGTCATTCGAGTTGCACCACCAAGAGCAGCGGCCGCCCCAATAATGGCATATAAGCCAGGAGTGACGCATGGGATGTCAGGCTCACATTTGCTAAACAAGAAAGCTTTCGGGTAGGCTTCCTGCCACATGCGCACAAGAATGCCCAGAGCACGCCCATAAAGAGCACCGATAGCGACTGAAGGCAAAATGATACCCGCAGGAATCTCAAGTCCAAAGGTCAAGGAAGCCAAGAAGAAAGCCAACAATGCAGCTGCTACCAAAAATATTGCCACGCCGATTGATGCAGATCCTGTTGCGCAGAGGCCGAAACGATCATATGTCGCACTGCTGCACTCAGCAAACAGCGACTGAACAAGCTCCGAGTTTTGGGCCCGCATGAAATGGTTCGGATAGTTGACCAAAGCTGTAACGAGAGCAACTACAACAACTTCAATTATCGGCCGGGAAGAAGTTCGGCCTCGTCTCCATGTGGCAATCTTCGTATTTAAACGAATGAGGAATGCACCGTAGAGACCTCCGATGATACCAAGAATGATGAAAGGAATAATTTCGAAGCGGTGCCAGCCTCGTGTGTATGTGACTTGATATAGCACGATTTTGCCTGTTCGGAATGGGTTCAGGGCTTGTAAAGTGACAGCTGCAATCATGGCACAAACAAAGCTTTGCCACATGGTTTTGTCCGGGAAATAATAGGAGAGTTGCTAGAAAAATTAAGAAGAGAGCCAACGAAGGAAATTGTTAATGAATCATACCTCCAAACTGAAAAGTACACCTCCAATGGGGGCTCCGAATGCGACGGAAATACCGGCAGCGGCAGCGGCGGAAAGCACCTCGCGTTTTCGGGCTACATCATTAGCTGAATAATGAGGAAAGATGGAAACGCAGAGGCATACCTTCGTTGCCATTCAGGCTAGGAAAAGGTTTCATCATGATATTGGCACAGCAGCATGCAACGTGCACAAGTGGACCTTCCTTTCCTAGCCACAATCCTGATGCAACTGAAAGACACTTCAAAGACAGTCAATATAGGTATTACGTGGCAAAGTATAGGGCTCTACTTACTAACCCCAAGGACTTGATGGTAAGTGTCCACGGCCCCATAAAATGCCGAATGACAGTACCCCCAAGCACCGTTTTGATCTCAGGAATTCCACTGTGTCGAGCGTAGATGGCATAATTTCGCACCAAAAAGCATGCACATGCAGCAAAGAAGACCGAAAACACAACATAGAAAAGGTATCCAACCGTATATGTTCCTCCGTTTGAGGTTGTACCCAATGCATTGCCCCAAGATGTCCAGTCAAGACACTTGGAGTGATCTATATATTGCATGCTTCAGTATAGGGGGCTCGAAGGCTCGACTATAACAACTTACCATCAAGACCCCAGCAGCAAAAGCTCTTGTTCAAATAGAACTTTCCACCACCACTGCCATTCTTGCAATAACCAGTCTTCAAATCACCTAACCAATCTGTTGCAATGTCGATACAGGCGGCGATTATGCCTACTGCAATACCGGTTGCGATCAACACTAACCAGACATTGCTGGCATCAAGAAGCCGACGAGCATGGCCTAATAGACCTTGTCCGCTCGAGTGGAGGAGCCGTTTCCTTTGCCGCTCCTTTGTATATTCGTAGATCCAATCGATAGCTGTGAAGTCGTCGTAGCCTACACGTCGCCCGGGGCCTTCGACATACCAGTCGAGAGGTCCTCCATCTTTGGATCCCTCGGGGCCACCGTTGAATCCTATCGGCCCGTAAGGATCGAGTGGCGATACGTCTCCATTATGTCCACCTTGCGGGGCTGGAGAGCTGAAGCCAGTGCCCGATCCGCCCGCGGTAGGGGAGAGAAGATTAGATAGGCTAAATCGTGATCGTTGCTTTTGTTTTCGTTTGAAGGATATTCTGTAGGCGACCCGTAGTTAGTTTCACAATTCAAGGGGGAATTCACCAAGACATACGGCTCATGTAAACCCTCGGACTCTCGATTCTCTTGGGACTGGGGGTGGTCCTGATCAGCACTTTGCGACCAGGACCGACCCTCGCCGCCCGAGCCCTGACCACTCATTGACATCGTGAAACATCAATGGACTGAAATATTAGCATCTCTCTCGCATGAAACAAGCTGTTGAAAGGAGATGACCATCCAGGACGCGCAAGTGTGGCGCAAGCTCCGGGATCCAAGGCGGTGGAGATAGTCTAGGCGGGGCTGCGCCACAGGTTATGGCAGAAAAAAAAAAGTTACAAGATCGAAGCGGAGTCTCTTCTTCAAACTTCAACAAGGAGCTCCTCTTACGGCCGGAATAAACATGGATCAACGGCCGGTCTATGAGAGGACTCTAACAGAGTCCCAGCTGCTCGAGCAGCTTCCGAGTGGAATCTCGACTTTCATTCGGACTGCATCGGGGACGCAACACCTCCACGCGCTTGCGCTTGGCGCATTAAACACCGAATTTACAGAGAGCATTTTCAGGCTCTACGAACCGATTTTTGTCGATCTTGCAGCTCGTTGGCTTCAATCGGATTTACATGCCGATTATATTCATGTGTTAGCGGCATTCGCGCAGATTTTGCCATTTGCGCCGCATCTGCGGTCGCTCGCCAGTCAATATGCCTCATCACAGACTGGCCCTCTCTCGGCATTGGCCGTATCGAAAGAACTAACACTGCTGCAGCTGGATCAGTCTAGCATTCGCATCTTACTCCTCGCCCTCTTCCGACTCCTTTCGTTTGATCTCGAGACGTTTTCTCCCGTCGTTTCACCGCTTCAACTGCAGTCCCTCTTCCAGTCTCAAGACCGAGTCACACGGTACCTTGCTGTACGATGCTTTGCCTTATATATGCACGCAGCTGACGCGGCTACCGAGAAGATGGTCCGCGCGAACACCGGGACCGATCCCGTTGAAGGAGAATGGGAAGGCACTCTTATCGATTACCGCCTGCTGGGATTGTGGGAGGAACGGCGATGGGAGAGCCTTGGACGAATCATCCGGAACGAGAGGTCTTCCAGGAAGGAGGCCGACGCTTTGGCGCTGGTCGAGAGGACAAAGGACTCTTTCACGCCCAAAACCGCAGAGATCTGTGGAGTTTTGATTCCCAGGTTAAAAGAGGAGGTGCCCGTGTACTCGAGCTCAGTCGTAAAGACCTCGACTACGATTGGTAATCTGCGCCGGATTGCAGGCTCCCTGCTTGGGTTCAAGCCTATTATGTTGGTCGGTTTGCCTAATTCCGGAAAGACCTCTTTGATCAATGATATTGCTGCCACGATGGGTCAATCTGAATCTATGGTTACGCTTCACCTGAATGAGCAGACGGATGCGAAGAGTCTTCTGGGAATGTATGCGACTTCGTCTGCCTCTGGTTCCTTCTCCTGGCAACCTGGTGTATTGACCAAGGCTGCACGCGAAGGTCGCTGGGTCTTGATTGAGGACCTTGATCGCGCTCCCTCTGAAGTGATGGGTCTTATCCTCCCAATTATTGAGAGAGGAGAGCTCACCATTCCCAGCCGGAGAGAGCGGATTAAATGTGCAGAGGGCTTCAAGATTATTGCAACAATGAAGTCATCATACAACATTGCTGGTGAGGAGGTTGCCCACAGCACCTCCATGCTCGGGAGCAGACTTTGGGAGAGAGTGCAAGTCAACTCTCTTCCCGTGGACGAGATGCGAGATGTCATCCTGCAAAAGTACTCCTTGCTCGAATCTCGCGTGCCGACCCTCATGGAGGTCTACGCAAGAGTATGCTCTGCATTCCACGGGAGTCTTGCAATCAAGGGCTCACAGGGCCGTACCCCGGGTTTCCGTGATCTGATCAAATTGTGCAGTCGACTGCACAATCGCCTGCAACGCATGGGCGCGAAGACCGGCTACGAAGCCACGTCAGAAGGTACCGAGGATGAGATATTCCTGGACATTGTTGACGTGTTCTTGAAGTACCTGCCTGAGAGGTCGATGCAAAGCACTCTTGCCGCCGTTGTTGCCGAGGTGCTTCAGATCTCACCTCAGCGAGCACAATTCTGCCTGCATGAGCGTACGCCTTCATATACTGACAAGAACAACAGTCTTGTTCTTGGTCGGGAAATCTGTCAGAAAATCAAGGTACCGAGTGGATCGGCCTTGAAACTGGCGGCGGCAGCCTCTCGATTTGCTCCTACAAGAGCAGCGTTGTCACTGATGGAGCAGGTTGCAGCCTCTATACAGATGGCAGAGCCTGTACTGCTTGTCGGAGAAACTGGTATTGGAAAGACCACAGTCATCCAACATCTCGCAACTCTGATGCGCCAGAAGCTTACAGTAGTGAACTTGTCACAGCAAAGTGAAAGTACTGACCTGCTGGGTGGCTTCAAGCCCGTCAATATTCGTACCATGGCAGTTCCAATGCTGGACGAGTTCACTCAACTGTTTGAGCTGACATTCTCCGCCAAGAAGAACCAGAAGTTCCTATCTTCAGTGTCGAAAAGCGTTGCATCTTCGAATTGGGTGCGATTGGTGACTCTATGGCATGAGGCCGTTCGTCTTGCCAACGGTGTCTTCCATCCTCCCACCTCCAATGCTGATGGTGATGAGCAGCCAGCCAAGAAGCGAAAGTTGGATTCTCCCAAGTATCAGCACCTGCGACAAAGATGGGAGAGCTTCACGACTCAGCTTGGAGAGTTCGAAGCTCAAGTCTCACAAGGTGATGCCAAATTCGCCTTTGCCTTCGTCCAAGGTAAGATCGTAAGAGCTTTGAGAAATGGCGAATGGGTTTTGCTAGATGAAGTAAACTTGGCTTCCCCCGACACCCTTGAGAACATTGCCAGTCTTTTGCACCACGGCAGCGAAGGATCTCCTTCTGTTCTCCTCTCCGAGGCTGGTGATGTTGAGAGGGTTTTCGGTCATCCCGAATTCCGTATCTTTGGTGCAATGAACCCTGCAACAGATGCTGGAAAGCGAGATTTGCCCCCAGGCCTGCGCTCCCGGTTCACCGAATTTTACGTGCATTCGCCCGATACTGATTTGGACGATCTGTTGGCTTTGATCCAGAAATACCTCGGAGATTTGACAATCAGTGACCAGAGAGCTGTACCGGACCTTGCAACATTGTACATGGTGACCAAGCAGCTCAGCAACCAGAACAAGCTCACCGACGGAGCCGGCCAGAGGCCCCATTTCAGTATTCGTACACTTGTTCGTGCTCTCATCTATGTCATCGACCATGCGCATGTCTACGGGCTTCGCAGAGCGATCTTTGAGGGATTCAGCATGAGTTTCTTGACTGTACTCAGCCTGGCCTCAGAGCAAGCCCTAATTCCCCTTCTCGAAACTCACATCTTCGGCAACGCGAAGAACGCAAGATCTCTCCTTGGACAAACCCCTCGCCCCCCGACAGATGGCAATGAATATGTCCAGTTCAAGCATTACTGGATGCGCCGGGGCCCTATGATCCCCGAGGAGCAACCGCATTACATTATCACTCCATTTATCGAGAAGAACCTGAAGAACCTGGTCCGAGCTAGTTCCACCCGCCGATTCCCAGTTCTACTTCAAGGTCCGACATCAGCCGGAAAGACAAGTATGATTGAGTACCTTGCCAAGGTGTCTGGAAACAAGTTTGTGCGAATCAACAACCACGAGCACACGGACTTGCAGGAGTATTTGGGATCTTACATCTCCACAGACGATGGAAGTCTAAAATACCAAGAGGGTGTCCTGGTAGAGGCCCTACGGAACGGTTATTGGATTGTGCTGGATGAGCTTAATCTGGCACCTTCCGATGTTCTTGAGGCTCTCAACCGACTTCTAGATGACAACCGTGAGCTCTTCATCCCCGAGACTCAAGAATTCGTTCACCCTCACCCGAACTTCATGCTGTTCGCCACTCAAAACCCCGCTGGTTTGTATGGTGGACGAAAGGTCCTGTCCCGCGCATTCCGCAACCGTTTCCTGGAGCTTCACTTCGATGATATTCCAGAAAGCGAACTCGAGTTCATTTTGAAGGAACGATCTCAAATCGCCCCTTCGTTCTGCACGCGCATTGTGGCTGTCTACCGCAAATTATCATTACTGCGCCAGTCCAACAGACTGTTTGAGCAGAAGAACAGTTTTGCCACACTGCGTGATCTTTTCCGATGGGCCCTTCGTGACGCAGATGATCGCGAGCAGTTGGCAGTCAACGGTTATATGCTGCTTGGTGAGCGTGTACGCAATCCCCAAGAAAAGGCTGCTGTCAAGGCTGTGATCGAGGAGGTCATGAAGGTGAAATTAGACGAGGATACTCTCTACAGCTCTGCAGAGCTGGAAAAGAGCATTCCTGAGATGAGCGAGCTTCCGACTGGTATCGTGTGGACCAAGGCCATGCGTCGTCTTTTCGTTTTGGTATCCAAGGCTCTCAAGAACAATGAGCCCATCCTGCTTGTTGGTGAAACCGGTTGTGGTAAGACCCAGCTTTGCCAGGCTGTTGCTGAGGCTTTCCGGAGAGAGCTATTCATTGTGAACGCCCATGTCAATTTGGAAACTGGTGATTTGATTGGAGCCCAAAGACCTATCCGAAACCGGGCAGCGATCGAGAAACAGCTCGTGGATGATCTTCAAATGCTTCTTCATGGTCAAGCAACTGGCACAACTTTGGATGAGCTGAAGCAAGAGTTCTTCGCATTGGATGCAGAGCAGCGCCAAACCAAGGATCAAGCTCTCATCCAAAAGATTGAGAGAAATGCTGCTCGTTGCAATGCCCTGTTTGAATGGTCTGACGGAAGTCTCATTACTGCCATGAAGACCGGTCAATTCTTCCTTCTTGATGAAATTTCTCTGGCGGATGACTCCGTTCTTGAAAGACTCAACAGTGTTCTAGAACCTGCTCGGTCTATTCTTCTCGCCGAGAAGGGACCCATTGATTCAATGGTTGTGGCAGATGGTGGCTTCCAGTTCATGTCCACCATGAACCCTGGAGGTGATTACGGGAAACGCGAGCTTTCAGCAGCTCTTCGTAACCGTATGACTGAAATCTGGGCTCCTCAGCTTTCCGAGGACGAGGATATCCTGCCAATTCTGCAGATGAGACTAAACCTGAAGCAACAGGACGTGGCACGAGCTATGCTACAATTCGCCAAGTGGTTTAAAGCAACTTTCCAGAATACCTCGACTACCTCGCTCTCAATCCGTGATCTTCTCGCCTGGGTAGATTTCGTCAACACCTGTCAAATCGCAGATACCCAGTTCGCAATCATTCAAGGTGCTGCGATGGTTTTCGTTGACACTTTGGGTGCCAACCCAGCTGCGATGCTTGCCATCTCCCTCAACAACCTCGATGGAAACCGCAAATCATGTCTTAACAAGCTAAGTGAGTTGTTCAAGACGGATGCTTCCAAGATTTACTGGGAATCCTCGAACGTCTCCGTCGAACCGGGTGCTTTGCGCATTGGACCCTTCTCCCTGCCCACAGTTGGCAACGCCGACCCCGATCCGCAGTTCACAATGGACGCTCCCACTACCATTGCCAACTCCGTGAGAATTGCCCGTGGTTTGCAGTCCTCGAAACCAATTCTTATGGAAGGAAGCCCCGGTGTGGGTAAGACTACGCTTGTTACAGCCCTGGCCAGAGCCCTTGGAAAACCCCTTACTCGAATCAACCTTTCGGAACAAACAGACCTTACAGACCTGTTTGGGTCCGACGTTCCAGTAGAAGGAGGAGACGTTGGGCAGTTTACTTGGCGTGATGCACCGTTCCTACGAGCCATGCAGCGCGGCGACTGGGTTTTGTTGGATGAGATGAACCTTGCCTCACAGTCCGTTCTCGAGGGTCTCAACTCTTGTTTGGATCACCGTCAACAAGTTTATATCGCTGAACTTGATCAGACATTTAAGAGACATCCTGATTTCGTCCTGTTTGCTGCCCAGAACCCCCATCACCAGGGTGGTGGCAGAAAGGGTCTTCCTGCATCTTTCGTCAACCGTTTCACCGTAGTCTACGCAGACAGCTTCACCGATGATGATCTGAAGACAATTTGCTCCAGACTTTTCCCTGGCAGCCCCTCTGTGCAGACTGAGAGACTCGTTGATTTCATCTCTCTCCTGAACACAGCCATTACGCGTGAACGCCGACTGGGAGCTGTTGGCGGGCCCTGGGAAGTTAACTTGCGAGACATCCAGCGATGGCTTCAACTTGCCGATCGAGGAAATCTCCAGATCCAAACCAAGCACTTCCTTGATGTCGTCATCAACCAACGGTTCAGAACCCAAGAGGATCGCGCCGTGGTCGCACAGATCTATGACCGTATCTTCACCGACTCTGATACTAGCCTCAAGAGCTATTTCCACAATCTGACACCTGAGTACTTGCAAGTTGGTCTTGGAGTCCTGACCCGTGATCCTCTACTTCAGCGCTCTGCCGAGCCAAATATGAGGATTCTTCCGAAGGATCTTCACATTGTCGAGTCACTCATTTTGTGCATTGACAACTCCTGGCCTAGCATCCTCGTTGGGGCTGCTGGATGTGGCAAGACTACTCTCATCAGGAAGCTCGCAGCTGTCAATGGTGCAAACCTTGTAGAGCTTGCTCTGAGCGCTGACACTGATACCATGGACCTGATCGGTGGTTTCGAACAGATCGACCATCGCAGAGAGGTGTCGGGCTTCGTGCACGACATTGAGATCTTTTTGCGCAACCAGTTGATTCAATGCTTCGCTTCAGGAGAGGTATCTGATGTCGTGGTTTCTGCTCTCAGCATTTGCGAGCATTTCCAGGCCGCAGACATCTCACTAGAGCATGTCATCCCTTCGCTCTCTGCTCTCTGCCAGTCATCTTCTGATCCAGCCTACCAGCAATTCCTGGCCAGGGCTCAGAATCTGCTGAATGCCATCGAACAATCCGACAAGATGAAGGTTGGATTCGAATGGACCGAAGGTGTTCTCACTCAGGCTGTTCAGCTTGGCCACTGGGTGATTCTGGACAATGCCAATCTGTGCAATCCCTCCGTTCTTGACCGACTGAACTCGCTGACGGAGCCCAATGGTACCCTCATTCTCAATGAGCAACGCACCGAGGATGGTTCCGCCAGAATCATTTCGCCTCATCCTAACTTCAGGATCTTCTTGACCATGGATCCCCGCAATGGTGAATTGTCTCGCGCCATGCGTAACAGATGTACTGAGATCTGCTTCCTGCCAAACGAGCTCCAAGATATCAAACCTACTGTCGGCCCATCCTACACTTGTGAATCCTTCATCTACCGCCTTCGCCATATCTGGAACCTGGACACTTCTTTGCCATCCGCCACCTTTGAAAATGCCCTCGAGGTCTGCTTGGATCACCTCTCACCGGAAGACCTGTCATATCTTCAACAGTCCCCTCGCAACTTTGAGGCTATCAACGCTTTGGCCCACGAGAACGATCAATCATCCAATGTCTTCCAGCGTTACACCTCGTTGTTCCACGACAACAATCAATGGAAGCCGCTTGAGGTCGCTAACGGCGAGATTATTCTCGGAGGTGCCAGACTTGGTATCCGAGGCATCTCACAGCCCCTTCACCCGCTCACCAATGAGCCTCTTCTCTCGATTGCAGGATCCAGTGATTTCCGAGCATGCTTGGTCGTCCTGGCCTATCTCCAGGAGCTGAGACTTGATATTCACCGTCTCAGGCAAGGCTTAATCCAGGCTGATACGTCTGGTAAAGAATTGAAGCCCAGCCAGATGACACGGCTGGAGCGATCATTGGCATCTGCGCGGATCCCTGCATTGATGAAGGACACGACACAGCCCGTGGCCTCATTCTTGTCCGATTGTGGTCAAGCATTGTACGACTACATTCAGGCTCTGGATCAGATCTCCCTTCAAGGCCCTGTGATCGTGGCCGCCCTTCGGGCTGTAACTTCTCTATGCTGGGATATTTACAGGGCCACCGAAGTAAGCCAAGTCGATGAAGGCGAGTTCCAAATCTATCTGCAGATGGGCAGGAAGCTTTGCGCGTCGCTTGACTCATCGACCATGCTGCAACCACTTCAAATTGCTTTGTCACAGGCACTCGATCGCTTCCAAGAAGGGTGGGCCTTGATGACAGGTCTGAGCATGCAACGAATGTGGGATTCTTGGAGACATGTGACTCCCGTTTCTCAAGAGAAGTTAGACTCTCTCGCTGAGCTGGAGTCAACTGTTTTCGAGTTCACCACTTTGGCTCTACAAACTCGCGTGGAGCTTTCGCAATTGAGTCAAGTCCGAGACTCATTGATTGACGCCCAGCGTTTCATCCTTATGGATGGCGCTGATGGCGATGTGCTTGTTCAGGTATTTATAACTGCCGTTTTCTAAAATATTCATTTACTAACTATATAAAAGGGCATCAAAGAAACTGTGGCCGAGCTATCTCGGGCAGTTCGACGCTCAGAGTCGACCGAGTACCCGTATTTCGCCGATGAGTTCGAAGCTCTTTGCCAGTACCATGACATCTCCTCATTCTTCCAGAACGAAGTCAGTGACACTGTCATTCAGACCGTCATGCCACTTCTCGCTGGTCGTGCAGCTCGCGCATTAGATGCTTCAAACTTCCAGAGTGATGTGCCAAACATGCTCCACAGGGTGACATTGTTTGCTGGTTCATCAAGCAAATCGGAGGCTGCACTTGCGACAGGCGGTGTCTTGTCCCTGTCACTATTGGACAGGCTGACAGCTGTCGGTAATACTAAATTGGGCCAGATGGATATGCTCGAAGCGGAGAAGAAAGCTCTATCTAAAGCTATTACCCTGAGCAGTCGACAGATTTCTACAGATCAGTCCATGGATCTCAGACGTATTTTGGCAAGACTCACCTCAGAACTGGTAGCTTGTCATCGCGAATTCCTTGAACCCCGTTCAGCCGAAAACCTCATCTCCATTTTGCAGGCAGTTCAAGCCGGGAATTTGTCCGATGAACAGACAACTGTCAAGATTGAGCTTGATCAAAACCTGGCAAGTGCTCAATATCTCAAGACCATTACCGAGCAGGCTTTGCCGATGTTGATCTTGTCATTGAGTACAGCCCCGTCAAGCAAGCAGCAGAATATCCGCAACACTGGACTCGCAGCGGTACAGCTAGCAGTGATTCTTCTGCGGCTCTTTGTGCCTGACAAGACTTTCGATCCTTCGCTTGGTCTCGTCGTTCAGCGCAAGCGGCATTCACAACGCCTTGCAGAGTTCACTGCTAAGTCTGCTGCAATTCTTGCATTCGAGAAGAACTTCACCAGTCAGACTTCCAACCTCAGGTCTGAGCTCTTGCATGATGAGATTCGCGATCTGGGCGCTGCCCCGCCTCCCTCATTGGTCAACCGGCCACAGAAGTCTCAGTTGAGCCTCTTGCAAGGAGAGTTCGTGAATTTGATTAACTCTGTTCTGAACAGAGACCCCGAGCAAATGATTCGCTCTGCTGAGCAATCGTTAACCTCCCAGATCCAGCTTCTGCGTGATAACATCCAGCAGCTGAGCAGTCGTCTCAGTACTCACTACCGTTCTTACAGTGACATCACGGTGCCTGTAGTTCGTTTCTTGCAATTACTGGATCTTGGTCTATTCCTAGGCTCCAGCCAACCTGAGCAGTCGGGCGATGTCCCTGATATTCAGTCTTTGAGTGAACGAACGCCCTTCCTCGGCGGTACCCTCCATCCTGTGCTGTCAGGAAACACTGGCAAACTGTCAATCACCCCCAAGAACCAAGTTGAAATGCGTCTCCAAGAACTATCGGCTCTATGGGCCGCCCAGGACGCAGATTCCACGATCCTTGACACAAAGGCCGGGCGATCAACCATCCTCCATATCTTTGCTGATTTCCATCAACTGTGGAAGACGAAGCTCAAGGAAGACCAGGAGCAGGAAGCCGAAAAGGGAGAGCTGTACCGCTACAAGGGTTCTTGGGAAGAAGAAGAGGAAGTCAACGAAGCAGAATTACATGCACTCTTCCCTACCTACGATGAAGGGCCGGTTCAGGAGACCGAAATGACCGGCCGCATCGACCCCAAGGCCATCTCTCTCCGTCTTGCTTCTCTTCATGCAAAGATTGTTTCGAACCAGCGCACAGGAACGGCATTGACTACATTCGTCAAGCAATCTGGCCACCTCTTGGGTTCGATCTGGTCTGACAACAAGAGCGACTTCTCGCCAGTTTCACCTGAAAGCCATCTTCCAGCAGTCCTTCTGCTTCTGGATGACGCCATCAACGAGGGCGATGACCGACAGAAGAACTACAACTTCTATACGGATTCTAACCTCGCAGAGGCAAGGAAATTGGTTGCTCTCACCCTTTCTGTTCAGGCTCGATTTGCGCAGATCCAAAATGCTTGGCCTGAGCACGCTGTTCTCCAGGACGTCATTACGTGCTGCATGGAGATCCTTCAGTTCAAGCACACAGAGCCCGTTGCTAAATTCATGACCAAGCTTGAGAAGCTTCATTCCTTGGTGCACGAGTGGCAAACCGTGGCTAGCAGAGAATACTCCGCCGTTACTGTTTACGATGAGATCACCAGAACTATCATCAGCTGGCGCCGACTTGAATTGTCGACCTGGGCCAAGCTTCTGGATCTCGAGAAGGAACGTTGTGACGACGACGTCAGTGCTTGGTGGTTTATCGCCTACGAGGCCCTCCTTGGAGCCCCCATTCAAATGGCAGAGGCAGGTGAACAGGACATGAGCGAGCATACCCAGAGCTTGATGTCTACCTTGGAACAATTCTTCAAGTCTACTACTCTTGGTCAATTTGCTCGTCGCCTGCAATTGGTCACCAACTTCCAAGCCTTGCTGGAGGTCTTCACTAAGGACTTCCCTTGTCTCAAGCAGCTTGTTTCAGCCATGGACAACTTCCTCCACCATTACCGACCCTTCCAACCAGGGGTGGACAAGATCTTGACCGAGAGGCGTGCCGCTCTTGAAAAGGATATCAAGGAGCAGATCCAGTTGGCCAGCTGGAAGGACATCAACATTGTTGCTCTGAGGGAGAGCGCCAAGCGGTCTCATGTTAAGTTGTTCAAGTTGGTTCGTAAGTATCGTGAAGCTCTTGGCCAGCCGGTCCAATCAACCCTCGAGCAAGGTCTTCCAGAAAGCACCGAAGAGATCACTTCAATGTCTCATTCGGAACCAATCCGTCCTACTGCGCTATTCCCCGAGGCGATGGCAATCTGCCAAAAGTACAAGGACCTCTGGTCAACCAGAGCACTGCGTTTCCAGAAGCCTGATGGCACAGCCGACAACATGATGAAGCTTTACTCTGCCATTCCATCCGAGTTTGACATCGCCAAGGATCTCGACAGCTTCATCGTGTCTGTGATTGAGAACATGAACGAGTACAAGTCCAAGACACCCAAGGTCTTGACCGAGGATAATAAGGATGATGTGCAGCATCTCAAGTCCCAAAAGCGTCGTCTCTACGCTGAAACCCTGAAGAAACTCTACGAGATGGGCGTTAAGCGCAATGCTGGAACTAGCGTGATCGAGACTCAAGAATCTCTCGCGCAGATCCTTGCTACTAGCGCTGCTTTCGAGTCTAGCGCGGCAACTTCGAGCGCTGTTCAAAGTGCCGACTGGTACTTCCACAGACTTGTGGACCTCCTGCCCAAGACCCGTCTAGCTTCGCGCAACTATTCCGAGGAGCTGAGCAACGTCGAGGTCTTCAGAAGTATGGGATCTATTGAGCACCTTATCTTCACCGTTCGTCGGCAGAGAGGTATCATCTCGCCCGCTCTCACTGGCCTAGGCAAGTTGAAGTCCACGCTTGACAAGGTGCAGAACCTTTGGACAGCAACCTCCGACTCTCTCTCCAAGGATCATGCTTCTACTTCGGAAGAACGAACCAACCTGGCCAGAGTCGTGGCTTGGTTGGCGCCCATTCTTGGATTGGCTGCCATGATTGTCAGCGTGCATGCCAAGTTCTCAGGACTTGACGCATCCAAGATTGTCGAAGCGCTAAGCTCCAAGAAAGCGACCTTCGACACCTTGCGCAAATCGCACGAGGCTCTTCCCCTTCTGCCTACCGGAATTGTGTCGAAGGCGCACCACGAGATCATGCAGCAGACACGAGCCTCGCTCGACGAGTTGGCTGCTGATCTGAAGAAGTGGAGTCAGTCTCGCCCCGACCTTGCCTTCGTATTGGACCAGGTCACACCTTGGATCAGAACAGACATAGGTGCTCTTCCCGACACTTTCGAAGAGAACAACCTTTCCATCCAAGCCTTCGACAGCAGCCTTCTGACTGCTATTGACAAGATGCTCATTGGTCTCCAGAAGCTCAAGGAAGTGCCTGCTGCTATCACCTTTGATGGGTTGCTGTTGAGGAGTGACGAGTTCTTCTCTCGCGGAGTGAAGGCTGTCCATCTCACCGAGATCACATCATCATTCGAGATGGTCCTTGAGCAGTTGAACCACCTGCAAGACCACTCCGCAGCCGGCCTCGCTATTGCCACCGCCTTGATCACTAGTATCTTACCCGTTGCCAACAGATACTACCAAATCTGCCGAGACCTTGCCGATCGATTCGTCGCTGTTCATCGCGAGATCTGTAAGACATCTTACATTCTGACAAAGACCTTCAACCAGGTCGCCTCCGAGGGCTTCTGTAGCCCTGGCGAGGCCTCCCAAGACCAGGGCAAGGAGGGTAAGATGGAAAGTGGAACAGGTCTCGGTGAAGGCGAAGGTGCGGAAGATATCAGCAAGGATGTTGGTGATGACGAAGACCTCTCTGAGCTGGCCCAGCAGGAGAACAAGAAAGAGGACGGTGACGACGAGATGGATGATTCCGCCGACGCTGTCAATATGGACCAGGAGGAGCTCCAAGGTGACGCCGAGGACCGTAAGGATGGCGAAGAGGAGGATAAGGATGAGAGTGCCGATGAAGGTGAAGATGACATCGACGAAGAGACTGGCAGCGTCAATGACCTCGACCCAGCTGCTGTTGATGAGAAGCTCTGGGACGGTGGAAACGATGACCAGCAGAAGGATACCGAGAACGAAGAAGGCAAGGGCCAGTCAGAGGCTGAGCAACAGGCTGCCGCGCAAGAAGAACAGAAGAAGGACAAGGACGGCGAAAAGGCCGAAGACAAGGATGGTGAAGGCGAAGAGGAGGAAGAAACTGAAGACGAAGAAGCCCCTGAAGATGAGGGTGAGGCAGTAGGCCGTGAGGAGATGGATGTCACCGACCCTCAAGCGGAGGAGCAAGAGACACTTGAGCTTCCCGAAGAAATGCAGCTTGACGGTGATGATGGAAAGGATGATGGTGGTGACGAAGACGATGATGGAATGGATGACCTTGACGATGACATGGGTCCCGCTCCTGAGGAAGAAGGCAAGGTCGAAGATGGTGACGATCATGCCGGCGAAGAAGACGTCGACGCAGCACCAGATGACCAAGCGCCTGGTGAGGATGAAGAGATGGGCGATGAAGATGCCAACGAAGCCGAAGCCGGAGGAGAGGAAGAGGAGGAAGCTGGTGGCGAAGACCCTGATGAGCCCGAAAAGGACGACTTCCTCGCACAGCGCGATGAAAATGAGGCCGCGGGCGACAATGTCGCTCCTAGCGAGGCTGTTACTGGAGGACTCGGAGCGGAGCAAGACCAAAACGAAGATAAGGGTGCATCGGGCGACGCCCAGCAGGAGAGCGGTTCGAGTGATCCCACCGCCAACGTCGACGAACAGACGGGTGCTGCTAAAGACAGCGAGGAGAGCCAGGCCAGCCGAGAGGCCGGTGGAGGCGAAGAGACAAAGCCGAATGAGCCTCAAATGCAGGCGTTCAAGAAACTTGGTGATATGTTGGAGGAATGGCACCGAAGGCAAAAGGAGATTCTGAACCCATCCCAAGAGGAGGACGATTCTCAGCCTATGCCTCAAGACACCGATATGGCCGACGCGGACTTCGAGCACCTCAAGGACGACGATGACGCTGCTGATACCCAGGCTTTGGGACAAGCCAACGAAGAGCAAGCACAAGCTCTCGACCAGAGCAAGGGCGTCGAGTCCGACATCAAGCCCGGCGAGAACGATGTTCTCCCCGATGTCGCAGAAGACCAGCAAGACGCCGTGGACAATCAACTCGAGGATGAGATGCAAATCGACCGTGAAACTGCCCCCACCGACAGCGAACACGCCGGTGCCTTCATTCCAGGCGGCAATCCATCCCAAGACCGTGCAGAGGGAGGACAGGGCGCCGAAGCCCTGAACGAGGAGCTCGACGAAGTCGACACCCAGCTTGCAGCAATCCACCTCTCCTCCACGCTTCCACCGTTGACGCCACAAGACGAAGCCCGTCGCCTTTGGTCTCACTACGAGTCCGCGACAAATGATCTCTCCCTCTCGCTGACCGAACAACTCCGCCTCATCCTCGCTCCAACAATGGCTACCAAGCTCCGCGGCGACTTCCGCACCGGAAAGCGTCTCAACATCAAGCGCATCATCCCATACATTGCATCTCAGTACAAGCGCGACAAGATTTGGATGCGCCGCTCCATTCCGTCAAAGCGAAACTACCAGATCATGCTCGCTGTCGATGACAGCAAGTCCATGCTTGAAAGTGGAAGTGGCCAGCTCGCCTTCGAGACCCTCGCCCTCGTCGCGAAGAGTCTGAGCATGCTCGAAGCAGGCGATCTTTGCGTCCTTGGCTTCGGTAATGAAGACCACGTTCGCGTCGCTCACGAATTCGGAAAGCCTTTCTCCTCGGAGGCTGGTTCGCAGGTCTTCCAGCATTTCAGCTACCAACAAACTGGCACAAACGTGCGCAAGCTGATTGCCGATTCAATTGCGTTGTTCCGTGAGGCGCGCTGGAAGCGTTCACCTGGTTCCGGCTCTGCTGATCTCTGGCAACTTCAGCTCATTATCTCTGATGGTATCTGTGAAGATCATGATACTATTCGTCGTCTTGTCCGACAGGCGCTTGAGGAGCGCATTATGATTGTGTTTATCATCGTTGATGCTGTTAAGGGTAGCTCGATCCTCGATCTCTCGCAGGCCAACTTTGAGGCTGATCCTGCTTCCGGTGGTGAGATGAAGCTTAAGATGAAGCGCTATCTTGATCACTTCCCCTTCCCTTACTACCTCGTTGTCCGTGATGTGAAGGAGTTGCCCTCTGTGTTGGCTACTGCGCTGAAGCAGTGGTTTGCCGAGGTTGTGGACGTGTCGTCTTGATTCTGCACCTAAAAAAAGGAGTTCGGGTTGTGTACTTGGAGTTATTGGTTTCATTTTATGGCGTTTGTTGCATTTCATTTGTATATGATAGAAGTTAGAGATGTGAAACACATCAACTGAATGTACAGTTTCTACTTGACTCGAATTGCCGTAGTGCTTAAGATATAATGCATTTGTTATTACTTCATTTCAGGCCTTCTTTCTCTTCTCCTTCTCCATCATCCACTCCCGAATCGCCTTTAGCTTCATCGCTGCAAACTTCATCAACACCCACCTCGGCGAAACATCCATAGAAATCCCCTGCACCCAATGCCAGAAATACGCCCAAACAATCTCCCTCCCACATCCAACCCGATTCAATCCCGCCGAGGCCAAAGTCCTCGCTGTAGGAACAAACAGACTGGTCGGGACGTCATAGCCACCACTCTGCACCTCCGCAGACTTCAACGCCATCACTTCAATATTCTTCCCCTCAGCCTTCATCTCTGCACTTAGTGCCGCCGTGAAAGACTCGACATACCCCTTGGCCCCACTATACACCGTGATATAGGGCAGCCCGATAGCCGCAACAGAAGAAACATTAAGTATAAGACCAGGGACACCGTTGCCTCCCAGAACAGGCATCAAGACGCGCGAGAGCTGAGTCATGAACACGGCATTCAGATAAAACGTCGCATCAACATCTTCATACGTCAACTCACTCAACATAGCAGCAGCCTTCGTCTCGCCTCCAATATTATTGACCAGCACCGTCAACATCCCGCCTCCGCCTTTCTCAATAATAAGGCGCACTTGATCAGCGATACCATCCACATCATCCTTCTTCAGCGCCTGAACGTCCAAAACCAACGATCCGGTCTTGGCATCAGGAAACTCGGCCGCGAGTTCGCGTTGCCGTTTTTCGAGCTTGGCTGCATTGCGTCCATGGAGGATGACGTTGAACCCGCGCGCGCAGAGTTCTTGACAGAAGCCGAAGCCTATGCCGTCTGTCGCGCCAGTTACTATGGCCCAATTGGCCTTTAGATTGGGGTTATAGCGGCTTTTTAGGGTCGAGGGGAGGAGGAAGGTCGTTGCTTGTGAGGTGTACTTGTAGGTTATGTAGCTGACGGTTGCGAGGCCGATGTAGCTTAAAGGCGTTGAATATTCAGAGAGAGACATTTATGAAGGCTTTGGTTTGGGGGAGTTGGGGAATTGGATAGGAGAAGAGGGTTTGAAATTGCTTACGCTCTTATGTATTACAGTTCGGGTTCGGGTTCGCACTCGTTTCCGTTTTCGCTGTCGTTGACTATGTGGGTAGCCTATTTACTGGCTATAGGTGGCTATTTTCGCCGAAGAAACACTAATAATTAATTGAATTCAGCAATAATAGCCAATTTATGGAGGTATATTATTATCGCGGTGTCAACAGACAGACTCATGAAGTATGACTGTACATTTTCGACTTGACTCAAGTTGTCGTAGGCTACTACCTGCAGATTGGTATTGGTATCTCAATGCTAATGCGCTTGACAAAGAACGGTTCCATAAATGTCCATATGGACTACAACTACCATCCGTACTTGGATCCAGCTTCCTTTTTGTTCCTCCTGCCAGCTGCAAAGCTCTCCTCCAGCGCTTCCTTCTGTGAGCTCGCCGCATTGACCAATTGCTGGAGACTGTGCTTGCCAGGCGCAATAGCGCGCACGGGGTTGTGCTGAGCTGCAGCCAGCTCTCCCTGAGCCAGCACCTGATTCGAGGCGTACTCTTCATCTGTATTGAAGGTGCGTACTTGTGACTGCGAAGGCATGGCATTTCGCCCAAAGAGTTGGCGCCGTTCGGCCTTGGATAGATTGAGATCGTTGGCAACTGTATCCAAAGATGAAAGATTGGAGGATGCTGTGTTGGGGTAGTCTTGGGGGACGTATGTAGATTCGGGCACGGCAGGACCGGCTGGTGGTGCGTCACCCTCGGCGTTGTATACCAGCGGCTCGTATGTTGCTGAGGGTCCTGGTGGTGTATCTGCCCGAGAAGTCTCCTCCGAGGATAGAGAGAACAGGCTGACTTTCTGTTTTGGCGCTGCGGGAGCAGGGGGTTGTGGTGCAGACTCTTGAGGAAGAGGCGCAGCCTTCGGTGCCGTTGGACCAGGTGTCGGCTGCGGAGCCGCCTTGGTGCTCTTCTTCTTCTTTGGCCGTCCCACTGATAGCGGTCTGAACATCATAGGATTACCCTGCAACTTGACCTCATCCGGCTTCTTCATTGTCTCCGGGGCGTCAGGTGTAGTGGTGTTGAGGCTGCCCGTTGCGGGTATGGCCTCGGCATCTCCATCTGCTGCTGGATCATTGAGAGCTTGTTCGTTCCTTGTCTCTGCATCGGCTGTGCGATCGAATCCGGGGCCTGCACCTGTCTTGAGGCTGAACGGTTTGCGCGTTGACGCCACCGGTGTTTTCTTCTCGGCTGCTCGTTTCGGGGCTGGCAGAAAGGAGTTGAATCCTGAAAGACCTCCTCCGCCACCTAATCGTGGCTTTTTGCGCGCTGGTCCATCCTCTCCATCCTGACCGGCTGCGGTCTCGGGTTTGATCTCGGGGAGCGCAACGCGGATCTTGCGCGGGTTGCTGCGGTCGACTTGGAAGCCGCTAGAATCGGACTTTTTTGTCTTTTCGGCCGGGATAGCCGGAGTGGTGTCTGGCTCAGCATCCGAGCCTTCGGAGTCGGAGTAGGCTACTAGGGCCATGGTGGTGTGTGTGGTCGATCTTGTAGCTGGATACAGTCCCAAGTTAAGGCATATTGTGGCCTGAATATCAGGGCAGACATATAACATTACGTCAGCGCTTGACATTACATAATCATCGAGCTCCAAGGAATGTGAGACAGTTGAGATCAGAGAGATCGGCAGAGACACACGGTTGAGGACTAAACGGGAAAATGTCCGAAAACATGCTCCATGTGCTCCGTCTCGGCTCTTAACTTTACCTACAAACCTACTCTACAGTGTTTGGAGACGATCGCATCCATTGATAACGTCATACATGCAGCCGGTTACTCCGCTTCCTATATTGAATTTGTAAACACCAATGATATCAACTAGTCTATAGTATATCTGTGGGAGTATACGGAGTACTATGAGCAATAGTTATAGTCAGTTTTGTTTCATTTGTTTCATATGATCAACCAAACGAGACCCAATAATGAAGATAAGGGAAATACGAGATTCTCGTACGTCGCTACGGCAGTGGCGTCCTGAAACACAGGAAAAGGAACAGGCATAGACAGAGCAATGAAGTAGAAGAGAACAGAGAATATAGGCAATAGACTCGAATAAACAATGCCGTGTTAGCTAGCATATGCGAGTATTAGCATACATGTTTGCAGTATATCGGGGCAAGATCAATGCGTCATTCTGGCTTTGCCCCTCCCCACTTAATCCGGACCTCCCATTCTTCCTTTCACCCCCGATGGCCCTTGACAATCCCTCTCCATGCCGAGCTTAGGAGGTTTACTGAAGAAGCGGAGAACGAAGGACTCGCACGATTCTTCTGGGGATCCCAATACTGACGACTCAGGCGCATCCATGCAACCCGCATCCCATGCCTCGCCCCAACATACGGGCCAATCGAATGCCGCCAGTATCGACAACATCATAAACTCGAATTCCGGCAGTTCCAATGAGTCTCATACACACGGTCAGCCCCAGGGCCATGGCCACCAGACTCACAAGCAGGAGCGAGTAACCAAGGGGAAGTACTCACAGGAGGACTTCCAGCTGCAGCGCACCTTGGGAACGGGGAGCTTCGGTCGCGTGCACCTGGTGCAGTCGAACCACAACCACCGCTTCTATGCTATGAAGGTCTTGAAAAAGGCCCAGGTCGTCAAGATGAAACAAATTGAGCACACAAACGACGAGCGTCGCATGTTGAATCGGGTCCGCCATCCATTCTTGGTCACCCTGTGGGGTACTTGGCAGGATTCCCGCAACCTCTACATGGTCATGGATTTCGTGGAGGGTGGTGAACTGTTCAGTCTTTTGCGCAAGTCACAAGTGAGTCGCATTGCACTTTTCCTCTGAAGCTTCGAAACAAGTTCTAATTCGTCATTAGCGATTCCCCAACCCGGTGGCCAAGTTCTATGCCGCCGAGGTCACATTGGCATTGGAATATCTACACGCACATCAAATTATTTACCGTGATCTTAAGCCCGAGAATCTTCTCTTAGATCGCCATGGGCATCTGAAGATTACCGATTTTGGTTTCGCCAAAGATGTGCCTGACATTACGTGGACGCTGTGCGGTACACCCGATTATCTTGCACCCGAGGTTGTCTCTTCTAAGGGTTACAACAAATCAGTTGACTGGTAAGCTTCTCTTTAATATTCCGATGCAATTGGTCTAACAATTGCAGGTGGTCCTTGGGAATCTTAATCTTCGAAATGCTGTGTGGATTCACTCCCTTCTGGGATAGCGGATCCCCGGTCAAAATCTATGAGAATATCTTGCGCGGCAAGGTCAAGTACCCCCCATACTTGCACAACGATGCGGTCGATCTCCTGTCACAGTTGATTACATCCGACCTGACCAAGCGCCTCGGCAACTTGCACGGTGGCCCGGATGATGTCAAGAACCACGCCTGGTTCGCCGAGGTCACTTGGGACCGATTGGCACGCAAGGATATCGATGCGCCTTATATCCCTCCCATTCGCGGTGGACAGGGTGATGCCAGCCAATATGACAAGTACCCCGAAGAGACAGAGCACTACGGCCAAGAAGGAGAAGACGCGTATGTATATTCCTTTCTAGCTGTTCGCACACAGTTGACTGACAATTCCCAGATATGGCCACCTTTTCCCCGACTTCTGAAGTGCTTGTATGATTTATGACGAGACGAAAAGTCCTTCCGGGGGAGGGCGGGTACTGATTGACCCCGGCGGGAGTCGTGAAAACCAGGAGTCACTATATGAAAACCCATACTTTGTACTTTCGATCCCATATATCTTTAGCAATTGCAATCGAATTTTTGACTTTTTCTTTCAATTCCGCTCGATATACAGGGTTCGGGAATCCTCGTTCTATTCCCCATGTTCTCAACCACTTGGGCACAAAAGCCACGCCCATATTATACACGGGCTACCAGGCCGCTTCTATCGTACAGTAGATCATTCAAAAAGGTGTGTCTTTCGCTTCTCGGGTTTCGTCTTTACATCATCCGCGCAGACGCGATCATCTTGGATGCATGCAATTTAACCGAGGATTCCGCTACCACCCTCGGGCTGGCCGGTGGCCATCGAGGCAATGGCGGCAGCATCCTGTCCACCGAGACGCTTGGTCTCGGTGCCGACACGGGTGATGTAGGTGCGGCTCGTGACGTTCCACATGGCGATGTACTTCTCCATGCAGCTGGACAGGCAGGTATTCTCCTTAGCAGAGAGCGAAGTACCGGGGGTAGGGACGCAGGCCTGGAAGCAGTGTTTGTTCACTTTCTGCAGGTGTTGTTAGCTTGTTGCTGTCAGCAACCAGGGATGGTGACGTACTCCGATCAGAGAACGAGCGTTGGACATGGCGGCCTCGGTCTGGAGCTGGCGCACGACAGCAGCCTTGATCTCCTCAGAGGTCTGAGGAGTAGCAGAGGAGGAAGAACCGAAGAGAGACGACATTGTGTGTGAGGATAAGAGGTATGGGAAGATGAAGTTGGGGAAGACGAACAAATTGAGGTTCAGGATCTGAGTGTGGCTGGTGTCCTGCGCCACACCTGATGTGGACACCTTAGCATAACAAGCTCCAGGGTTGTATACTTCACTTCCTCGCACTTCACCAATTCACTCTTTGTGCTCGCCTCTCAGTCCCCTTTTCTTCTCTTTGCTCCTGGGTATCCGGGTCCTGGTGACACCGTGCCCCCATCTATCCCACCCCCAGTCTATCCTTGAATCGCCTTGGGCCTCCCCCTCCACGGGCCCTAATATAGCTCCAATATGCGTCTTACGTCGCTTTCCTCTCTTCTCTGTCTTGCAGGCCTGGTTTCAGTACCAGTAAATGCCTACGATGACCCCAATATCAAGAGCATCCCTGTAAGTGTGCATTGTTGACGCGACCTGAATCGGAGCCGAGGTACTAACTTGTGACTTCTACAGCTTCGCACCCACAGCCTTTCTCCGGTATGATTACCTCCGGTATCCAGCTCGTTCAAGTCTGCCGACATCAATCTGCACATAGCTTGCATTCCGCCGAAGACCAATGCTGACCGCCAGGAACAGCCATATCTCGATTCGGATTTCCAAAGCCGCTGGTTCGACTTCGGAGGAGATACAGTAGTCCGCGCCGACAAGTAATACTTCCAAGGGCATCTATACAGCAGGAAATGGGCTAACTTTGTCCCTGTGATCAGGTACCTCCGTCTTACGGCCGACCGACCATCCCAGCAAGGATGGATCTTCTCTCGCGTGCCTCTCACGGCGACCAATTGGCAGGTAAATACTGGATTACTCGAATGAGAAGAAATGCGCACCCAACGCTCACATGTACCCCTGGTAGATCGAACTCGAGTTTGAGATCCACGGCGCCGGCAACTTGCACGGTGATGGATTTGCCCTCTGGCTCACCAAGGAGCGCGCCACTCAAGGCCCCGTGTTCGGCTCGACAGACCGATTCGAGGGTCTCGGTATCTTCTTCGACACCTATAAGAACAACCGCCCAGGTGTGTCGTTCCCATACGTCATGGCCATGATGGGTGACGGCCAGACCACCTACGACCAGGCGCACGACGGCAAAGCGAACGAGCTGGCCGGTTGCTCCGTGAGTTTTGATCCATTTGCAGCTACGTAAAGGCAGTGCTAATTAATTACCTATAGGCTCGTGGTCTTCGCAGCGCCCCCGTCCCCACCAAGGCCCGTCTCACCTACTTCCAGGACAAGTCCCTCACCCTGGAACTGCAATACAAGACCGAAGACTCGTGGACCAACTGCTTTACTCTCAACGCCGACGAGGCTAACATTGCCATTCCCTCCGTTGCTTACCTCGGTCTCTCCGCTGAGACGGGTGAGTTGAGCGACAACCACGACATTATCTCCCTCAAGGCTGAGAACTTATACTCCCTCAACCGGAACAACAACAACGCCGGCAAGGGCTCCTCTGACGGCCGTTCCAAGGGCCGTGACGGCGCCAAGGCTTCTAAGGAGGGTGGCAGCTGGACCTGGTTCCTGTTCAAGACCATCATGTTCTTCGCTGCTATTGCTGGTGCATACTTTGGCTGGACGATCTACCGGACCAAGGCCCGGTCTTCGCGTTTCTGAATTTACGGATATTTAGCAAAGCACAGGACTCAGAAGTCTCTGGTTCGAAGTGGTGTCTGGGTCTACCCAGTTGTGGTTGATGAAATGGTTCGTTCTTGCATACATAGCCCCTGTGAAGCTCTTCTTTTTACTCTCTGATCTACGTTTTTTGTCGCGACAACTTATCTGTTCCTTTCTCCCAATATTTGAAATGAATCCAAGTCATGATTATTCAATTGCATGCTCTCATAGGCGTGAATGGGGTATCGTAGTAAAATCAGTATGCAAAACGCTGCCAAATGCATATTCCAGTCCTGCCAATATCCCAGGCTGGTTTCCTAGCCCTGTCGTTCTCTCTCTTCACTCCACATCCGGTCCACGATCTGAAAGACCTCGGTAACACTGCGCATAACGACATCATCAATGCCCAGCGCTCCATAACGATGCTGAATCTTATCCGGATGCCAGCGAATACGCTCAGCCTTGAGGATACTCAGCAAATCCAGCCCAGGAGCATGGCGCATGAACTCCTCAACAGCCCCAGGCTCAACATCAGCCCTCTTCCCAGACCTCACAGGCCAAAAGAGTAAATTGCGCAACGGCTTAGAAGAACCCTTCTTCTCCCGCGCCCGCTCTCCCTCTCCCTCTCCCTCTCCCTCTCCCTCCTGCGCAGCCTCCTTTCCAACCCGCCCAATAACATCCCACTGCTCAATATACTCCCTCCAAACCCCATCCCAAGCCCTAAGCTTCTTCCTCTCAGCCCCACGCCGCAAACTATCATCCATAGCCCTCTCAAACGCCCTCCTCTCCGCCTCGGCACTGCGCCCCTTCTCCTCCTTCTTCTTCTGCCTCATCCGCTCGGCACGTAGTCGTTCCTGTTCTTCGATCATGCCTTCGCGCGTGCGCTCCCACATCCGCGTCCGCACGTACGACACGTACTCCTCATCGGACATCTGCTCCAGTTCGCCATCTGGGCCCTTGGGTACGTGTGGCACGCTGTAGTTGTGGATTGGTTGGCCGTACACGGATTCCCAGTATGCGGCGCCTTCGTCGTCGCCTAGGGCGTCGAAGAGCGATTCGCGGAATGCGTCGTTTGTGTTTAGGTGGGGCTGGTTGGTGGATTGGGTTGGTGGGGTGTTGGAGCGGTGGCGCTTGCTGTGCTTTTCGGGGGACCTGGAGCGGTGGCTTCGGTGGCGTTTGCGGTGTTGTCTTGTGCTCGAGGGGTTGTGGCTTTCTTTTGAGTGTCGTGATGAGCTTTTGAAGCGGAATTTGCCTTTGCTGCGGCTTGGATTGTATTCGTCGGGTTTGTGGGTGTTGGTGGGAGCCGGAGGGGTGTGTTCTTCGGCTCCTTTGGTGTCCATCTCGGAGACTGGAGGGCGACACAATCTGTCCCAGGCGAATTGGTGCGTGCGATCGTATGGAGTGTGTAGAAAGTCGAGATGAAATGCCTTGTTTTGGTTCACCGCCCTACTGACCGCCCGAGCACTTGCATCATCTTATCGCGATCTTATCGTGCTGTCGTGTTATCGCCCGAGCCCTAACTCATCACGTTGGATGAAGAACCAGTTCAAATGCCACTGCGTATTTGCTCATGCCTATCTGCTCCGTTGAGCAGCATCTTGCTACGAGGTTTGTGCAGATTGTTGCTGAGGGATAACCTTTTCCGACTGATTTGGATTGGACGGTGTTCATCGCTGAAACAGCACCCTGAATTACATCATTAGCCATAACTTCTTTCACACGGCCACTTGTATATAAAGCTATTCAGGGCACTCGATAAAGGGCAAGAAAGAGGTCAAAAAGAGATACCAATGTAGGGCGGAAACAATCCATAAAACGGCATACTCGCTTCGAGGCTTTCTTGTAGAGATTATCCAATACTTCATCAGGGCACTGTATATAAACTTATGGACCCTGTTGTACGACACCCAGAATCAATAAATAGAAGCGTGAATTAATGTACTTCCTGCTAATCAGGATCTGTAAGGACCTAAGTAACAGGATGTTGCTTCTGAGCAGTATCTTCTCGATCTTCATCTTGATTCTACCTTTGTGTAGATCCCACGTTTGTGCAGACTTAGAAAGTTCAAATCCCGCAAGAGCAATATTACCAGTCATTGCTAGGCCAGTTACCGTTGGGCCAAAGGTGAGGTCGATCCCCGACGTCAATCAGATTTTGGAGCCTTCGCCAGTGAGCCCTGGCTATGGTGAATGAGATGCTATCATATGGCTGTCGACCATTGGGGCCCTCGAAGCCTGCATCAATAACCAAACGGACAAGGTCACAGTGACGTCCAGTCAGAGCGGCATCCATAATATCAGGGTGGTATTCTCTCCAACCGCATACCTCCTGTCCGAGGATTATCTTCTGGGATTTGTGTTCTTGTCTCAGAATGCGTCGCGCCCTGGAAGCTCGCTCCCAAGGGGCGATATCAGCTACAAACCACAGTGTAGCTTCGCTGTCGATAATATTCACATTCGCTCCTTTGCTGAGGGCATAAACCACGACGTCAGGCTGGTTGTGCCACAGTGCTTCATAAAGTATGATCTGCGCTGCAAGGCAAACGGGGAGGTCGCCGCCGGAGTCGGGAGATTCGAGATGAGCAAAAAGGACCTTGAGAACAGGGAGAAATCCAAAGAGTGCGGCAACTTTGAGGGAGCGTCGAAGTGTGAAAGCACCCCTGAAAACCTCCGGGTGGTCGGCCAGAAGCATTTTGACTACTCCAGTATGACCTCTGGCGGCTGCCGCTTGGATAGGGGTTGTAAAGTGATCGTCAAGAAAGTTGGGGTAAACGCCATAGCGAATCAGGAACCTGATGCAGGCTTTGGATCCAGCGGCGGCAGCAGCAGTGATGGGATGCGCTCGTGGGTATCTGGGGATGATAGACAAGGATTCAATAAAATCAGACGTTTTGACGTGTGTATTGAAGCGGTCTGACTTTGGAATCTTTGCATCAGCTGCTACGGACTTGCGCAGAGTGCTCAATCGACCTTTCTCAGCAGCCCAGTGAGCAGCTGCGCCGCCATGAGCCTTGGCATCCAGTTTGTAAAGTTTGAGTTCCAACTGCTCCCTCAGTCGGGGGTGAGTGCGCACAAGAGCATTGATATCTCTCATTAAGCTGAGATTATCCACGATGCAGAGAATGATCTCTGTGGGAAGAGATTGGAGGGACATGGTTGCCTTCTTGAAAGATCTTCATGATTAGAGAGGAATGATTGTTGAGGCTTCACAGTCTTGACTTTATCTCACCTGTGGGAAAGAAGATGGTAGGATCTTTCCACAATCAAATTTTGACTGGCTGATGCAGATGAACTCGCCCGTAATGAGAAGATCTTTTGAAACGATCGCAACTTCGAGCATCGGAAAGTGAAAAGATAGAGTAAGGAACTTGAAAGGAAGCAGGGGAAAAGTGGAAGGAGACCAGAGGCGAAAAAGAAATCCCATGATAATGAGGTCCAAAAGCTCCCACTGCCTGTTCCGTAAAGACCAACATGTGACAGCATATGACGATGCAGCTTTGTACAAACAACTCAAACGGTGCAAAGGTAGGGCAGTGAGTCGTAGAGATCTTTGAGATCACACACTCCAGAACGTCTATTACTGCCTGAACGTGATACAATCACCGCCTTCACTTGTTGTATAGATATAGGTTGATTCAAAGGGCTGGAGAGAGAGAAGAATAATAATAATAATATGGAGGAGGAGGAAGAGGAAGACGATAGTTCTCTACCTAGGTATGAAGAGGCAGATGACTACATATTCCTAGGGACAAAGGTAAACAGAGACTGGAATCGTGAGGCAAATATCACTAGACCAACAAATTTTATACGCTTAGGACATAATACGGCCTATTTTGACCTCTCTTTCTTCACCTCTTCTTTTGCCCATTTTCAAGTGCCTCAGGCTTGTAGTGGTTTAATAATAGTATAATATAAAGGTGAAGGTGTGAAAGGACTGATAGCCTATGACTGTACTTTTATATCTGAATACGATCCTTCAAACCAAAAATAGTAATCTCGGTCGTTAGTAGGATCATTATTGTATCTATCATCTTTCTACTGTATGTCCCCTCTTGTTCAGATCCATGGGGAGAAATGTATTTAACTTGTGAGGCATGTTTGCAATTTTCTCAAGAGACTCAGCCAACTGCACTGGACTTTCAAATGTGTCAACTATCCATTGCGGCGAATTGTATAAAGGGGATGCAATGGCTCCCAGCTATAACGAGAGCCAATCTTTCTCAATTGTCTTATAGACGGTGTCTCACTAGGATTATTTACAAAAATTGTAATACTGCCGCCAACCTATAAGGTACTTGAGGAAAGGAATTAAAGTCGGCGGGTGGCACGCAGCAAACCCAAACGTAAAAAAGATGGACTGCGCACGTTGCATAGCGAACGCGAGGGTATTTTACATGAAATTTAAAAAAACAGCAAGGTAAAGCCAATTGTGACCAACGGAAAGATAAGTTTTAAAGAGTACTCTATATAGAATGCCTTTATGGCACACGAATCGAGACGGGAACTTAACTATGAAATCAAAATCCTTTGTCGTAAATAACATAATATCCAGGGTAGTTTATGGTCAGATCTCTCAACTTTACTATGAGCTCATCTGCTGGAATCTGCATAAATGAGAGATCTTCCTGGTACCTGGTATCTAGTAAGAGGCTCCTTCCTTGCATGGAACATCCCGGGAATATCCCCTTGCTTCATAGATCAACTATCATTCTGCCCAAGCCACTCCTCGCATCAAGATGCAACAGAAGCTAGGCTAATCGGTACATTTCACTCCGTATGAACGACATTTTGTGAGCGGGCTCATCATGTGTAAGGGTCCTACACGTAGAAAGATCCCTATATGCAGGGGTTGGTCTGAAGCTATTCAGAGCCTAGTGCATGCCTACTTAATAAAATATTCACATCTTAACCCGTGGGTGCACAGAAGTAATCTCAGCCTCTGCCACAATTGTTAAGACTACAGGCTACACCTAAAGCAATTTCAATTTCCGGATCCAGTTTTAGAAGTTCCCTAGTTAATTAACTCATCGTCTGAAAAGATATACCCTCCGTCTATGTCTCGACAAAAATCAGCCAAGCTGTCTCGTCAACAGATTTAGATTAAATTCAACACAAGCACAATCTTTCTGTGCCTATCGTACCAAAGTAAGGCTTAACTATCATTACCATTGCTTGAAGTAAACTTCCAGTAGATCAGACATGCCTTTGCATTGTAAGAGGTCCGGCCGATCTGCTAGAGCCTTATGCAAAGTCAATGTTTCATGCTTATGTCTGTCATGTCTGCTTTTGCAAATGAGGCATTCAGGCACCGCTCAGCTACCATTAGGGCCATTGGAGCAATGTGTGAATCAAGTTTTGTGCCTGATAGAAGATCCAGCCATTGAGGGAATGGGTCCCTTCGGAGTACCGGGGAAGTGAGTTGGCCGAGGATATTAAACGTGCTTGACGGGCTTGTGTTCTGATCTGGAGCCGGATGCATCAAACTGTATGCAACACAGATAAGCAAACAAAGTCGACAGGGACGAAGTTGAAGTTTGTTCCGCTGGTTGGATGTATGAGGATATAAACCCAAACGAATACAAGTCGACATAGCCTTATTCAAGACGTCATCTCGATTTCCCTCGCCGGTGACACTGTGCCCGAGAATCAAGCCTGGGCGTTAGATAGTGAGATGGAAGCCATGTGCGATTGCATCCCAACAAATTGTTTCAGCGACATATTTGCTGAGGAGGGTATCCAGTGTATTATCGCAGCTTTCCTGGTGCTTTCTTGGTGCTGTCCCTGGGTCTCTGGCTCTCTGGTATATGTTCTTGATTGGTAGGAACCCAATTGGGCCGCATGTCGCAATAGAAGAGAAATAATGGACAGATTTGGGATGGTGAGTGCTGGCAAATCCTAGGACACGGACAAGGCCAAGCACATTCACCTCCCGATGTGCATCATCAGATAAGGCCCAGCTAACAACAGCTCCTAGAAAAATAGTGCTGCATTTCTCGGCTAGGTGGGCAAATTCTGCGCAGGAACCGCTTGGACTTTGTCTCGAGACCTGATGGGCAGATCGAACTTCTCAAAAGTTGCATCCAGTCGAGCCATTGCGGTGATACTGTCAGAAGCTCGAACCAAGCAAGTTACAATGTGGACATGAGGCATTTCTGTCAGCAAGGAAAGCATAAATGCCCCCAAAAACCCAGTGGCACCTGTTAAAAGAACATGACCTTCTGACTGAGAATGCCATTCTGGCGGATGCAAGTCCTGACCGAGCCACAAGTCTCGCAGGTGCGGGAAGTGCGGGAATTCGGTTTCATTCAGCAAAGTCTACTTCATGTATCGCATTTCTACCACTGATGTTAAAAACCACTGCTAAACTTGTTTATCGAAGTGGTCTACTGTATAGGTCACGTGCCTTGCGTGCCCCAATTTCTGACTGACTTTTTAGTTGGTGCCTGATATCCCACGGTTAAAACTGTACTGTACGGCTGCCCTTCGCAGGCTGAACATCAAATTGGGAATGCCACAGGCATCTGAAAGCTTGATTGTATGAATGCAAAATCCGAAATCTGCAACAACGGCTAGATAAAACAAACGCCCATTCCCAGGGAATCTCCCCTCCCAAACGCGCATACATGTCCGAAAAGAAAAGCAATCAAATGCGATAATGCGCCATGTTTTTCTTGATCTCATCCACGATCTCTACAGCTTCACCCGTACTCCGAGCCTCGAAGTCATAGCGCTTCTGTTCGGTGGCATCGTTGCCGCGTACTATCATGACACGGAAGCTCTTGGGGTGTCGGCGACTGACCTTTGACCCGATCACGTCGCTGAAACTGATTGATCGTGTCTTGCCGCCGGAGGCTGTTTTGCCTGTATCCCCTGGGACGATGTGCATGTAGTCATTTTCAAATGTGAGGATGCGGTGGTTGGATGCTGTGAATGACATGGGTTGCTTGCGGAATACGTGGTAGCGACGGTAGTAGCCGCCAAGGTGGTCTTGCTTCTGAGAAGATGAGGGTAGCATGCGTTGAGTGCCCTTCTTGGCTTCTTTCTTGCTCTTCTTGGAAGCAGCTGGGTCGGAGCTTTCCACCATCAGGGGTGCATTTGGTGACGAGCTGCCGGGTGATGTTCCTAATGCCAGAGGACCACCACCGAAGCGACGACGCACAAGATCAAGCTCTGTAATGCTACCCAATGCCTCCACAGTGCGGTCCAGCGGTGCAATCGTATTGGACCCCATCACTTTCAGCAAATAATTGCCCTTATCCTGGCCCCAGCGTTTACAGACAGTATCCAAGATCTCCGCGATGTAACTGTCAGTAGATGTGTTCAGGGTCATGACATGCGCGGAAGCTTCTGTATTGATGAAACGAATCTTCAATGTCTTGGAAACACCAAGGCGGGGAGTAGCATGGGAGATAGGTACCACAGGTCGATCAGCAGGGGTAAGAGTGCTGTGGTTGAGCGCGGAGGAGAACGGTTGGCCTAGGATAGGATTTGTGCGTGCTGGAGTGGGCTGGTTAGGGGTTTGCTGTCCGGGAGTTTGTGTGCCAGGTACTGCGAGAGTTGCCGGCTGTTCACCCTCATCCGATCCAACAGTCGCACTGAAATGTGGGTATAGTCGTTCGTTATTCTCGAACTCAGTCTTCGAAGCCTCCACAAGTGCAAATTCGTCATACGGCTTGCCCCTTGACCGTCCTCGTGATTTGCCAGATTTGCCGTTGTTGTTGGACGTGAAATCCGACATTGGGAGTGTCCGCCCAAGTGCTGGGAAATCAAACTCGACTTCCCCATCCTCAACCATCCGTAGAGTCCACCGATTCACAGACAACTTCTCGCGCTCAATCGCTGGGCCACGAGAGTCTGCAGAATACTTCCACAGTGCAAGACCAATTGTCTCGGCAACGGTAACGAGGGCGGGCTGTTCTGCAAGTTTCGATTCGCGCAAAAGTGGCATGTCTAATGGTTCTTCGGGGTCACTTGCAAAGGGAACGTAGATCTTCAGATACAACGGATCCTCTTGACCTTGCCCATAAAGGACCATAAACTTCTCCACAGGGTTGCTCGGTGCACGCTTCCGGGACTTGAGTTGACTAGTCAGTAAGCTGACCGGCTGTATCATACTGATAGGACGTGGAGGAGGAAGTTGTTGCAATGCAGGAGCAGGTGTTTTTGGCTTGCGTGGTGAAGTATTCCGGGGTCCTGTCCCAGGGGGCAGCTTGTTCATCAACACCATGGGGGAGGATGCATCTAAGCCGTCCGCAACACCGGCTAGCAGTAGGGAACCAGAACCAGCTGTGTTATCAAAATCAGATGAGAGCGCAGACCCAACCGACTCCGCACCCGAGTCCTCGTCTTCTTCGTGAAGTTCTCCGAGAGCTATGCTTTCTGCGCCCCGGCTTCCAGTTCGCTCACGTCGCCTGCGAGTATATTCGACAATGTGATCACTGCCGGAGAATTGGACCTGTCCTGGTTTGTAGCCTCGCGAGTCCGCTTCATTGTCCGTTGATAAATCACTGCTAGTGGTTGTGTCTCTTCGAGGGCGTGTTGGTGCACGGTATTGGTTCGCAACGTTCTGTGTCGAAGGAGACGTGATCATCACCTCTGGTCGATCACGCTGGTCTTCGGAGCGCCTTGGAGAGGAATCGGCTCGATCTCGGCGAATGGGCATTTTGTTGAACTTGATTTGATCAACAGCACTGTTCATGTTCATGTCAGAAATTGAAGGAGAATATCTTTAAATATTTCACCAACCTGCCAACGTTGTCCCCATCATCGTCGCTGTCATCGCTCAAATCACTGCTGTCGTCGTCCTCAGCTTCCGCCTGTCGCTGGGCCTCCTGCTGCCTTTCACGTCGACTCTTCTTCTTTCCGCCGCGCGCATGATGTCGTCGCCCAGTCGTGTCCGCGTGGCTTTTGCCGGTCACCATGCCACCATCATCCTCGCCATCCTCCAGGCCGAGGCCTTGAACGTCGTCCTGCGCGGGTTTCGCATTTCGTTCCGCAAGCCTGTAATATTCGGATGATACATTTGCCGTGGTTGGGATCGGTGGGGAGTAAGAGCGCCTGAGGTGAGAGGAGCTGTGTGTGTTGGGGTACGCAGAGGTCGTTGACCAGCCCGCAGCGCGGAAGCCAGGCGTGTTCAGAACGGAGTCATTGACGGTGATGAGTCGGTCTCCGATTCCATCTTTGATTGTCGATAGATATGAGGAACGTAATTGCCAGATCGCAAAGCTATGCTTGGTTTAGTCCTTGGTCTTGCCGCGCTTCAGGCCACGGTCTGCGAATCCGGGGCGGACTTACTCTTCGTTGTGAAGGAGAGACATATTCACAGCGACAGGGAGATCAGAAATCCCCAGTCAGCCAAGAACGTACTGCGCAGTCTGTAGCGACCGAGGTTATCGTGCAATCTCAGCTTATAGCCGAAGTCGCATGCTCACGTGGGGCATGCGGAGGGAGAGAGCATGCGTAAATGAAGTCTGTCTCATGCAGGGCCAGCCTGGAAGCAAGACAGAAAAACACGGAGAGCAGGAAAGGAGAGTGTGCTAGCAAGTGAGAGATCGTAGGAAGGGAAGTCGATCGGTGGTGGTTCTCCGCAGATCGCTTCCCCGCCAGGGGGCAGTGACTTGCCACTATGAGAAATGGGAAATATCTACAACTGCAGTACAATGTATTACGGTAGTTAGAGTAGATTATTCTTTTAATTCTGTTTGAGAAATATATAACTGTATTGCTAAATCACGCTAGCTGTTTCAGTCTTCGAAAATAAACGGTCGCTGCATGGCTAACTAGGAAAAGAAGCTTAAATCAGCAAGAATGTAACTGGAATTTGGCAATGTATATAGACAAAATAGAACATTCATATTCAAACGCGCCGAGTAACACCGACAAGACAGACAATGCTACTGAGAACACAATGGATGGTATGATACAAAAAAGACAACATCTCAAGCCTTAGCCTTGCCCTTTGCCTTGCCCTTCTTCGGCTTCTCTTCCTCCTCCTCATCAGCCTTCTTAGCCTTCTTGCCCTTGGCCGGAGCCTTCTTCTTCTTAGGCAAGCTCACATACTTATCCTTCTTCAGATCGAGTTCGTCTTCCTCATCATCCTTAATCTCATTAACAACTTCCTCCTCGTCGGATTCTTCAATAGCATCTTCGAGATCGGGCTTCTCCTTCGGTCCCTTCTTCGGCGCAACCACGTTACTAGCCTTCATGAAAGGCAATGGATGCGAGCGCGAGTTGTATAGACGCGTGAAGGTGGCCTTGGTCTGTGTGTCCAGCTTGACGTTGGACTCGTCCATAGGACCCAGTCCTAATTCGACCATGGCATCAAAGTCGTCACGGGTGAGGAAGTATCCATCCATGAAATCAATGACCGAGTCCACACTTTCCTTGCCCTCTTCCATCAGACGGCGAATCATTTTTTGCTGGAGCAAGGGCATGTACTGCTGGCGGATCTCGTCGCGGTTGCCAGTTGTGCGAAGGCGCATGTGGCCCTGAATTTCCTTGACATATCGGGACATTTTTCCTAATAATGATCAGAGTTGTTACGAATATTAGTGAAGAGGGGGAACTTACCATGTTTGCTGTTGTTCCCTAACCAGCTAGTAAATGAAGCCCGTTCACTGAAGTTACCGTACTGGTAGCTGGCAGGCCGGACAAAGCTGAAAATGGCATGAACGGGCATCAGACTCCACTGTTGCTGTGTTCCGTGAATCATACGGTCAACAAGGTCGCCGTCACTGATACTCGAGGCGGCATTGTCAAGCAACTCAAGTGACTTGAGACGTTGCTCCTTGCCCTGGTATTTGCCCGCGAGAGTGGGTTTAGTCTTAACATAATTCTCCTGGAGCATCAGATAGCTGAACTCGTGGTCGTTGAAATAGAGCTCGACCTTGTCGTTCAGCGTAGCGGTAGAACTGGGTGAAAACATCTGTGCACTAAGAATTTTGCTAACAATATCCCAGGGCTTAAGGATCACATGCTTCTCCCATGCCTTTGACATATGCTTGCCTTCGTCGTAGTTGAGAGTCTTCTGATCCAACCTGGCGGTGGATAACATGTTGATAACCTGGCGGATATCGGCATGCGTTCCTTCAATGAGGCCATCGAGTACAGGAGGGGGTATCTTCAGGCCTTCTCGGAAGCAGATGGTGGATAGTCTTGCTCGGATTTGCTCGGCAGTCGGGCGTCTGAATGGAATATCGAAGGTAACATGGTCGAAGGGTTTCATCTTGGGAAGCTTGCGTTCATTGCAGACAAGGATGATTGGAATCCTGGTCTTCTTGAGAACGGCTGCGACAGCTCCCACACCTCCACGGTCACCGGCAGACATACCATCCACTTCGTCCATGATGAGCACAAGCTTCTTCTTTTCGCCCTCGACCTGTTTTCCCTCTCCGGCGAAGTAACCTTGAAGAGACGTCGTATCCAGTACGCCCAGAGTAGAGCTCTCAACAAGCTTCTTGCTTCTGGTGTCACTGGCATTGGTCTCAACAATATCGTATCCCTCCAGCTTTGCTATAAGATGGGCTGCTGTGGTTTTACCAATGCCCGGGGGACCGTGAATAATGACAGCCCGGTACAGACCTGAGCCATCCTTGCCACCCTTCTTGAAGTCGTACTTGGCACTGTTGTGCCAGTTGCGCAGCCAGTTCTGGATCTTCTCAACTGGGGCCTTATTACCACAGATCATGTTGAGAGATGTGGGAGCATATTTCGTCGTCCAAAGATCGCCGGCCGAAGTTTGCGGGCTAGACGGCGGCTGAGATGCCTGAGATGAGGGCGCAGCAGTCTTGGGGGTTTTAGGAGTCGCGGCAGCCTTCTTTCGCTTCTCCTCGGCATCAATTTCAGCGGCCATAACACGAATCTTCTCCTCGTCGGCCTTTTGCTTTTCGGCATACTTTTCGGCGGCCTTTCCGTCACCGCCGTTGGCGGGAAGTCGTCGGATCAATTCGAAGAGACCATCTTCATCGATGGTCTTGATGCCGTGCTTCGCAATGGTTTCGAGCTTCTTTGGACCGGCATCACTTCCAAGGACAACAAAGCTCGTCTTGCTGCTTGGGGCTCCCGTGACCTTACCACCATACTTCTTCACTAGCTGGGCGCCCTCCTCACGACCGAGGGTTTCCTGGACTCCAGTGAAAACAAATGAGAGCCCGGCAAGACAGTTTTCCTGCCCGACTGGCATCTCCTTGGTCCCAGCCATCGCTGGGTCCCGTGATGCTTGTTGTCCGAATTGCCATTTCTTTGGCTCTCCCTGGGGAGGCTCAGGAGCATCGACCAGAGGGATGCTGTCAAAGATGTCTTGGATCTCTTTGCTCTCCGGAGCGTCCTTGGCCTTTTTGGGTGTAGACTTTTGCTTCTTTGCTGGCGATGCAGTCTTCTTCGGGGCTGCCTTCTTCGGTGCCTCGTATTCCCCATCTTCATCCTCATCAATGAGTGCCTCCGCCTTGCGTTTGCGGCCCGGCCGAGCCTTTGGAGCGGGCTCCTTGGGGAGATCTTCCATGACCACATCGTCGTCTTCGCGGGAATCTTTCTTTTTCTGCGTCTTCTTGGCTGCAGCGGCGGGCTTTACTTCCAATACCTCAAAGTCACTGCCGTCGTCTTCGTCTGCCATGACATAATCATCGTCGCCCTTGCCGGCCTTTCCATATTCGGTGGCAAAGATGTCATCGTGGCCGAGTTTCTCATCCTCGATGACCTTTGAGGCATTCTTCGTTGATCCGCGAGCGGCGGGCCGGCTCTTCTTCTCAGGTTCTGCGGCGGCCTTCTTGGGCTTCGGACTTGCGACTTTCTCTTTGGTGTCCTCGGCCTGAGCCTCTGTCGATTTGGCAGGCTTGCCCTTCTTCTTGCTGGAGGCAAAATAGTCCGACGAAGTTGTGGGTTCTCCCTTGGGCTCTTCGGGTTTCCTGTAGACATATAAGCAAGTGCAGGTGGTGCAGATACCGGCGGGGGCGCAATGAACATACGCTTGCCGTTTCGGGTTTACTTTAGGAGTCGGCTCTTTGGTGGGTACGGCCTCTTCTTCATCGTCGCTATCATCGATGACCTTTCTGCTACCTGCGCTCAGGTTAGAATGGTAGACTAGAAGTGGGAAGTAGGAAGTGCGTACGCTTCTTTCGCGTGGCGGACGGGTCCTTCATAGTTGACATTGAGTTAGCAAGGAAATTCGCTCGATTTTCGAGATATCCCAAGCCATATATAGAATGACACAGTCCTCCTTTGTAACAAGGCAGCAGCTTACCTCTTTTTTGGCCGCGGGCTTTGCGGGAGCGTCGCTGGAGCCTTGACTACTTGGCTTTCCGCCAAAGAAACTCCGGATGTCAGGCATTTCGAGGCTCAATCAATCACATAAATAGCCAGAACTGCCCAGCAGTAGTCCAAGAAGCAATTTAAAAAAGAACCGAGCCTCGTAGTAAGCACTTGCAAAGCTGCAACAGTTGCTGATACTCGCAGTGACGCGCCGTCGCGAACGGGAGACGTGACTGCTGATGTAAGCACTCTGTCCACTTCGGGACTAGCGCATCAATCGAAAAGTGCTCCGGCCGGAAGTAACGAGTGAGAGCAGTCAACGTCGATATATCCCGATATCCCCCTCACAATGGGTCCACAGACTAAGATGTTCGCTCGAACACTATCTGCCTGCACGCGGCCGACCTGTACGAACTGTCAATTCCCTGCACAAACACTTTTGGTCAACGACTAACAATGCGACAGTGTCGGCACCGCTGGCCACCTTTTCTCTATCACGATGCTTCTCCACCACCTCGCCTGCCCTTGACTGGCTCACTCCGAAATTCCAAGAAAAGTCCAAGTCGCCCAAGGGTCGTCCCCATGTCGCCACTGGTGGTTCGACTCGCGGAACAACAGTCGTGTGGGGAGATTTCGGATTGCGCATGAAAGACCACGACCGCCGTATGCCCGCATCGGCGTTGAAGATTGCTGAAGAGACTATCAAGCGGCGGCTACGAGGAATGAACTACAAGCTCTACAAGCGTGTCAGTGCCAACATTGGTGTCTACACTAAGGGTAACGAGCAGCGTATGGGTAAGGGTAAGGGAAAGTTTGACTACTGGACTGTCCGTCTGCCCGTTAGCCGAGTCGTCTTCGAATTGAAGGGAGATGTTCACGAGAAGGTTGCCCGCGAGGCATTCAGATTGGCGGGTCACAAATTGCCAGGTATGCGATGGATTGGCTACAATCTACTGGAATATGTATATGGTTTGATGCTCATTTTGTTTCATTAGGTCTCTGGGAATTCGTCAACAAGGACGACCCCCCTGTTGTCGGTATTACAAAGCTCGGAAACGGCGTGACTCTCGACTCGCTCAAGCGGGCGCGCAGAAACCCGCCCCTCGGTACCAATGACCTCGCTTCACCACCGAAGAGCGTCTCCTCCAACCCCGACTCCCCCCAATAAACAAATCGTGTTCCCCTGCATGATATCCTTTTTTCCCTCCCGGTGTCTGTTTGTCGTTTTCAATTCGGCTAAGCGCCCACTCCGGACCCAGGCCCATACCCCTGCAGTCTGCGGGCCTTGGCCGCTGCATCGTCCTCGTCAAGTGCTATATCTTTGTATATTATCATCAGCTGTTTGCGTCTCTTTAGAATCCACTGAGGCACGGACTCCTCTGTTGGATATCTTGTCTTGATACTAGGAGTTTAGACATAAGGAAAACATATACTTATTTACCTTTGCTCGAGTCACGGAGTACCCCCATGCCCAAACTCTGCGCCTGGAGCTCCTCGTTTTGCTTGGATGTTGGAGTATCTGTTCCCAGACTGGGGCTCACTTCGCTTTTAGTATGTGGTTGGCCGACTGATGCCGATTAGCACTGGTATAGGACACAATGTTCTTGGTGGGAACACACAACCCAGTTGTCCGGTCTGCTTCGAGGGACTGATAGTGTATTGACGGATTGACTCGTATCTTATCAAGATGTTAGTCCAAAAATATGGGGAGAACTGGTGGTGGTCTCCATACTGAGTGCTTTCTCCGCCAGGTTCCATATCAATTAGCCTGGGGTCTGTCATCTTTAATACTTCGATATTCGATATATGAGCTGTAATCAGTCAAGGTATTACACTGAATCAAAAAGACTGACAGAAATGCAATGATATAAGAGAAATTCACATGTGGCTCATGACAGGATGTGATGACGTCGGTTCGGCCTAGAACCGTGGAAGGCTTCCCCTCAGATCTACAAGTTGATATACTTCATACAAGTGGCATTGTTCTCTACGTGGGTTATCTGCAGTGCCGAGATGCTGTAGAGGCATGTGATGGAGTTATGCAAGCAAAGATAGTTCCTTCGGCTTCCGCGTACGCAATGATAAATTATAAACGCCAGAATCCTCAATGCCTTCATGCGCTTGTGAAAACCAACAAGAACCGGATGGTCAGGGATTTCGAAGGTAGCACAGCATAATAGTAGACCATAAATTCTGAATCCCATGTCCTTCCACTAGAAGCCACCTTAGTGTACAAATCGTCATTCATCTATTGTTTTGCTTTGCTGGCAGCTACGGTTTAGAAGTCCATGCCCATCAGGTAACTATATAATTGTTAGCATTAATCTTTAATGGTGTAATCAGTTCGATCATACCTTTCATAGATGCGCATGAACTTGGCCACAAATGCTTCGAGGTGGAAGATAACTTTCTGTATGGGAGATACGTCAGTATAAACGATAATATGGACAATGAGAAGCCAAGAGTGACTTACGCTTCCCAGCTTGATGCGATGCTCATAAAAGGCAGACCATTTGATAACGTCAGGCTTCAGCGCATCGTCAACTCGTGCAACAAGCTTGAATGTTAAGGTCTATAATCATGGGTTAGCATTTGAATAAGCTTTAAGTTAAGGGAATATACCTTCAAAATAGTCGTGGGGGGAATGCAATGGGTCAAAAGATCATAAAGGCGTGCGCGAACTTGCAGCAAACGAGCCGGTGATCGTTCCGCCAGGATCTCATCGGCCGTAAGAGTAACAAGTGCCTCCCAGTCCGGAGGCGGGATGAGAGTCTGGTCCGTAACCTTTTCACTAAATCACCAGAGACATAAGTATCAAAAAACCAAGTTGAGAACAGAATGGCAACATACTTCTGCGCATGAATTGACTCAAACATGAGCAGCGCTCGACGCAGATTCCGCCCACTCTCCTTCGCAATCCTCAAGTGAAGCCCCTCCGCCTCAGTCCACCCTTCCCTCTTCGCAGCACCGTGAAGCACTGCACAAATATCTTTTTCAGTTGGCGCAGCAACCCTGACCAGCAGGGTTCGAGAACGAATAGGAGCAATGATATTGGAAGTACTGTTGGCCAAGAGAATCAACCGCAAATTGGGACTGTACTTCTCCATAGTCCGTCTGAGGGCTGCCTGAGCATCGCGCGTCAGATGATCCGCCTCGTTGATTACTACGACCTTGAATCGTTGCTTCGCGCCAAGGTCGACCTGCTGCGTCTGTGCAACTTCCTTTAGCAATTCTTGCACCACGACTCGGTCATAGTTTCCGACGTCGGCGGGTGTGATTTCGAGATGGTAGACTGATGAAACGATGTTGAATTCTAGTTTGCGATTGCTGGTTGTTTGGAAGATTCTGGAGTCGATTTTGATCTTCTCGACTCCCGGGCCGTACAGTTCTTTCAGGGTGGCTATTATCCGTGTCTTCTTTCCGGCTCCTGAGGGTCCGTAGACTAGTAGATGGGGGAAGTCTCCGTTTTGGGCCTATTTGTTGCAGCTTGTGTTAGAGCTGTCGTGTTCCGCGGACGAGGTTCTCTTACCAGTGAGCGCAGGCGATCGGAGAGATCGGGGTGGTATGTGAGGGCATCGAGGGTACGTGGCCGCAGCTTATCAACGAGGAGAGCCATTTTGAGCTCTGTGGCTATGTCGAGAGAATTGGGAAGTGTCTGAAATGCTGGGCGGTTTTTCGATAGAGGATGCGGACTGGAAAACGCGTCGGGACACGCGCCCAATTAATGTCTGGTCCGTGCACGCTAACGCTATATGCAAGAGCTCCAACTAGCACTAGATTGAACACAAGTTGGAACTTGCTATTATACTTGAGAATACTGAGAAATATATACAGCAAGGTATATTTTGGCATCTAATTGCCTTCCGCCAAACTCCGAGGTGTATAATACATGCAAAATGTGTTACAAGAGATGAGAAGGGTACAAAAAGCCAAACCACAAGATCATACAATGTCCAAATGCTCAAGTCTATGCTATATCGCAAATCTGATCAAATATCCTCAGAATGTGTTTGTCATGAAGCAATGGGCTTGAGAACACCATTGTCATCATATTTCGCTTCTATCATGGGGTCAGTCCAGCTCAAAGACATAAAGCATTGTAAAACTCACTGAAGAATGTATATGACAGGGTAATAGTATCGATACCCTTCATATTAGGATCCGTCGCAAAGTCAGGATCAATGAAGAAAAAGACCGGCATATCAACCGACTCTCCCGCATTGAGCTTCTGCTCCTCGAAGCAGAAACATTGAATCTTGCTAAAGTACGGCGCAACCTGTCCCGGCGTGACACTGTACGTTGCGACTCCGATGATATCATTCGGGCCCTTATTCGTTGCGGTATAGAATGCCAGAGCTGTCTCGCCAGGTAGCACGCGGACCTCGCGCTGCTGGGGTGTGAACTTCCAGGGGAGAACATCGGATACAGAGCCGTTGAATGTGATGCGGAGACGGCGGGAGTCTGTCACTGGTGTCACGCGCCCCGCGGTATCGCCGTCGCCGTTGCGGTGGGTGAGAATGGGTTGGCCGCCCCAGCCGGTTTGTTGGCAGATCTGCAATTGGGTGTTAGTATGGCTTCTACTAGTATATGAGGTATATGAGCGATAGGGTCGTACGCACCATTTTGTAAAGAGGGACGGATCCATATGCGAGTGCAACGGTTCCGAGGATGAGACTGACGGTATAGTACCTGGTCGGCAACTCCGTTAGCATTCACCATGGCTAAAATTCAGGATCCAATATGGTCTCACAATGTAGAGGTATTGCGCTTTTGCGATTCCGGGGTATTAAAAGGTGCTGATGATCCTTGGTGCTTTGTTTGGAGCAGGGAATTTCTCGAGAAGTACCTCCTCTCCACGTCGAAGACGTTCTTCCGGAGGTAAATTTGTCGCTGTGGAATTGCCCCCGTTAGCGTTGAGCGGCCCCATGAGGGGAGTAATCGTGAAAACATGGTTCTTGGAGAGTAAGTGCAATCGGATGTTGAATCTCAAGATGTGCAGGCATCCCAAACACGTGATGAGTCTCTTATCGATAAGCCCTCTATGGTGCCATATTTGATGCTGCATTTATGTTGATTCGCATTTACTGTATGGATGATAAAATGGATGAAGTGGCTCTTGTTCTGAGATGTAGCATGTAGGTCTAATCATGGTGGCCAAAACTGCAAACTCTACAAGTTATTCAGCAGCAAATCTGATCATTTTGGGATGAGTCTTTCGGAATATATTTCAGCCCGTTTGCTAGACCCCTTTTTTTTTTTTTTTTTGTTATTTACAAGAGATGATCTATTAGAAGCCGCTCCACACAGACAAGAAAAACAATAAAAACTAAAAGAAAAAGGTGATTGATTGAAATTAGCATCGATTGAATATTGAAGATACCGCCATGATGAAGCATTAGAAGCCATAGGATTTAAGATGAATGATAATACAGGATAGTACCCAGAAAAGCAGTCTGAAGTCTATAACAAAAGAATAATCATAAAACAATAAGGGTATAGGCCTCCTTGAGGCCTAGTTCAAAACGCTATTAGTGATGCGGCCAAAGACCCCTCGGACCATACTGGGCCGCTCTCGAAGGCAAGTGATAAGAATAGCAGCGCTGACAGCAAATGCAAAGCGCTCTCGGTATTGATACTGTATACAGGTCAGTGAGCGCTCATGACTCCGGAACCCGTCACAGGCCCAGTTTGGGGGCGTCGAGAAGGGGGCCGGAGGTGTAACCCTGCTGCGAGGGTCCTATGCATACATACCTTTTTATCGTACAACCGTGGCAAGACCGTGGCAGCTGCCCGGGGTGCCACAAATAGCGCTAGCTCCTGTCTCTTCCGCGCCTTCTCGACCAATGCACTCCAGCCACACATGAGACATCCCGCTCCGACACAGAGGCCGGAGTCCCACATCAACGGGGTGACAGTCTTCGGATCGAAGATCTTAGGGCCGAGTCTTGTTCGAGCAAGACAAACAGAGTAGTAGAAAAGGCTCACGAAAGAGGCCAAGAATGCAGAGGATCGGGCAGCATCAAAAATAGCCCGCCGAAGAGCTGCTGTGGACTTCATCCCCCGCAGACGGAGAACAATCTGTAGCGGGATGTACGTTGCACAGGCAAATTTAAAGGTTCTGGCAAAGCGGTACAAGGCGTGTTTCTCACAACTAGGGCCGCAGCCCATGTGGACCATTTCGCAGGGGATTGGAATGGTTTTGGCTGGGTCTCCCCAATCTTCTGGCCAGTTATAGTCCTTGCACATAGGCTTGAGAAGTGGTGCTTGTCCTGTATCCTTTCCGTATACAAAGACACCTCGTCGAGCACGGCGCAAAGCCTCGATCAAACGCGAGTCAACCTGAGCGGCTTCCCCGATCCATTTCTCGTATGTCCTGGGTAGTCTCTCTGGGAGATAAAACCATGCCCACATGACGATAGCTGCGCTCATGGCGAATAATCCTGCATCCGCTAATCCAGGTACGAAGCGTTCGGCAACAGTCCACCGGTTCTGGGCCTTGCGGTGGCGGGACCAGCGATTCCATGCCACACACGCGATGACATCCATGGCTCGTGTGACTGAGAAGATGGTAAGGTCCATTGTCCTCCCTGCCAGCTCTGGGCGGTGATGCTCAAGCGGATTGGCTGCAACTTGACTGGAATCATATTTCTGGCCTGTAGATTCCCGCTCAGTCGACTTCCGCTGAGTCCTGACATCCTCTGTCGGAAGACAAATGCGGTTTCTGTTGATAAGTTGGAAACTGAACCATCCTGATAGAAAGGCTGCAGCGAATCGAATCAAGCGATCGAGCCTTTGAGAAATTCGAATGTCGCCTCTGGTAAGTCCTGCGGTGATCAAAGCACATAGGCGATACAATCCTATTGGTAGCAAGGTTGAGCCGCCTACTAAGGCAGCACAAAATGTTGGGAAACTGTTAACACGCAACGGGCCAGTCAAGACTTGAACTAGCTGATCTCACGGTCAGCTACAGCTCCAATTGCACATATTGGTATTGAGAAATGATCACAACCCGACGCCACGGTTCACATCTGCGTACCTCTTGAAGTTTCTGCTGTGCAGTCCAATCTTGCCTGCACAGTCGGCGTACATACGACACCAACCTCGGGGTGACCGATGACAGGTACCCGAGCGCGTAGGCGCGAAGAAGGCTACACTGACAGTCAGCAAGGGATCTATACTTTAGGGTAACGGATCGCACTCACGGGTTCACTGCCCGGTCCCTTCTCGGGAGCACACGTTCCATACTGGAAACCTTCAGGTCCGGAAGGGGGGCACCATCACAGCCGAACTAATGAGGAGGTCAGCCGTTGAAAGATAATCAGACCCCAATCAAGAAACCGTGGGAACCTACAATTGTGCCTCCCGAAAATTGGGTAGTATTCTCCGGAAACCTGACACCTGCACGATCGTTTTGATCGCGGAGCCGTGTAACGTCCCTTAAGTGTTGTGTGGGCTCGTTGGACCTCGGTTGACAGAGAGCCCCAGTTCCCAGGGGGAAGCAGAGCAGACGATCATCCGGCTTGTTCGGACGATAGTCGGGATTGCGGGGCCTGAAGGGCCCACGGATGATTTAATTGCAAGGCCAATGGGGATGGACTAGACTACCAAAAACAAGAACCGCACTGACCCAATAATGGGGCTTTTCTGCAGAAGACCGAGATGGATGTGCAGATGTAGCATGCAAGTAACCCAAACGGTTGAGGGACACGCTGAGTACAAAGAAAAGCTCGAGGCCAGTCAGGCACAGATCACGGGGAAAGTTCCCCAGAGGTACAGCTCTCCCCAGAGATACGTGATCAATACATGACCAATACCACTCAAAGCCAACTGTTGACCCATCGTTGCGGCTGTAATTTCCGTATTTTTGGTACTGTTACGTCACGCGGTCAAATTTTGCATGTGATCCAACTGCTTTGAACCTCCACTTGCTCTTTCCCCGGAGTCTCTCTTTCTCTACACATTCTCTTCTCTTCGCTTTCTCTTCACTTGCTTCTTTCAACTCTTCTTGTTCTTGCGCAACTACTATCGCATCAACCCCTAAACCCCAAACTCCCCTCGTTAGCGGAGTCGACGATCCTCTGGAACTTTATCGCATAACGCATACTTTAGACTGGACCGAGGCATGCCACTTGCGTCTTGGTCCGCGCTACTCTTCATTTGAGGGTAGCAAGAAACCCCGATATAAAGACAACGGATAGCGCTCTTTTTTTTAAAAATTTTTTTACAATGGATGGTCATGGGACTGAAGTGCAGACCGGACGCACATCACCCCCGTCTGGACCCTTTGGATGTGAGTGGTTCTGTGAATGCACCATGAAATACCCGTTAACATGACCTCAGATTCTTTTCTCTCCCCCATGGACACCCCATTCGAACAAGCACCCGCTCTTCCCCCGGGTCCGTCTCTTCTTGATGATAATGAATCCAACATGCTCGACAACTTCTTTACTACCATGAATGCGAACCACTTTACGAATGACTTTTGGATGCGACAAGAACATAAATCCGGGGTACCAAACTTCGACTGGTCTGGCGAACTGCCTCCGAACTTTGAAGGATCGACGACTTCACTGTCTCAGCCATCGTTTCAGCAGCATGGACTTGGCAAATCAAACGGGGGGATGATGGCAGGAAATCCTACAGGTCAGGACATATTTGCAGCAGCGTCCATGCTATATCAGAGTGGCCTAAACGGGCAAGATATCGGGTCCACGCTAGCGCAGCAGGCTTTTGCAGGACACCCTATGCCACAAAATGGGACCCACATGAGGAATGATTCACAAGCCAGAAATGTCGGGCAAGGGCCGAGTACCTCTCCGTCTCGGGCTGATGTGCCCACTGGATATCATACATCAGAGATGTTTTTTGACGTCCGAGATCCCATTCCAGCCGACCAGCATCCATCAAGAAAGGTCCGCAGTCTCCGCTGGGGCTCAGATGTCAGTTTTATGGACCAAGGCTACCTTCGCCCACCCGACCAACCTGATGAGGAACAGCGGACAAAGGAACTGCTAGATCATCTAGGATGCTTTGAAACACAGAGCAGCGCAGCCAACACACGACCTCCCAGTCCGGAACGGATGGTCGACGGGGCTGTCCATCGGAACTCCTTCGCATCACAATCCATTGGTTCAATCCCCGACGACAGCTTACAGATACGGAAACGGTCGCGAACTATGAAAGAAGACGGCGACCTCTCCGACGAAGAGGATGGAAGACCCCATTCCAGAAAATCCAGAGGATCCATAAGTAAAGGACGACGGGTGTCAACAGATTTGTCTCGGAAAGCTCGTATACAGCCAGGATCCAAAGCTGCACGAGAGAACCTCTCCGAAGAGCAGAAGAGGACCAACCACATCCTTTCAGAACAGAAGCGCCGAAATCTCATCCGTCAAGGGTTCGAAGATCTATGTACGCTCGTGCCAGGGCTCAGAGGCGGCGGGTTTAGCAAGAGCGCAATGCTCACTTCCGCTGCTGATTGGCTTGAAGATCTTCTCCATGGAAATGATATCCTCCGAGGCCAACTACATGAGCTCAAAGGCATCAATGGCTTGGTAATGCCAAGATAATAGTCTCTGGCAACCTTCTAAACATATAATTTGGATGGCCCTGTATCTTTCTAACAGGGATTGCAAGCGTTTCAGCGGGTTGAGGAAGACCGGCGCGGTTGGCGTTCATTTCGCAGTCCTGGCGACAAGATACCATTTTTCTGGTCTAGTGCATTCTCTCTGTCTTTCTATTTGCTACCGTTGGTGATATTAGATCACCTTCGGTTGGTCGGCATCGATACCCTAGTGCATAACTCGAAACCTTATTAGCAGAACAATATCTGATATGTACCATAGGCTTCTTCCGTTAACTTCAAATGTAAGACATGCAATGAGGCGGGACATGCAACTGCTCCTACCATGTAGATCCATTTCATGAGTATTAGCCGTAAAGACTTAAGTGAACTTGTATGTTACAATGAGCGGCGTTCTACATTATGATGGACTTCAATAGCTCACCCATACTACATGTATACTACCTCGCATATATTAGAACACATTGACCAGGCTGATCTTGTCTTAAGTTGTATCATCCAGTCCAACTATGTTTATATTAACCTGAAAAGAACGTGTTGGATTGTATATTAAACTGACTTATCAGTTAAATGCAAGTACATGCATATCTCCTCACATGGATTAGACACAAGCCTATCAAGCTTCACCCACCACCCCCTCAGAACCCCTAGTAACATCTCGACCACTACGAGGAACCGGATGCGCGAAGCGCCAATGTTGCTGCCTCAAAAGCAGGAACAACGGTACATTTCTCTTCTGTTTCAAAGGTAAAGGGCGTTGCGGGTAAATCATCCCACTGGGATCGTTGACATACTGAGTTGCAAGTGGTAACAGAAGCAGGTGCCACTCAATTGTGACCTGTCGCACCTCCAGACCCTTCAGTAACATCTTCTTTGTAAGGAAATGGTTATGGCGCACGGCTATCCCTAGCGCAGTGGTGAATTTGCATTTGCTGGATTCAAAAAAGCCTCGCAGGGGCCCTGCGCCGTAGCCGAGGAGGAATTTTACTGTTTCTCGACGGTCGTTATCACGGCACAGTGGAAAGGTGTAATGCCTCTGTTGGTTGACGGTCGTTCTGTTAAGGTATTCACGCAGCAGCGTTGCATCGGGTCGAAATCTTTGTCGAGAAATAGCTTGGCTTTGTCGGTTTGGCCTCTCTCGACGAAATAACTGAATGCTTTTTTGACAGGCAATATCTGTGGGCACCAAGGTCACCTCTGATCGGACGAGTCCCAGTTTTATGGATTCGTAATCGCGGTGTCCAATTGCACATTCGAAAAGGGTTATGCTTGGCGATCCGAGGCGTCTCAGTCCATGTCCAGTTATTGTCGAGTTCATATTGTGATCGAACATGTTTATAAGTCTCAGCCATGTGTTTAATGTTAATTTACTGGAACCCCAGCAAGCATGTATGAAATACTCTTTCACGTGCTCTGCGCCGATAGGCCCAAGAGCACCTAATCTTGAAGACATCCAGCGATTCCTTGTCGATTCTGAACACAAGCAGTTTTGCCACGTTGGTGCAGTGATGTACTTGGCATACTTCCGGAGGTTTGTAAGAAGGGGAATGTCTTGGATTTCTGAGCGTCAATGACCACTTCTTCTACCTTCGGGAATATGTGCGATGATATCTGCGGGTATCTCTGGCGGAAGATTTCGAAAAGAGAAATGTGTGTTTTCATTGTCGCCTCACAAATCGGAGCCAGCAGATGAGTGGAGTTCTGAGCGATGCAATCAAATAAAAATAGAAGATCTTGGGAATTTTCCTTGACCGAGAAGCTCAGTTGGTAGACCTGAAAGAAGACATCATGGCTGTTGAGATGGACACGGGTTCAACCGAACACTGGACGTTCCCACGGGGCCCTCCAGAGTCTTAGCGCATTTCCTCTGCAATTGATATCACAGATCTCGTGGAAAAGAAGATCAGAAATATGATACAAATGAAGTGAATAGATCAACCAATGATCTACATTGAGGGTTGTATAGCTGTCATGTCCCACCGCTTTGTTTTGCCGTGTTTAGACGCGTCGCCCTCTCCAACGTTATCTCCGACACTCCCCATCATGCCTCCAAAACGAAAGCACAGTGATGATGAGGAACATGATTCCAAGCGCTACGCCTACCTCAAACCCCATGTCCGCCGTGTCCCCGAGAGAACCATCAAGTCAAAATGGATAACTCTACCAGAACCCGTTCAAGAAAGAGTCCGGGATATGTTTCATTCCCTCGAGCGACCGGTCATCATGCGAAGCCAGAATGAGCGCAAGCGCATCGAGGCGCAGGGTGCTGTGCAAGCGGTTGTGCGAAAGTAGGTCTACACGATACTTCTGGAGGCTTTCGCGCAAGTACCAACACCTCGAAGGAACCAACACGCTGACGGTTCTCTCTGCGTGATTACAGTCTAGGCAAACGACTCCCACGGATGCCCTTCCCTCCCGCGACAAAAGACTCGAACTTCGACTACGAGTCTGCGTTAAATGAGCACGTATGCAACCCGCACCGGGTCAACAACAACCCCATACTGATTATGCTTTAGCGGGCACTGGAATCCAGCCTGGCCACCATGACCGACAGTGTCGACCTCTTGAAAGCTGAGATTGCAAAAGAAGAAGCGGCCCTGGTGCGTGATAAAAAGTCACTGCAGGAAATGGACAAGAACGCCAAACGGGCCGAGGCTGAACGAAAAAGACAGACGAAGAATGTATGCGACACAATACCTTGGGTCTTTGGTGTTCTCAACTGACTGTGTTCCCAGGAACACCCCGTTCTCCGGCAGCTGGACGCGCTTCCTCAAACCGAGGGCTCAATGGCTTCCGGGTTTACGCTTCTCGGCGCAAAGGATAGCCAAGCGACTCTGGACGAGGTATGCATTACTTTGATCTGCTACGCTGGCCGTAGAAACTTACACCATGCTCAATTCTAGTTGGACGCCGACCCCGAAATTCAAGGACTTATGAAGCAACTAAATGGCCATCTTCAATCCATGCAAAGCAATACTGCGCCATTTGCTGGGCTAAGTGAGGCGATCACTCGTTCGCAAGCTGCCTTGGACCTGTACTCAGTGTCCAACGACTGATCGCTGGACATTGCCGCACCATACAAATATCAACAAACTACACGCATTTCAATGCGCGTTGGCACATGAAAGACCTCGGGCCAGGGAACTTCGCGCTTACTGAGAGAAGCCATTCGAGTGCCGAGTACGGCGGTCCAGGATCACCCAGACACTCCATGTCGCGTGCTCAGATCCCAACCCATGCGCTGAATAGCTGCGCACGGTGTTCGTCTATGCTACTAAGGACCAAGAGGGATCAATACTAGGCTCTGGAAATGAAGGACGCAGCAAGTCGACGCAAACCCGGTCCCAATTATAGACCCGGAGAGATTTGCGACACGCGCCAAACACGAGGCTCAATATCGAGAATAATGGAATAAGCCATAATACAAGCTGTTGTACACAGAGACCATTTGTAGCACTAAGAAATGTAATGCCTCGACCGAAGTGGCGGAAATGCGGAGGAGTTCGGAGGGGCGACTCCGCTTTCTCCATCCTGAACTTTTTGACGTTTCCAACCTCTGAACCACAGCCATTTCATTTCACCCTGGTTTCTGGAATTCTTGCGCAATGACCGAGATGTCGCTGGCCAAGTCCAGGTCCGGGGATGCAGGGAAGGACAGCCTCAAGGAACAAACATCTGCGACCAAGGCCGAAACAACCGGCGCGGGGAGTCACTCCAGTCCCAAGAAGCGCCGGAAGGTGAATCACGGTAAGTTGCCGTTGCGCAGCATGCGACAGGGGTCGGCGCCCGCGAGAACACTTGACTGACCGGCTTTGCTATTTCAGCATGCGTCTATTGTCGCCGTTCGGTAAGCTTCACCGAGGACTCTGTGGATTTGCTATGCGACAGTCCTGGCACTGTCTTGGGGATTATTCGAGGAAATAGTTTTGCTAACTGAAACTTGTTCGCGTGGGACAGCATATGACCTGCGACTCGGTACGACCTCCTCCGTCCGCGACCAAACTCTTGAGTTGCGAGTTGTGGAAACAAGCATCAGCTGACCTGTATGAAGGAGCGACCTTGCACTCGGTGTATAAAGCGCAACATTGGCCACTTGTGCCATGACGAACCGAGAGAAACTACGAAGCGCGGACGTGGCGACCACGAACAGTCGGCTGCAGACGAGGAGGGCTCGAACAATGATCTAGCTGTTCAAGGTATGCCCAGGAGTGTCGACGTAGCCGATGCTGCGGGTCAGCAACAATTCCCTGAAGCTACGGTCGGAATTGCGCCCTCGGCTGTGAATCAGACTTCCACCGTGCCCCCCGGAACCCTCTCCACGCCTGGCCAGGACCTCGAGGCCAGTTCTCAGCGTAAGCTCGTCACGAAACTAGTTCCCCCGGCCTCAGTTGACGTGTGATGACAGTTATGCCGTACAATGACTGGGTAGGAGGCCAGAATCAATTCCAGGATATGCATTCGCTCCACCCGTCCTACATGTTTAATGCGCCAGAAGTGACCAACGAATACAACTTGCTCGGAGACTTCCTCAGTAACAGTCTGTTGGATGATGGGGCAATGTTCCAAAACCAAGACATGCCCGGGATCTACTCTGACTCGACGTTGATGAACTCTATGAATGGCATAGGATTGTCGAATGGCTTACCGCCCCCGGCGCAGCTTCCACCACCAGCGCAAAGTCATGCGCCACAGGGAGACACGATTCAACGGCCAACCTCAACTGTTGGCAATGACAAAGCCCGGGAAACGTACTACATGACGGCCGCCGATCCAGCGGGAACTGACCCACCGGAGGAGCGGATGAACAAGCTCCTCAAGGCGAAATATGATGCCGGATTATTGAAGCCGTTCAATTATGTCAAGGGTTATGCAAGATTGAATCAGTACATGGAGAAGCACATGCAGCAAATATCCCGACAGAAGATCCTACGACAGCTTGACAAGTTCCGGCCGAAATTCCGAGAACGTATGCAGAGCCTGACTGATATCGAATTGATCCTTGTCGAGATGTGGTTCGAGCGGAGCTTGATGGAGTATGACCGTGTGTTTGCTAGTATGGCTATTCCCGCCTGCTGTTGGCGCCGGACAGGGGAGATCTTCCGTGGCAACAACGAAATGGCCCAGCTGATTGATGTCCCCATTGAGGGTTTGCGAGATGTGAGTATCTACCTACAGTTGGTACCATTAGCTACGTCATATCTTACTAATATGTTTCTTTCATTAGGGCAAGCTTGCTATCCACGAAATCATTGTTGAGGACCAGCTGGTGAGCTACTGGGAAAAGTTTGGTGCTATCGCCTTTGACAATACACAAAAGGCCATGCTCACCAGCTGCACTCTTAAAAGTCCCAACCCTAATTCAACGGGTGATGGTATCACTTGCTGCTTTTCGTTTACCATCAGACGTGATAACCACAACATGTAAGTCATCCATGCACACACTGGCTTCTGTGCTGGCTAATGAATTTATACAGTCCATCTCTTATTGTTGGCAACTTCCTCCCTATCGACAAGTAACCGCTTTCGATAGGCACTGGTATTATGGTGTTGTTTTTCTTTTCTTTCGTTTCTTTCGTCTTGATTCCCCGAGGTTTGGCTGTCTTCATACAAATGTACAGTACTTGGTATATGTACTGTAGAATTCAAAAACAGATTACCCTTTAAGACACTCGCGCTTTCTCTCCCAGCGCCCCACTCCGATCGCACGAAACTGAATTCGGTCGGGGGTAGTCTTCTCCATCTTTTGTTGATGTATTTCTGGTAAATCATAAAAATTACCTTAATTACACTTTCCAGCATTGGACAGAACATCCTTGCCGAAACGCTCCGTGGCTGTATGTTTGTACCATGTCATCGTTCGCGAGGGTCCAGGGCAAATGAAATCGTCCATCCATCCATACTGTATCATGTCAGAACGTAATATACCAGCCAAAAAGGAAACTAAATCCTCGGTTCGGATGACCTTCATAGTAGCTCTAGCTAAGCCGGAACGAAGCCCTTGAGCTTCGCGAAAATTCCTTCAACCAGGTTTATATCTAGCGAATAAGGAGGTAGATAAACCAACTTGAATCCGATATTGATATATAACTGCGTAGTCCGTTCGGAGTGGTGGAACGATGTATAGTCTATGACTAGGACCGACTTCGGCTCCGGCTATCCTTGATCTGTGTCAAGGTTGCCAGGCATCCCAAGGAATAATTTCTGCACCTTCTTTGCGGAGCTTCTCTTCAACCTCCCGCTCAATCTCCTCTGCCTTCCGACTTCCTATATCATAAGTCGAATGGGCTCCCTGTAGCAACACAACTTTGAAGCCAGCGGCTAATGCCCCCTCACAGGTTGATTGAACGCAATATTCACTCTGAATTCCAAAAGCCACAATCTCTTCAATCCCTTCGGCTTTTAGATGATCTGCGAGGTGCTGGTTGGACTCGAACGTGTCACCTGTATAAATATAGTAAGTTGCCGGGACACTATTTTCTATTGTAAAACAAGAGACCGTGTTTGTATTGAAGCAAACGGTTAATTTTATAACTCACTGGTAGTCTTCTCCACAATCCTCTCTGTTTCATTACGTGGATTGAAAACTAACTCCCAAGGCTTGCTGCCCTTCACCAAAGAGCCATTTTCCGGAGTTTCATGGTGTTGGACGATGATTATGCTAAGATTAGCGCGTAGGCCGCGACTAAGTTCATTGTCGATGGCCATACGTGCCTTTGAAAGAACGGCGGTCCCGACATCTCGGATTCGAGCGGCGTGAGGAATTTCAGTTCGAGGATCCTGGGCTAGATCGGCCTGAATATCGATCACAAATAGGGCGGTGCGAGCCATAGTCGGGGAAAGGGAGGGTTGAGAGGATAGGATGATAAATAGGTCAGCGAAGCGAAGGATACTATGCTTGTTGGTGGAAGAAAGTCAACGCTAGATTGCATAGGAAAAGGGCAGCGGGAGGAGAGTGAGTCAATAGGTTAGGGTCAGGGCAGATAACGACAATACATACTAGGCTCAATTTAATGGAACACGGGGAAGTTGATCATATCGGTTAATAGTGGAAATCACAACAGGCCAATGGCTGTAAGTCACCTTTTCCAATGCCGGAAAGTGTAATTACGGTAATTTTTATGATTTACCAGAATGTACTGTACATCATCAAAAGATGGATAAGACTACCCCCGACCGAATTAAGTTTAGTGCGATCGGAGTGGGGCGCTGGGAGAGAAAGCGCGAGTGTCTAAAGGGTAATCTGTTTTCGAATTCTACAGTACCGCAATAAACAGTCTCTTTGGTTCGATTGTCATGGAAAACTTAGTCACAAGCAATTATCCACGTTTATTTTCTATTTTCCTGCAACAGTATCGTCTTGCGAGTCATCGTGTTGCATCCCCATAGTTCCGACCTAGGAAATAATCATGATTTTATGGCACGTCATTCCAATAGTCAAACCTTTTACTAACCGTCACACCTAAGGACAGTAACGAATTTATTCTTTGTAGTGTTATCTAGGAGGTAGGAGGGGTGAGTAAGAGGTGTGAAAGAAAGGGGCTTGTGATCTTGATTATAGCGAGACAGCCTATGGCCGCTCACGAGAAGGTAAATATGGGTATCATCAGAAGGTCCAAGATCTCTAGGAAATCAGGAAGAGGTAAATAGAAAGAAAGAAATCGCCCAAGCCACTGAACACACAGTGGATGATGCAAATATGCAAAGAAGCAAAGAAAAAAAAAAAAAAAAAAGGAAGGAGAAAGTTTCCAGAGAATGCGATGGCAAATACGCCAGTAGATGTGAAGGAGAAGATCAAGTGAAGGCAAAAGAAAATGCCATGATAAATGCACAGCCTTGGTGGGAGGACACCAGGGGGCCAAGGCCTCTTTCTTAGGCATGATAGAAAATTATTGCAGGGCATGCTTCATTCATCTCCATCTGCTGTGGCATCGTATGAACGGCTCCGTGAAACCTGGCGTACCACCTTGTGCCGCAGCAATGGAGTAGAGGGCATATGGCGGGGCATCTGGGGCGACTTCAACGACCGAGATGAATGACTGGACCTCCGATCCATGTCTCTGCCACTGCTATCAGTTTCTGTTTCTCCGCTTTCATCGCTACTTTGGCCACGGCCAGTGACAACACGGAGAGTAAGACTCAGCTCCCGCTCCAGCTCCTTTTGTGCTTGGATGTATTGTGTGGAACCGTTGAGTTTCTTGCGGTAGGCCCGGAGCGTGCGGCACACCTGCTCGGTGGACATATCCAGACTGCCAAACTCGCTTCGTGGCGTTGTTTTGGCGCGGGTTCTGAAATCCATCGATGTCCGGCGGTTGCTGTTCCGCGAACTGTTCGGCTTTCTGGGCACCGAGACCTTGGATTTGGGGCTCACGGGTGATGGTGACCGACGGCTTCTGTCCGTTGGTGTAGCAGGTGAGGGAGAGAGACGATTTGGGAATGATGAGGTTTCTGAGACAGAGTGATTCTTCAGGGAAGACGGTGCTAGAGATAGCCTCGACATTTTTCTCATTAGAGTCGGCGAGCGCTCGCGTATAGGTGTTGGAGTCGCAGGGTTAGGACTGTCGGGGCGTTGAAAGCCGGCCAACTCGCTGCGAGAAAGAACTTTTCTGAGAGGGGGTTTAGCAGCGGTGTTTTCTTTGGCAGGTGTATCGTCATCATCTCTTGTGTTCTGAACGAGGTCCGGTGATATTTGCTGCAGGACGGACAGATTCCATATCATGAGAATTCCATCCATGCCAGCACTGACCACAGTGCGCTTAGGTGCTCCTTCGGACTCCTCGTTGCGGTCCTCCAGAAGAAGCACATCTGTCACGCCCTCTGTATGGCCAAATTCGCCAGTGAGAAGTTGATCTCGCTCGAGATCATAGACGCGGAGAGACTTGTCGGTGGTCGAGACACCAATGAGAAGCTTCGGGGTCTGGCCTGGGATCTCAGATGCAATTGTCAATGAGCCCATGATAACTGCATCAGTCGACTCTGAATCCGATGCCTTGAAATAGTGCAGATGGCGCCCTGAAGAGATGTCGAATTTGGAGATACAGCGGTCCATCGTAGAAACATATAGGATGCTGGAGTCATCCGGGAAAAGCGTCATTGAGACAGGGGACGCTTTCAGAGTGATGACTCTGGAAACGAGGTAGGCAACGGATGTGCCACTCTCCACTTCTCTTGTCGCACGATCTCTTATAAGGACAGTGCGGTCTGCTGAGCATGAAAGCAGCTTTTCGCCGTCGTTGATGAATAGTAATTTCCCAACGGCACCAACGTGGTCATCCATGGTTTGAACCAATTGCAATTCGGCATCTCTTTTCTCGAAAAGTTGCACCATCCGATCACGACCGGAGCTTGCTACCAACCAGGAATCTGAAGTTTCTTGGAGGGCCAGGTCTGTAATCTCCCCGCCATGGGCGCGAGCTTGGCTGACACAAGTCCATTCGGCATTTGAAAGGAGTCTAGGTTTCCGAGTCAGTCGAAAAAATTCGTTATATTCTCAAGTGCCACGTATGCCACGTACCTCAATACACCGAACTTGTCGCCTGAGACGAACCAGTTCGCGTTTTCTGCTGTTCTCAACACCTTGAGTTCGTTTGCAGCGGCATCTTCTTCGCTTCCCGAAAATTGGTCGAGATCGATCGCTTTCGATGCCCGGCACTTCCCCTGGGCATCCCAGAAGTTCACGGATCCGTTTCGAGACCAGGAAAATAAGTCCGCGGAAAAGTCATTGGGGAGCTTCATATGGCAAATCCCGAGGATGGGATCTCGATGTGCCTGCATAGAAGACTCGCCATGCTCCTGCTCACCCTCCTCGCGCAAAGTGCTGATCGGATAGATGTGTATTTCACGGGTGGCTTCAACAGTGACCAAATGCGAGTTCAGAAAGCCCATGCAGGTAATTGCAGGAGCCTTGTTCTTCTTGTCAATCACGCTTTTATCAAGGCGAGTAGGAGAGCCCGGTCTGTTTGAGCCACAAGATCGCAGGGCTTCAAAGGACAAGCGCTGCATCTGCCTTCCACGCCCACCGAGCCAAACTGATTCCTGGTCAAAATCAACGGCCACAGATGTGATGCTAAAACCAACTTGCTTGATCATGATCATCTTCTGAGAATTCTCCCGATCATCGAGAAAGCAGACTGCGCCGGAATCTGTACCGATCACTGCCTCGTGGTCGGAGATGCTGCTCACACAGGTGAATGAGCTATCGCTGAGTGCGCCCAGTAGACAATTCCTCCCAGAAAGCGCTTTTGGGGCAGGGTTGGGTGAGGGACCAGCCCCGTCGACGTTCAAACGTGATTTGGTGGGAGATATCGGTCGCATTGATGGAAGACGCCAAACCTTGACATGTCGCACGCCGGTCCTGCACAACAGTTAGTCGAATACTAATTATAATCATTATCAAACATACGTGACCAGTGTTTGGCCAACCCAGCACATGTCTTTGATGTACGAAGTGCACTTGTTCGCGGAATGCAGCTTGGCCGATCCATTCTTGAGGTTGATTGTCCAGATGAAGAGGAACCCATCGTTCGGGTTGCCGAGGGTTGCCAAATACTGGGAATCCGGGCTGAATGCGAGACTGCATACACCGAATGTATGCTCATTCAAAATAGATAGCGGTACATCTGGTAAAGCATCTTTTGCTGTCGAAAAGATCAGAACTCGAGGGTTATAACCAGTCTGGGAGCTGTCAGCTGTTTGTTGCACGCCCTGGTCGTTTATTATCTACGTACCTCTCCTACCGCAAGGAATCTTCCATTGGGGCTGATCGAGACACTCGTCACTGCTTTGATTCGTTCTCTCGAGGACCACCCGCGGGGGCTCCCACTTTCACCGACTTCGCTGGACGGGGATCCATTGTGAACATTGATATGCGGATTGGATCGAATGTGGGATAGAGAGCGTGCCCTCGGGTCCGGAGTGACCGGTGGAGTTGATTGATTGTAAAACGAAGTTGCTGGATTGACGCTGGTCGCGGAGGGCCGCGCTCGGAAGAAGCGCTGGCAGAGGTTGGCGTCCTCGTCTAGTTCTGCGAGCACTGCGGCGGATCCAGCGCACAGCGCAAAGCTCTTGCTCTGGTCGTGACTCGAGAAACCATTGGGGGTTGTGGTGGTTGTGCCGATGACGGTTTGGAGAGATAAGGAGGAATAGTGGGAGGTTTTGCTGGGAGATCGTGTACCCGGTCTCAAGATTGGTGAATTCGAAGGAGTGATTTTCAATGATGCGCCTGGACCAGCAAGCTTGCTTTTCGCGCTGAGAGGGGCGGTGGTAGCCATGTCCTTGGGGGCTGAGGTCGGTGTTTCAAGGTCCCCTGTGCGCGCGGGGTATTTTCATGTCAGAATGTAGGCGCATTCGTCAGGAAACTCCGAAGGCGCCAGATAAATCGGAGGTTTGCGGGTTGCAGTGTTGAAGGAGCGTTCAGGAGAGGTTGGCGAGGTTGGCCCAGTGTGGGAAGATCGGGGTCGAATTAGTGGGGGTAGCTAACATGGAGCTTTGATCAGCAAGGCCTCATGCAGGTCCAACAGTCTAGAACTCACTTCAAAAGAGTGTAAGGGACTCCGTCGTGGAAGGTCGAAAGAAGGGAACAAACAACAAGCTCATTCCGCGCTAAACAGCGGATCATTCCAGACGATCTGAGGAATCCGAACCTTGGGTCTCCCCCTGTCAAATCCCGCAGATCTCAGGGCTTCCGGCCTTGAAATGCACTGGAGTTGAATTGTTCCACTGGTCTTTAATCAAGGAGCTGAGAGGACTTCTTGCTCAACTGAGACCTCGCTTTCAGCCCCTCGATCGGCGAAAAATCGTGAGATGAACGGTGGGTCGAGTGCACAGGTCGCTCGCGCTAAGTCGGACCTTCGGCTCAGCTCTAAATGTAAGTATACCAAACCGTGAGGTTTGTAGGAGAGTGACCCTGCACAGGGGACGAGAGCTGGAGAATATGATAAGTCTCGAGGGCCTATTGCACGTGCCCTACCCATACTCCCTCGTGCTACTCCAATCAGCCCGTGGACTTCACCTCTGGGATCAACACTTGATAGTATCAAAAATATGATGTTCTTTGATATCACTTTCTAAAAGCTATTTCCTTGTCAATTCGACCTGTCGTTGTGATACAGCACTTCTCTTCCATCGTCAAGGAACAAAGCCCACCTATAATAAGCATTTTGGCTTGGCCGGCTGGGCCAATGCTATCAGGCCTGCACTAGGCATTCTTTATGCTCATTGAATCTGTTAGATGGATCAAGTGGCTACTCTCGGGTATAGCAAAACTTGCGCAATTTGCCGTGATAAACATACCAAATCCGGATCTACAAACACACCCTCAAATATACCTCAAATACATCCTTACGTAGGCCTCGAATATATCGCCAAGCGTATCACTAAATGTATCCTTTGAGACCCTTACTTCAAAGAAATGAAGCAAGTTGACTGCGGATTTGAGAGTTATAATCAAGTTACCAGATTGGGTCTAGCGTCAACTTTAGGATCTAGGTGCCTGAACCCTCGGGCAGCGATAATTAGTTAGTTATCTTATCGCCACCAATATTTTCCTGACTTCTTTTCACATCCAACCTCTGTTTATATCTATTTTTTACTGTCACCATGGTGATTACATGCGCTGCCTCGGCAAAGCTGGCTTTGCCTGCCCTTATGCGCAATGTATTTCGCTCCCAGTACGCCAGTGACCTGGCCTCTTCGACCCCCTACCAGTGTTTCGCCTCTCGTCCTTCCTTTTCCTCCCAGATTCGACGACCCTTCAGCTCGATCCCGTACTTGCGCGATTCTCAAAATGAGCAGTCAGGGCAGGCAACCCCTGAGTCTCCGATTACTGAGGCCGCCACACCTTCTGACAAGCCAAGAAAGCAATCTTCCGGTCCTCCCCGCAACAAGAATGGATGGAAACCGATGAAGGGCCAGCAAAGAAAACCAGAGAATGTCCATAAGAGATCCGACAGAGAGCGCAAGGCATTTCGAACAGAGGCTCGGAAAGAAGCCCATACGGAAAGCCGAAAGGACCCCCGGAAGGACTCGCACGGGAACAAAGACGCAAAGCCGAAACCGAATGGAAAGAAGAAGAAGCCCGAGCCATGGCAAGTCCAAAAAGCCGCCCTGGAAAAGAAGTTTCCCCAGGGTTGGAATCCACCCAAGAAGCTTTCTCCTGATGCGCTCGATGGAATCCGTCATCTACATGCGAAAGCCCCTGAGCAGTTCACAACGCCTGTTCTCGCACAGGAATTCGAGGTGTCCCCGGAAGCTATCCGTCGGATTCTAAAGAGCAGATGGCAGCCATCGGAGGACGAGCAGGAGAGTCGGCGCCAGCGATGGGAGAAGCGACATGACCGAATCTGGAGTCGTATGGCTGAGCTTGGTCTCCGACCCGAAACCAAGCGTACGAAACCCATTTCGGATGCCAGAGTGTTGTATGATGACAAGGGTCGACGAAAGTAGTCTGACTCCCCCTTGTTTGATATAGTTTACTTTGCATCACTGTACAATACATAATAGCGCTTCTTTTTTGAAACATGGACAATAATAATTCAATTCAATGCAATTCAATGGATTACTGTAAATTGTATTCTCTTTTGTTTTTTTTTTTTTGATCTTTTGATACCCCAGTTGAGACATTGACGTATGGAGTTCGGGGGTGGAGCAATGTCCGCCACGCAACTTCATCCTCGGCAAGGAACCTTCAACTCTTCACGTCAACCAACATGCATTCGGGTTGACAGAATGCTCATGTCGGCCTATTTTCTAAAGCTTCGACTGAACTACAGCTCATCGTGCCGACCTGCAATTCCCTAGATCTCGTGGCCCGACTGCCCATATGCTGACACGCCATGCCATCCAACATCCAAGTCTTCGTGAAATGGAAAGACCAGACCATATTCGCAGGAGAAGATGTGGAATGTACCATCACGTTCAAGAACGTGGCTGATACCGGGTTCGATGCCAGTGGGAGCGAAGGAGGCCAACATTCACGAAAGCTCTCTCGAGTCGCGAACCACACGGCCAACTCGAACTCGGACTCTTTCTTCGGACTCAAATCACCACAGGGCCTGTTCTCTGGCCGACGGTCATACTCCATCAGCTCGCAGCGAAAGCCTTACCACCGAACAGCCTCGTCTTTGAGCACTCCGCATGTCGGCTCACATAGCTTCCCTCCGAACAGCAGCCCCTCTACACCGCGCACTTGGCAACCAGGTCACGGCCACAAACGATCTGTATCCATTCTCTCTATTGATAGTGAAGGTCAGACCGATCCGACACCTGCACCACATCAATACAATCGGCCCAAGCCAGTCAGGGGTCATGGGCGCTCGGCGAGTCTTCAGGTTCTGCCAAGGAGGAACAATAGCTACGAGGACTCCTACAAGAAAGGTAAAGCCGAATAAGCTGAAACGGCACGAATTGAGGCTAATGGTCATCTCTCATCAGTGAGGTCCCCCACCCATGCTTTCCCTTTTCCCTTGGCAGAGGCTCCAAACGAGCATCCCAATGGCAACCTGACTGTGGACACCTCCAATCTGGGGCGTCGCAGTCGTCCTGGCTCTCTAGCGACAAGTCCAATAGGACCCGTGGAGCCAATACGACCACCTGCGCGACGACCACAACCACCTCCCATGGAATTCAAGTTCCCAGCCGCGCCTCCGCCCGAACCAAGCGCCAATTATTCAGCGCGCACTCCATCTCCCAAATCGGCAACGACAAACGGTACTTCATCTACCGGGGGAAGATCGAATGGCAAGGATGCATCGTCTTTGACGGCTCCGGCACACCAACAGCTGACTCGAATCATTTCGGCCACTAGCGCAAATGGGAGCGCTCGGAGCAGTGGAGAGTTCTTCTCCGTCAGTGACCATTCCACTGAGACTCTCGGGTCGGAATATACAGCCTATTCAACACAAGCTGCACGGGTGCCCCCATCTGTACGACATGCGCGGCATCATTCGAGCGTGGTGACATCTCCCTTCAAGGGCCCCGACAGCCAGGCGCTGCTCATGGGCTATGCTCAGGTCAGCGCCTCTTTTACAGTGGATGGGTCCCTAGTCAACCAGTCGGCCTTCGAGGAAGTCAAACGCAAAGGAGTTGTCGGTGGCCAAGGCCAACCGGGCCCAGGAGGGATTCCTGGCCGTCCAGCAACCCCCGAGCGTCCACGCAAAACCGGTGGGTTTTGGGGAGCGCTTAAATGGAATACAATCGAAGAATCCATCAATGGTCTTCTCTCCAACAACGAATTGGATGGTTTACGAGAAATGCGCGGCGTGTCATCCTCTCGTTCCATTCCACTGTTATCGACTTCTCAGTCGCTACTATTTGTCGACCTTCGATTAGCGCCAGGTGAGGAGCAGTCATATTCATTCTCTTTTGCCCTCCCGAAAGGACTCCCGGCGAGCCACAAAGGAAAGGCCATCAAAATTTCATATAATTTAGTCATTGGAACTCAGCGGCCAAGTGGAGCCAACGAGCCTCAAAAAGTTAACCGCATCAATATCCCCTTCCGTGTTTACAGCGGTGTGAATGGTGAGTAATATCTCAAGATCTGATCTCCCCAGTTCGTTCTAATACTTCTCAGACAAGGGAGATATCCTTGGGCATGACCTGATGTCACCTTATGTGCTTCTACGAGATGAGGCGAAGGTGCAAAAAGTTGGACCAACAACGTCAGTTGCTTCGAAGAACCAAAGCATCAGCAAAACTCATCATTCTGCAACGGATTTCCTTGGATATGTGGATGAAATTCTGGAGCAACGTGCGCGTTCCAATACGCTCTTCCCACCCGGCGCTCTCTCCTCGAGACGAGCCAGTGTTGAAGGTCTCCCGCAGATGCTCACCTGCAAGGATATCATTGATTTTGCCATCCTTCGCAGTAACCAGGCAATCAATTCTCGACGCAGCCCCAATCGCTTTGAGATTGCCCGCGAGGGACAGCGCATTGCAGTAGTGGTCTTGAATCGGCCAGTTCACCGGCTTGGGGAGACCATTATTGCTACCATGGACTTTGGCAATGCTACAATTCCATGCTATGCAGTACGAGCTTCACTAGAGACATCTGAGAAGGTCACGCCCACTTTGGCCATTCGTTCCAATGCAAGCATCCACCGAACTACACGGAAGATTCATGCGTCTTTGTTCGAAAACACACTCCACGCTACTCGAGTAGCCTTCAGCCCGGCCATTCCTATCGCGGCCACACCTACAATTCTCACCAGCGGTGTGACCCTTGATTGGGAACTGCGTTTCGAGTTTGTGACGTCCAATGGTCGGGGCGATCAAGGTCCCCGCCCATCGGGCATTCGCTTGCTTGAGACCCTATCCTCGGATGATCGTGGCAAGCTGTTGTCTGCCACGGACCATCTAAACTGCGAGTCCTTTGAAATCGCCATTCCATTAACAGTCTACGGAGAGACCGTTCGAGAGCGGCAGCCCGAAGAGAACGAGGGCTACACGATTTAGCACTCTGCACAGATGTACATGTGTGTCCTGCCGTGCAGGTATCTGATTTGTTTGGTTTTTAAATATTCCCCTGTGCCGAGACTCGCGAATAATGGCCTCTGGGACCAATGTATAATTGAAATAAATGAAACCAAATACTGTAGCATCATATACTCCGTGTATACTTTAGGCGGTCACTGGGGCAACCCGACCAGTTATCAGCTGAACCCGATAACACTCCTTTGCGCGTTCATCTCATCTCAACCTCGAATCACTCAGTTATTCTAATTTATTTCAGAAGGTACACCCTGGAGCATTCCCGACTGCATGTCCCGGATCTTGCAACACAGCAATTCTAATACTGGAATGTAGGCACGTCGCGATCAGCGCAGACCCCGCCGAATCACCCCCTACAAAAGCGCCCTCTACTGAGAAGATGGCTTCGTTCATCACCACCATGTCTGTCCCCGCTACCCCTCCGGCTGTTCATTTCTCTGCCTCCGAGTCTGCATCTCGGTCCCCGCCATCCCACTCCTCCGTCATCAGCCCTTCCTCCCTGTACCAAACCACCCGCACTTTCCATCTGCCCTTCTTGGAACCCCCCTCTTACCTTTCGCCTGCCGTGCGTGCTCTCAAACAAGGCTGCTTTGGACTAACACCTCCCAGAAATGCTCGCACAAGGGCCCCCTTCAAGCCCCGCTCTGCCGCTAAGGGCACGAGCAGTTACCAGCTCCGACAGTTCGCTGAGGCTACCCTTGGAAGTGGTAGCTTGCGCAAGGCTGTGAAGTTGCCTGAGGGCGAGGATCTCAATGAATGGCTTGCGGTTAATAGTGAGATATCCCGGTTAGGTTGGATTGCATGCAGTCGCTCATGTTTTGGTTTATCTAGTTGTCGACTTTTACAACCAGATCAACCTTCTTTATGGCTCAATAACTGAGTTCTGCTCGCCGCAGACTTGTCCTGAGATGAAGGCGACTGATGAGTTCGAGTACCTTTGGCAAGACTCGGAGAACTTCAAGCGGCCCACGAAGATGTCGGCGCCGGAATACATCGAGCATTTGATGGCCTGGGTTCAGAGCAATGTCGACAATGAACAAATGTTCCCCAGCCGAATTGGTACGCTCCAAGGGAAAAATGGCCGATTTTGGGTTCCATTACTTACCACATTGTCTATTAGGCGTCCCATTCCCCAAGACCTTCCCCAGTCTCCTCCGCCAAATCTTCAAGCGTCTGTATCGTGTCTACGCCCATATCTATTGCCATCATTACCCGGTAGTAGTACACCTCGGCCTCGAACCCCATCTCAACACCAGCTTCAAGCATTACGTCCTGTTCATCGATGAGCATAAATTGGCCAGCGGAAAGGACTTCTGGGGACCACTGGGTGATTTGGTGGACAGTATGTTGCGCAGTGACTGAGTGTGCTTTCGGGTGGAATTCTGTTTGCATCTGATCTCCGCAGTGTAAGTGATACTGGGAAATTGGGGATCTCGGCGTTTCGGTGCGGTGCATACATTACGATATTTCAGCTTGGCTTGTTTGGCGTTTCGGGCTTGTCCTAACGCTGATTTCGAATTCATGAATGGTTTTCTGATCGATTCATTGTTGCATATTCTAAACAAGAAGAAAGTTTGAACATGGCGTAGTAGTCGATTCTAGTCATCGATGTACACCTGGGGTGTCTAGGGTGCGTCTAAACCAAGACATGCAAGCAGTAATCGAATTAGTCTGTTAATATTTCTGGATCTTGGCTGCAGCTTCTAGCCACGATAGAACTTCCACCACTTTTAGCGAAGTCCGTGGAAGGGATCCAAATCCTTGTCTGTGGCTGTACGGGCTGAATATTTTTCTGGTCTAGAGGTGATGGATGATGCCACCATGCATATGAAATTTCTTCTTTATCTTAGGCAGGTATATCCCCAGGCTAATCTACCCGATGCCAAGTTAGTGGGTTTCGGTAATTGTATTGGTTGTTGGTGTTCTTTCTATGTCTCTGTGGTGTAAAGTATACAACCCAAACACTTAGTTAGCAAGAATAATCGGAAATGGGGATTATAATTATTAGTTGGTAGTCTCGTTCACGGAATTTATATCCATTTATTGCTAAGTCCAAATACTCTACGGACATCAACAGATTGCAAACCTTGCAATAAAACAGTGTTAGAACAGTATGTAACACATTTCCTTCTATACCAACTTCACCCTGTCGTTTTCACAATTCTCGCTTCTTGATTGTACCCAACCTCATCTTTTGATATACTATCAGAGACAGTGAAGCCAATCTATCATTGAAGAAACCAAAACCACGTAGCCTCGTCAACAGATAAAACCACTACCAAAGTCATAACGGCCAAGCCGGGGGTAAGCCAGCCGCAGAATCACTATCGCGTCTGTGCTTCCCAGAACTCGATGGTAGATCTCTCAGCATAGCCACCGTACCACCAGGAAGCGATGTATCCTGTTTCAAAGTCGTTAGTTGTACAAGCCGAAGCAGTCCTTTCGCAAACTGCCATCGGCTAGCAAGTGCCCGAAGAATGATTACAATATCTGTAAAAGCTCTTTGGTTTTGGACATCGTCCAGGTCCTCGAAAAGTGTGAGTAATGCAATCGTTGCGTACCGCATTGCTGTCATTGGCATACATTTCACCGGCCATAGTGAGCGGAATTGACTGAGAATCGTGCCGATATGGCGAGCCGAAGATGTTCGCAGACTCTTGATACGGTCTTTCATGGTCGACTCACCTTCTTTTGTGTTTGGTGTAACGAAGCCGAACATGACCAGGATCGCGTTGTGATAGCGCATGCTTTATACGATTAGCTTTATTTATGAAGGGCGGTACTGTACTCACTGCATTTCCATGACACCCGGTGTGGACGCATATCCCAGCTTGATGCATTGTGGGAGTTTCTCAGCCCAGATTTCAAAGCGCTGGTGAAAAGTATTGATTATTTCGGGATCAACTCTTGTATTGTTCTCATCACCAAACAGATAGTCGCATATCTCCCACGTAATCAGCCCCTGATCGAATAGACCATTCTTCAGACAGTTCGTATGAGCTGCTATAGGTTCGCCTTGAGGAGGATACGGTGTCCAAATGTCATCGGGGTCGTGGATTTCAGGGAAGTATTCGAGTGTTGTAGGTCTGGTGACGGTAGCACCCTTTTGAAGGCTTAGGATAGCAACTCTGTAGAAAGTTAGTACAGTTAGGGGTATAACTCTTGTAAGCTCACTAACGAATACTGACTGAACAAGCCGAAGATCGCAATATCAATAGATCTTGCCATTTCTGGGGCCTGTTCATTGGCCTCTGATATCATTCGCTGTCGGTTGTTCATGGCCTGACTGATGCAGTCTGCTATTCTTACCAGGTATTGCGAGGCAACTCTATCTTTGCCCATGATACAGGCACTGGGAAATTCTGTTAGAGCGCAGTTTCCAAAAGATAATTCTTAGCTTACATAGTATAGATATCTCCCCATGCCTGAAGAGTGGTAAGGCGCAGGCGATCTTCTTCCATTGCTAGGTGCTGCATTGCCTCTTCGAGAAAGTGTTCTCCTCGGGTGCTGGGGTCATCGGGTTTGGCGAATACTTCAGGGTAGTCGGAATAGAACTTAAGGAAAGAGTTGTTAATCAGTATTGGAGGGGAAGAAACGAGGTTTACATACACATGCACAAGCGAGCATAATGTTGACCAGCAAAGGCGAACAGAACCGAGAATCCAACTTGCCGACTCTCATATCCGCTAGAAACAGATCCCGATCAATCCAATTCAACGTACTGTGCTGCCAGGTGAAATAGTGGGAGACCAGGTGCGAGACAAAGGAACCATCGATTGTAACAGACGTCCATGGCTGCGCAGGTACCTCATAGAGAGGGATGTCTGAGATCCGTCTCACATCCATAAACCTTTTCGAAGAGGAAGTTGGACTCTTCATCTGAACATTGTGCGAATGGCTTGTACCCTGGCTCTCAGTCAGATATAACCGGATCTCGTCCAAGGATACATTACTCCGAATCATGTTGAGAATCCAGGGAACCTGTCGCTCTTCGTCATTTCGAATACCTTCCACTAGTAGTTCAAATAGGTTGCGGTCCTGCTCTAGGGATTCGATTTTGCGCTTGAGGATGATTCGTCGACGGCCATCATTGTCGGCGTTGATCACACACTCTGTGTTTGCTTTTTGACAGGGCTCACAAGGCTCGCCTCCGACACACTGTGTGTGTCAGCAGAAGCTTCAGTGTTTATAACGGGGCGCAGACTTTTGATTTTCGTTTTTGGCAGGCTTGGCAGGCTGTTGTTGCTTTCTTCGCTCGAGTTGAAGGAGCACCCCCAGTCTGATGTGAAGTCGAATCGGGTGCCTGTGTAAAAAGCATTCTAGAGTCTTTCGAATTTCTGGGGGGCATCTTGACCGAAAGAAAGGACCAGATATGTGTTTTCATGGAAGACGGTCCAACTTATCATTTACTATATAAGGGCCGGAATTGTGTCTCCGGCCCGTCCCGCCAACCAAGCGCCGCACGAGTTTACCTGGCGTCTATTGCATTAAACTGTGCATTAGGCTCGATTAAAGCAAACAGCGAAGAGGGCCGATCAGACTCTAGTGCTGTCCTTGGCCAATGTGCGAGGATATGGCCCACCCCTGACAGCCGCTAAATGCGAGAGAAGCATTCTCCTCACGAATCTAAGACATCATGACGCGGACTCGACTTCTGTTTCTTTTGTTTGGGCGGTTGACATTGAGACTAGCAGGGATATTAATGTAGAAAAAACCGGATTTTGATTGACTGATCGGGGATCATGGATTTTATACCCTGCTAGCGGCCACGGCACGACTATTTTCACCTCACCTGGTCCATACAGTAAGTCTGGTCCGAATGGAGTACGCCTCATGTTTAATAACCGCCATTTACCATGCGTCTAGACCATCAGCCATTTCATCTATCATTGCAAGCACATTGGAGAAGACTGCTGTCCGGGGGATCCTTCGGTTGGGGATGGCATTTTTGTACGAGGATAAATTTTTTGTTTGACTTGGTCCGTGCGATTGCACAGAAATGAAAAGGGAAATTATATGTATCAGCCGCGTTAGAATCTCTCCAGGTGGCCCTGAATCAGGGCGGCTCTCAGTTGCGAGCGGAAGCCAAACCCAACAAGCTCGGAGTGATACCACGTGACCTTACATATTAGCTCAGCCCTGAGTCAGCTCGGGCGTGGAGCCACGTGATCCGGGAAGAAGTCGGACCTCGTCTCAACCTGCATCCTTGACGAAGAAGCACTCCGAACGTCGGTATCACCATCCACCACCTTCTCTCCCCCCTCCCTGAGGCTCTTCTCCCTGCCAATTGCACAATGATGTCCGCTCGCTTCGCCCGCGCTGGCCTGCGTGCCACCCAGCAGTTCTCCGCTCCTCGCACAGCCGCCGTCAACTGCCTGCGGTCCTATGCCACCCCGGCCCAGGAAGTCCGCCCTCCCGTCGCCCTGTTCGGCGTTGATGGCACCTACGCCACTGCTCTGGTATGCAACTCCATTGCCCTTCAGCTTTCCTCGCGACCGTGCCTTCTGTCCCGATATCCGTCTTCCCCCGAAGCCCCTCCCAGAGTTTCACCCCTTCTGTGTTGAATCAATCTTCAATCTTCATCAAAGCGCTATTCTCAAACGGGATATCCCTCTAACCTCCTTCTGCTTAGTACACCGCTTCCTCCAAGTCCGCTGCCCTCGAGCAGACCGCTCGTGCCATCGCCAGCCTCGGCGAGACCCTCAAGGCCGACAAGAAGCTCGGCGCCATCCTCGATGCCCCTAGCCTGAGCAATGCCGACAAGGCCGCCATCGTCCAGGAGCTCGCCAAGGTCTCCGGTGACAAGGGTGACATCCTCAAGAACTTCCTCGAGACCCTTGCCGAGAACAACCGTCTCGGTGCCCTCGGGGGTGTCTGCGAGAAGTTCGCTGCTCTCATGAGCGCTCACCGCGGTGAGATCGAGCTCAACATCACCAGCGCCCAGGTGCGATAACTTCACAAACTCGGACTCGAGTTCCCCACAAAAATAATATAAAAGAATGACAATTTAATTGTTTACCTACAGGAGCTCGACACCAAGACCATCAACCGTCTCGAGAAGGCCGTCGCCAAGTCTGAGTTCAGCCAAGGCAAGAAGCTCAAGGTTGTTTCCAAAGTGCGTTACCACCGAAAACAAAATTTCCATCGAATACCACTAACTCCTCCTAGGTTAACCCCGACCTCCTCGGTGGTCTCGTCGTTGAGATCGGCGGCCGCAGCATCGACCTTAGCGTCTCCTCCAAGATCGCTAAGATGAACAAGGCTCTCACCGATGCTTTGTAAATGTAAATTAGCCTGTGTTTGGGGGTATGGTTAGACTATTAGCATATCGTCCCCGGATGACCGGTAGCGTTCGTGGAAGGGGTAAAGGGGACTCTTAGATTCCCTTGAATCCTTCATTTTATTTGTTCTCATTACCTGTCAATTGCACAAATTCATCCACTATTGATATCCTGCGTAGTGTGGGAGTGGAAACTAGATTGTGCTCATTTGATACAGTAGCTGTAACGTTGAGAATGGTATATCGTATAGCTTCGCTGCGGCACGTAGAGATTTGATTTGTCCCTTATGAACGCCCTGGAGGGCTAATAGGATCTTGCCCTCCTGGTTGGCTAATTTCTGCCAGGATTCAGAGCGTTTTGGTGGCATGGCTACTAGGTGAAGAGGAAGGTGTTGTGGTAGAGACGCGATTTTGGGCGGGTGACCAGATTAACCGTGAAGTACGTTAACGTTAACTAGTTAATAATAGTCTTGGTTAAGACCAGTCATCCCCTTGCTCATTGTCAACACTCTTCGCGATAGTTCACACGCACGCTTCCACATAAACGCCTACAAGTTCGGCAACTTCATAACGCTATCCGTGACATAATTATTAGTACCCAAATATCCAGCACTCACAATAAGCAAGTAATCCGGATTATCCATGACTCTCAGCTCTCTCGAATAAGAACCCCATTGAGGCGTGTTGTACATGACCCAAGAATTTGGATCGCCTAGTTTTGTGTTCACAAAGATCTCAGGGCTACTGTTTGCGCTCACGGCGATAGTTCCATTTACACCGCCTGAAGGACTCCAGACGACGTAAGGGGAGGAAGTCGGGACGGTTCCGCCAGCATTGAGGATTTGTCCTGGTGCCGAGTTGAATGTGAGGGGACTAGAGCTGATGCGGTAGTAGACAGGGTAGCCGGCATTCTTAGGGTTTGGGCCACCACCATATTCATAGGTCATAATCCATTGACCATTCGGGAGAGGTGCGATGGTCGTCATACCGGGGCGTTGACTATAGGTGGGGTATGCGACGTCGTTGATTACGGCTCCCCAATTCACAGCGTCGGAGGATACTTGATGGACGAGCTTTTGACCGTGTGCAGGGTCGCGCTGGTCGGAGTAGTATGCGACGAGTTGGTTTTTATAGACCATAAGGAATGGCTCCCAGACTGGGGTGTAGCCGTTGGTGGAAATGGCCACTCCGCCTTCTGCGATGCTGGAGACGAATGACCAGGTTGCCCCATTATCCTTAGATGCGTAGAGATCGATCTTGGTGTGGCTGAGATCATCAGGAACAGAAAGGCCGGCACAGAGAATTGTTCCTTTGGGAAGACTGCCAATTGCCTGTGGAAGGACATAGAGGAACGGCTCCCAGCGCAATCCCCAACCATTTACTTGATCCGTGACAGTGGAAAAAGAAGTCCAGGTCTGGCCCTTATCGGAGCTTTTGTAAATGGGGAAATAGACCATTGGTGGTTCAGGGGAGTAGTTTTCCCTTAATAAGACCTGTTAGCCAAGCTCTCACAGTGGTACCGGCAGAGAATTATTGATATTTATTACCATGTTGCTAGGAGAGTTCCATCTGCTAATTGAGCTGTACGACCATAGAGGGTTCTTGGAGTTTTGTAGCTCGTTGGCGGATAGAAGATTGTCTGTTTGGTGACTACGTGGTCTGCAACAGCACGCGCTTCAACAGCTGCTCCTACTGCAGGTGCAGTATGGCCAAAAGAGATGGACGAGGCCAATGCCAAGCAAGCAGCAAAGACGTTGGGGCCGAACATGATGAGACAAATCGTGAGGCAAAGAGATATGTAAAATTGAAGGCCAGAACCAGGTACTTGATGATGTTGAGAGGATGTCTGTAGAGTTTTGATCCTTTGATCGTATGGGTAATGGTAGTCTTTATATAACTTTTCTCGAGCTAAGCCTGTATACAAGCAAGACAGTCCCAGTCCTTTAAAGTCCCCGGGATCGGCTCGACACCTCCCAGACATTCTTGACCTTGCTGGTATCTGTATTTGAATACATAAAGTGGCTCACCACTGCATTGGACTAGATACTGTGGGCTACTTCATCCTAAATCTACTGGCTCCGATCAATTCTCCGCAGTCCTCGAGGTGGAAAACCGCGGTCGTGAGGTGAGGGGTCGCGAGGTGGTCCAGTTGGAGAGGTTGAAGTGTTGTTAGTCTTAAGGTTGGGAAGATACTCCGTATCAACTAAGATACAGTTTCAAGGTATACGAGGAACCCCACATAGTTACTAGAATAAGGTTGTGCAGTACTGTAGTTAAATAATTATTAGTAAGCTCTAACATGTAACTCTCTCGTCTTCCCCCGGACTAAGGGCAGGAATGAAAATGAAACATCGGCTTTACCACCAGTCAGGAGACGCTTATCCCGCCACGGACTCCGCCACGCGTAGTAAGTACCCTTGAAACCCCGCCATCTCACCGGCCTTGAAGCACTGTCATTTGTTGACGCCCTCCACCCAGAGGCAGTGTAGCGGGAATGAACCCCATGGGGAATCTAAATAGAGGGCAATAATTATTAGGGTCGAAAACTTCAATAATTGATTATTTCAGCTCCGGCATTACTCCGGGACTGCTTCCGGGACAACTCACATCTCATCCGTATCTCGATGAATTGGTCGTATTTCGAGAAGCTACAATGACTGCTTAGAGGAAAGACTGCCTGCTTCAGCTCTCTAAAATCCTTCTCGTATTTAAAAATAACCAAAAAAGGTACACGATAATTAAACTATATTGCTCGTTTAGACTTATCCGCCTACTCGGCCCGGGTCGGAGCGAGAAGCTCCTGTTCGTGGCCAACGCGACGCGATCTACTTTAAATAAAATCTCTCTTATACTGGTCTTTAGAAGGCTCGACCTTCCCATTTTTGCTAGTAATATGACTTTTATATAAGTACTCCCCCACATTTCCTCCGCTTTATTATTCTACGGAGTGGGGCATCCCCGGTTCCCTGAGCCCAAACTCTTATTAGACTACCTCTATACGCTGGAATCATATTTCTCCGATAATCTAGAGGCGTTAAAGGATGATGGGATCTGATGGGATGGATAACCCAGCATCCTTGCACTTGTTACATCAGAATATTGGTGCAGGATAAGCGGCCGCAAAATAAACCGACCTGCGAGTGAACGCTACAGTGTGGCTCCGCTCGGCAATATTAGAAAAAAGAAATTATCGTATAGCGGAGCAGAGGAAATATCGTATATGTGAGACTATTTTATGTCTAAAAATGAGTATCATGAAATTAGGCTTCAACGCGAATCCTAATCTGATGTAGGAAGGGGTTGCTTCATTGAGGATCGTTGAGGATTGTGTGTTGTGGGGAAACCTTAAGCATGGTCGATTCCGGAATTGCAGCCAATCATCACCAGCCAATTCCGGGCAGTCATAGAAAACAGGAATATGTTGTATCGCTGCTCTGGTTTATTTACCACTCTCGCTTTTAATTACAGGCCTACTTACATTGGCCTGGTCAAAGCTCGCCATCATGATTGCCGCCCACTGCGGAATTGAATGCCAATTGATTGGCTTCAATTCCGCCGTCGTCTAACCACCACAGTTCCCACCGGCTCGCGAAGCAAATATGCATAGGCCGTACCCCGGGAAAAGAGCAGTGAATATCGAGGTCCTAAATCTTTATAAAGCAGTGGCTCTCCCGTCCCCAGCTACATTGATCCAGATCGTTGCTCATATACCTTCACGTCACATACCGACAACAAGCCATGGCTGATCACGGAACTAGTGAGAAGGCCCAATCTGCTCATAATGAGGGCATCGAGGCGATCACGCTAGGTGACGCCGTGCACATCGCCGACGAGGCACTGCATGCCAAAACAAGCCCATGGACTTGGCCGTTGATTCGCTTGTACTGTGTTTTATTTGTTGGATATCTTTGTGGTTGCTTGAATGGGTATGATGGTTCGCTCATGGGCGGGCTAAATGCGATGTCGACCTATCAAAAATTCTTTAGGATGTGAGTGCTTGTCAGTCGGCTGTCGACCTAGAGTCGTGGAGAAGACGCGCTTGGTAACTGATGATTTATAGGGAATCCGCTGGCTCCAGCACCGGTCTGGTATTCGCCATATACAGCCTGGGCTCTATTCCAGCAGTCGTCCTGTCTGGTCCCGTGAACGACTATCTGGGCCGCCGTATGGGGATCTTCACTGGCGCTGTTTTAATCATTATCGGAACATGTATTCAAGCGCCCGCGATCAACCATGGCATGTTCCTGGGGGGTCGATTTATCCTGGGATTTGGAGTTACTTTTTGCAATGTCAGCTCCCCCTGCTATGTCAGTGAAATGGCACACCCCCGTTGGCGCGGAACCTTAACTGGTCTGTATAATTGTATGTGGTAAGTACACGTACCTGACATTATTCATACTTGCTCGTGCTCACTCGGGCAATTCCCAGGTGGATCGGATCAATTATTGCTAGCTGGGTCGTTTATGGATGCTCACACATCACGACCTCTGTGGGATTTCGCATTCCAATATGGTGCCAACTGTTATCATCCGTTATCGTGGGGGCTGCGGCCTGGTTTCTCCCCGAGTCTCCTCGCTGGCTGATGGCCCAGGACCGCTTGGAGGATGCAATCAATGTCCTTGCCAAGTATCATGGAGAGGGTGATCGTAATCACCCCATTGTTGTCCTTCAGGTTAAAGAGATGCAGCAGCAAATCCGTGTTGAGGCATCTGATAAGCGGTGGTGGGATTACCGCGAGTTATATAACACCCGCTCAGCACGAAATCGTCTTATATGTGCACTAGGAATGGGGTGCTTTGGTCAGGTCTCTGGGAACAGCGTGACCAGTTACTATTTACCGGTAATGCTGCAAAATGCAGGAATTACCTCACAAAATACCCAGTTGATGCTAAATGGCATTTTCCCTGTGCTCTGTTTTCTTGCCTCTATTACTGGTGCTCGATTCACTGATACTATTGGCCGCCGACCATTATTGATCTATTCAATCTTCTTTAGCTCCTGTTGCTTTGCTATTATTACTGGTTGTTCAAAAGTGGCTGTGGAAAACCCAGATAATCGGTCGGCAGCCAACGCCACAATCGCCTTTATTTACATTTTCGGCATTATCTTCTCTTTTGGCTGGACACCACTGCAGAGCATGTATATCGTCGAGTGTCTGGCCACCAATACTCGTGCGAAAGGTACTTCCGTTGCCTATCTTGTGACTGCTATCAGTAGCGCGGTCATCCAGTACAGTGCCGGACCCGGACTGGGTAACATTCACTATTATTTCTACTTGGTCTTTGTGTTCTGGGACCTTTTTGAATTAGTGATTATCTACTTCTTCTGGCCTGAGACCAAGAAGCGGACATTGGAAGAGCTAGAGGAAGTTTTCTCCGCCCCGAATCCAGTGAAGCGCAGCCTGATCCGCCGAGATACCAACACCGTTCTTAATACTCTGCAGTTCGAGGATCAGGATGCGAAAGTTGGACAGGCGTGAGTTCGATACGGCAAACTGAAGGGCGACGGGGAGTGGCAAAGGGTGGCCTACAGCTGTCTACAGAAATTGTTGAGCGGAGGAGAGAATAAAATATATAAATTATATAACTTATTTCTCTGAAGCTTTGCCCACTCATCTTATCCTCACATTGAACATGATCTGTGGCTCTTACGGCGACTAGCCCTCAATTTAGAACGTTGATGGATCTGGCAATCTAATATATACGGAAAACCCCTTATGATTTACACTTGCGCCTAGAAACTCTTCACTAAGCGTATTCTCTAGAACCCCCTTCAAGCTGCCCGAGCAAAGCGAGGGTTCTAAGGCTTGTATACTGTACATAGTAATTCGAAAGGTTGAGTTTAATAAAGCGTTATCCATAACTGGAATACCAGTGAAAATGCTTCTTCGACCATTTTACCGACACCGTGACCCATGTGTGGTTCATGCGGAATTCAAAATATATATAGAAATCTATTTGAGACTCATGCCATCACTATCTGTTCATTACCTCTAACCTGCAATGATTGGTCTTTTGAAACATTTCTCTCTTCAAAATATGGCTAGTTTAAAAAATTAAGCACCATTTTCGTTCCAAACCTGTGATCGACGAACTGTGGCGCCTACCACCAGGAGAGACCGTGGGATATGATATAGTTAAGAAATATATACGAGTTCGCAGTCCGCCTGTTCCAAGGAAATAAGAACCATTCCATATTATTATTTCACAACGTCGAGTCGAGGGACTATTATAAGCGCCCAGACTTTGTGGGTCATCTGCGATGTATTTGACAGAGAGTCGAGCAGTATACATTAGCCAGTCCGAAAAATCCCGTATAGATGAATGTTAGCTAAAGCCCAACGAGTGGAAAGTTTGTAAAGCGACCCTGCTCCGCGGATCTCTGAATTTGAGTTGACAGTGTTTCAAGTTCCACGGAAGCCAGGAGATTGGAGTCTTGGCCCTCGAGAGGCAGGGAATGCTCAATCAAAAATCGCACCATCCACTTATCAACTCGATAGGTGGGCAGATGTACCGCAATAAGGCACATATTTTGGAATTTATCAAGTCGGTTGACCTACGGCAAGTCAGACAAGTTGCACATTTCGCGGCTGTTCGGCTTGTGTTCATACCATCGATTTCAGACACGGCCAATATCGCGTCAGTTCAATGAGAGCTTCAAAATTTGCATTCAAACTACTCCGTGCTTCTGAGAGCTCCTGCTCATCCCCAAAGAGAAGGGTGTGCAACAATACAGAGGACGAGACAATCAAGCAATGACCGACGGTCGGCCAAACCGCCTCGGAACCTTCTTGTTGCCGGGCGCGTTTGAGTAAGAAGCTCACGGAAGATGCGTGGCGCTTACAGCGATTTGAATAGGCATTGGTCGTAGCTGTTCCGGGACGCCGGGTATCCAGATATTGAAAAAATAATAAAGTCGAGTAGTGGTGAAATCCGAGATGCAATGCGACAAAGGGACCCCCTGTGCCTCTCCGCAAATGGTGGAGAAAGTTGGCCTCATTAAGCGTGGTGTCCTCTGGTAGTCTCTTGAGCCACAGGTCGAGCTGCTTCGAGAGATGGTGTACTTGCTGTTCAATTTCATCTTCGTTGTAACCCCCTTGCACCAACTTCCGATTGAGATCTTGAATTGGACCGAATAATTCGACTACAGTGATCATGTGAGCCCACAAGCCTGGCTTCCACGGTGTTGAAACGATCTGCTGGTCACGGGTAAGAGAATGAAACAGCTGCTCGTCCATGGGCAGTTCAGTTTCTCTTTCAAAATCCTTCATTTGGCGAGAGAGACCGAGGCCAGAGGAGCACCAGCGGTCCGCCATGAAGAGAGTCCACCAGATTCTCCTCTTGATCTCTCGCATTACCAGGTCGTCTGTGCTATCGAACCTCGTCAGGCACAGAATCTGGGCCATACGGTTTGCGATTCCTGGTGGTCATTAGCGGCGAAGGGTGGCTTTCAAAGGTGGTAGGAAAATATGGGATCAGGGTACGCATGCTCACCAAAAAAGAGGGCTTCGGTTGACGTGACGGAGTGCGCCGCACATAGGTTCGCCACTAACACACAGGTTTGTATGTTTTCTAGACAGATATTTTCTAAATCCGCCTTCAGGAACCGTTTGGACTCGGATATTAGCTGAGGTTCGAGAAGGCGGATCTGTGGATCATGGGAAAATCGGGAACCCATGGCACATATAGCGAACAGGAGAGATTGGTTAACGTGTCCATTGCGGATGTTCTCTTTCAGAGTCGGTGGATGAAACAAACTATGTGGTCTGTCATGGATTTTACTCAGGTAGTGGCCCACCAGCTCTCGGATGACTTCCTCCGGGAGGTCAATCTTCGACAAAGGTACCGGTTCGGCACCTGGCCCCGGGCGAGGGGAGGGTACCACGAACGAACATTCGCTCTGTCGTTTCGCACATTGTCCACAAGGATCTTGACTCTCGACGCGAATGCATCGGCGTTTGGTCCGACGACATTGCTGACACGCTGTCGCCTCCCTCATCCTCTCACTGCCCGGCCATTATCAACATGTAGGTGTAGAATGAGGATCGACTCTGGATCTATGATGTGGAGCTGTGCATGGATCTGGTGCTATCGTTTCCCCGCTTCATCTTCATCGCAAGCAGGCACGACTGAAATAAAAGTTCGGTTACGAAGAATTAGCGGACGCCCCAAGAGGAGAGGGGGAACATGTGACCAAAGCACCACGTAGTCACTGTGGGTAGACTACAGTTCTAGCGCAAAAGTAATGTACAAGGCAGATAGGAGTTAATATCAATGATCTAGCTTTGCCCTTGATTAGCACCAGCCCGATATCACAAGAACACAACAATTTGCATAACAAAGCCTTCATCCTTAGAATAGGGGCCTCACGACAACTTAGAGACTATTAAAAATGTTCTAGTATTTATGCTTATCGGTTTAAGCCGGATATATAGGCGTAGGTGCTATAGAGGAGAACAGGATAAAGACTAGGGTAGGAAATTTATATTGTGGGAAACGACAAAGTCGAGGTCGTCTCGAGGCGTGGATAATAAGGATAAGAGAATAGGAGGTGCAAGGACATAGTAGGGAAGGGAAGGCGAAGCATCTTATAGGCGCTCAAATAGACCGGGCGAAAAGGGAGGGGACTTGAATTTAGCTAAAAGGGAGCCATTTTCGGCGTCGTTTTAGTCGCTAGTGGAAACGAGGGGAACAAGTGTGCAAGTCGAGCGTCATCATCTGGACCGGAGGATGATTAAAAGTGCTAGGCTGGTGCAGAATAGAGGTGTTACAGGGCAGTGGGCGGCTAAGGGGCGGCTGGACGTCCAAATTTACGGGTGAAAGGCAGCCGTTTCTGGCCTCAAAAACGGTCAATTTCGGCGTTAATACCACAGGTCATCATATTCTAGTTGTAAATGTATAGCGAAAATTCATAACGAAATCATTAAATCGTGTCCAGACGCAACCAAATGGGAACATGACCAGTCAACAAAAGTAAACAAAAGAAATGAATATAAGAAATAGGAAAATAAGCAAGGGGCAGCGAGCAAGGCACACATATCTCGATTATTTGTGACCATTCTGACCATTCCCAATCTCCTTATCAGCCTTGGTCTCGAACTCATCCTCGTATGTGGCAATCGAAGCAGAGCTGCGCACACGCTGCAACTGGCTCTCTACGTATTGGTTAACATGTTCTTCGTCGCGCGGGTCGGCAGTACTCCCACGGCGGCTGCTTGCACGGCTAACCCCACGGCTGACTCCACGACTGGCGCTGGGATCGTCGTCGTCGAGCACAGTTGAGGCGGCGGGGGTTGCATCGCCTGAGTAGAAGTCGCTACGGTTGCCTATGGAACGGGTTGTCGATGAGCGGCGGACGGATGGACGGCCTGAGCCGCGGGGTCTGGCGGAGCGGGAGAAAATGTCATCGAAGTAGTGGGATGCTGCGGCGAAGGGAGAGCGGGGTGTTTGGGGGAGACGGCAGTTGACACCAGTATCGTGGATGATCTTGGCAATCAATCCGGTCCAGCCACACTGGTGCGATGTACCGAGACCGCGGCCGGTGTCGCCGTCGAAGAACTCGTGGAACCAGAGGTGATCCTTCCAGTGCTCGTCGAAGTCGAGTAGGTCTGAGCCGGCGTTGACGGCACGGCGGCCTTCATCGTTGCGAGCGAAGAGATGCTGCATACGGTGCTGCAGCTCTTCGGCTACGTGACCCAGGTGCATGTAGTCGCCTGAGCCCTTGGGACATTCGACTTGCAGGGAATCACCATAGAACATATGGAAGCGGAGGAGGGATTCGACCAACAAGAAGTTGACGCAGAGCCAGATCGGTCCGCGCCAGTTACTGTTACCGCCGAATAGGGAGCTATCTGAGTCTCCGGGGACATAGCCGACCTTGAAGGTTTGACCGTTGACGTCCATGGAGTAGGGGTTCTTCTCGTGGAACTTGGACATGGAGCGGATACCGTGCTTCGAGAGGAATTCAGTCTCGTCCAGCATGCGCTCTAGAATCTTGACCAGGCGCTCTTTACTGACGAGTGCCAGGAGGAGTCGGTCGTCTTTACCGCGGCGCTTCATACTGGCGATGTTGCGTTCGGCTACATCTGGCCTGTTCTCAATGAACCATTCCACTCGTCGCTTGAACGATGGGAACTTGTTGATGAGCTCTGGCTCAAGAGTGAGCACAGCGTATAGAGGAATCAGACCGACGAGAGACCTGATAGGCAGCTGCTGGGTCCACGGGCCACCGTATGAGATAGCATCGTAGTAGAAGTTGTCTTCCTCATTCCACAGCGACTGAACAGTGTCATCTCCATTGCGGAAAGTCATGGCATCACTGATGAGCAGGAAGTGCTCGAAGAACTTGGAAGCAATGTCTTCGTAAATGCGACGGTGCTTGGCTAATTCCAAGGAGATGTTCAGCATGCACAGACAGTAGAAGGCCATCCAGCCAGTGCTGTCTGCTTGCTCAAGAACACCACCGGTGGGCAATGGCTCAGAGCGGTTGAACAAACCGATATTATCCAGTCCCAAGAAGCCACCCTCGAAGACGTTCTTACCACCAGAGTCCTTGCGGTTGACCCACCAGGTGAAGTTGAGCAGCAGCTTCTGGAAGACACGTTCCAGGAAGTCCAGATCCTGGCGTCCGTACATCTTACGTTCGATCTTGAACGTACGGAACACAGCCCAAGCATGCACGGGCGGGTTCACATCTCCAAAGTTCCACTCGTAGGCGGGCAGCTGGCCGTTGGGGTGCATGTACCACTCACGGGTGAGAAGATCGAGTTGCTTCTTCGCGAAGTCGGGATCCATCATGGCCAATGGGATACAGTGGAAAGCAGTATCCCATGCAGCGAAGAACGGGTACTCCCAAGAGTCCGGCATCGACAAGATATCATCAATGTATAGATGGCGCCACTGCTCATTGCGAATGCCCTTTCGGCCCGGAGGAGGGGGGATTTCAGTCGGATCACCGTTGCTCCATTGGTCCCAGACAAAGTTGTAGTACTGCTTACACCACATCATTCCGGAGAAAGCTTGACGCTGGATGTTGCGGAGATCTTCGCTCATGGGAAGAGGGTTGATACGGTAGTAGAAGTCATCGGCCTCCGCACGACGTTGCTCGATCACATCGTCCAGAACTTCTTCGTCGACAAACTCTTCCTTCTTGCGGGAAACCCTGAAACGGACGACGGCACACTCACCGGGAGGAACTCCCTCACCTTCGTTGAAGGCATACCAGGCGGCAAACTTGGTACCCTCATTGGCCGGGTTGATAGCACCCTTCTCCTCCTCGACAATGTGACGATGAAATGCGTCCTTCACATACGGCGTCTCGTTCTCAGTACCCCAGAGCTTCTTGTGGTTCGTCTCGTTGTCAGTGAACAACATCTGAGGCTGAATATCGTCATCGCTAGATCCGACGGGAGGCGACGGAGCAAAGGAGATGTATCGCTCGCCAATCTTGTTGTGCTTAGACTTGGCATGCAAAGCGCCATCTTGCTTAATAGAAGGCTTCTCGTTCTTCTCATCACCCCAGGACCAGTTGTTCCGGAACCAAACATGAGGAACAATATGGAGCTTAGCCGGCTCCGGGCCACGGTTGTATGCAATGACACGGAAGATCAGTTCTTCCTCGTCGTCAGCCTCCTTGGCTGTCTCGATAAAGATATCCCAGTAACGGTCCTCTTCAAAGATACCCGTATCTAAGATCTGGTACTCGGGCTCCAAGCGCGAGCGTTTGGCATTCTCATCGATGAGGTCTTGGTATGGGAACTTTCTCTGGGGGTATTTGTAGAGGAATTTCATATACGAGTGCTATCCAGGTCAGCATGGGACACAGGAATCCGTGCGACTTGAACCTACAGTCGGGGTATTGTCCAGATGAAAATGGGCTTCCTTGACACTCTCCCCGTGGTTTCCCTGAGGGTTGGACAGGCCAAACAGGCGTTCCTTCAAGAAGTCGCTGATCCCCCAGTTAGTTTCTCCAGATCTGGACCCACCACGAGCTTGGACTTACTCTTCTCCATTCCAGAAAGCAAAGGCGATATTCTGCAGCGCATGGGTATCCGATACACCGGCGATTCCATCCTCGCCCCAGCGGAAAGTCCGCGAGCGCGCATGGTCGTGGGTGAAATCTTTCCGGTCAGCGGCCTTTCATCTCAATTGCGGACTTTACTCACAGCTCCAGGCATCACCATCCTCGGAATAATCCTCTCTCACTGTCGCCCACTGGCGCTCTGCCACGTAGGGACCCCATTTCTTCCAGTACTTGGTTCTTTCCCGGTCTTCCTTGAGCCGCTTCTCTTCCTCGGTGAGGAATTCATGTCCATCGATCAACACCATGGTGGATGGTTAACGACGGTAATTGAGAGAAAGCGACCTAACAAAAGACAAACTACAGAAAAATGGAGAAAAGTGGAAAAGCTAGAGGAAGTGGAAGAGAAGAACAGGGAATGGGGGAGGGGCAAACTACTCCGCCCACGAGCTGCCCAGAGGGTGGTGACAGCTCCACAAGGAAGAGCTTTGGGGAACTTTGACCAGGCGAAAAAACAGGAATGACGAAGTGGATGGTTTTGATAGGCCTGTGATTGGTCGAGCGGGAGGTCCATTGCATTCTGGGCTCGGGTCTGCAGCGGGTGTATGTGAGAATCCCGATAGTTACACTCTATACTCTATAGCATACTATTTAGTATGCTCTATAGTTAGTACAACATAATCATAGTTATAATACTATAACATCACATTCAACATAATGGCAATTACGCGCAATTACGCCTTAAGGCAACCTCCGAAAGAGGATACAGGGGTTCTCAAATGCAAATCAAAGCAACCAAAATCATCCCAAACCACGCCGACTGGAACCGCGTCTATCAGACGCGGCGCGGGTCCAATACTTGTCTCATGGATCCCTGACGCTATCCCAGCCTTGAAATCTATAAGGGGCCTGTGTAGGTGCATCAGACCGGATCAATTGTCTCCTCGCTGCTCAGGCTGCTCAGGCTGCTTGCTGGGTTCCTGGGACGCTGTTCACAGTCAGATCCCGCAGAACATCCTGCCGGCCATGGGGCTATACAGGATCAGGTCGAACGCTCACCGGCTGTCTGACCTTCCTCCCGGTGTCGGGAGCTGTTACCGGTCGCGCCCGCCTGCTGCGACTGAAGGCGCCTCTCCGCTTCGCGGATCCGCGCCTGCAGCTCTTCCAGTTCGCGGCTTTGGATCATCATTTGCTGCTTCCTGTGGGTGGGGCGCGATTAGCGCCAGGTATTCAATGTCGCTGAAGTCGCGACCGGAAGCTCAAGGGAGCGAACACGCGCGACTTACTTCTGGTCGATGGTTTGGGAGAGGTTGTTGACGTCCGAGTCAAGCATGAAAGCGCTGTCCAGCGCGGAGGAAAAGGCTTGTGCCATGGTCCTAGGTCACCGTTAGTGCCATGTTGAGAACCAGCGAGGGGTCGAGGGGTACGAACGACTGTGGCCGGACCTTGGGCTTCCACTCTCGATCCATCTCAGACATGATGTTTGATGTTCCTGTATGTTCCGCACAGAACGGGCCGCTATTTGGACCCCCGAGGATGTAAGATGATCGACCGAGGGGTGATGTGCAACCTTGAGGGGGGCACGAGGCGCGTTGAATAGGATATTAAGCCGATATGTCGAAACAAGGACCAGCCGAGAGTCGGGCGCACGGGTATACACTTGCGCTGGGAAAAAAAAGGTCAGTCTTTATAGTAACTAGGTATGCGCCACGATCGGGTGGGGAGGTAAATACCGGAGGTATAGAGACGGGGCGGAACGGCTCCAGTAGCGTGAAAATGGCGAGACGAGGTAAATTTGGAGTTGAAGCAGAGAAGAGGGGAGGATGAAGAAGGAGGAGATGAAGTCGAAGGAGAGATGATCCTTGAGCCCACCGACTATGTTACTAGTCGCGGTAATTCGAGTCCCATATCCACCGCAAGGAGACATGTAAGTGTTACGGTATTCGCCTTACACAGGGGTCTGATATACCATGAGGTATAAGGGGTTCAGGGGTTAGCCCCTCTTGAACTGGAGAAAAAGGGGGAGCCATTTACATGTAATGTAACGAATGTGATCCATTCATTTTATTAGAATTTATTTAAATCCTTAAAATGAATAATGTCCCCAAAGGGCTCTACTTTCCAGTCAAGGAGAGCAGTCCAAATTGCCTTGGCTGTCAAGCTGTTTCCAGGTATTGTAACTAGATGACCACGCACGTGACTCTGTGCGGATGACGTATGCCTAAGGCGACTGCCAAGACCATCTACATGTATCTGCTGCCTTTTTTTTTTTTTTTTTTCTTTGTTCCTCTTTGAATGCACTCTTCTCCTATTGATTGGCTAATGATCATACTGATATGACCCATTCTCAAGGGAGGCTCTGCGGTCAAGCTATCACTCTTCTAGATGCGTATCTTAGCTCAGGGTACTCTATCAATTTTACTACATCCACTGCCACGAGCAGGAATACAACACGTTTACTGAATACCAGATTGCTAGTGATAGATGGAATGACTATGTTACAGTAGGATGCAAGACTGAAAGTGCAAATGATCCACTCGATTATACCGCGGCTCTGACCATGTTAGATCTTGTTCCCTTACTGGCCAAAAGCGAGAAGTATATCAGCGCTTCTGGCTTAGCATTGAATCATTCCGACCTAAGTACCAGCAATATTTCGCTGTCTGCGCTGACGAGGTCACCCAGAACGAGAATCAGTACGTTTCATGAAATGGACCTGTGAGATTCGCGATTGTACGCCATATCTACAATTGCAAGCCTCAATTGGAGGTTTGTGAGAGATCGACGTCTCTGGCATTGTATTGCGGGATATCCGAAGGATCGGATGTATGTGTCCCGTAGGACCCAAGCACTGTGCCTGTCGAGAATGCTAAAGTCGAGTTAGCCATTTCGAGTAAAGTATCGTGTTTGAGTTTGTGAACCACCCGAAAGCAATGGTGAATGGTGTCCAATGGCTATAGGGTATTAGCCCGCCAGTTTAGATTTCATAAAGGAACTCTCAGGATTTGCTAGAACTGTAATGAATGTAAGAAAATAAATGTGAGTAGCAAGTATATAGAGAAAGAAGCAAGTATATAGAGAAAGACTGGATTTCTTGTGACTTAAATCACTGAACTGCATGTGAGGTGAACATGCCCTAATGCGGAGAGGTAAACGTGTTTGGTGGCTTGACGTGGCCAAGTGATTTGTCGACGGCCTATCAGAGGTTCGTAGAAAACAGCTCACCTCGTTTGCACAATATCAACCGCAATATTCAAAGAACTGAATCTATAGAGTGTAGATCTGGCATTCTGACGTCTGCTCGGCAACCAGCCTTGAAAGAGTCACCTGACTAACGTTCCCAGACCTTGGCCAACCTCCCCTTCCAGATCTCTCGCATTCCATTTCATCAAAGACTCACCGGTGGTTTTCATTTTTTAGGCCTGTTTTCCTATTTGAGACGCGTTTTCTTGCCGTATCCTGTTGTGGGTGCCATTTTTTGAATTTTTACTCCTTTTTTTTCCCCCTCCCGGATGGATTAAAGGCTCCGCATACAGGGGATCCAGTCTGTCGCGTTCGCCTTTCCTTTCCAGGCTACTCCTGATCTTGATACCTGCTCCGACCGAGGAACACCGGACATTCAACACCAAACACCTCCCCGTAACCCATTTCGCCGGCCACCGTGGCCCCAATCCCCAAAGCTCTCTCCCCCAGTGGCCGACCGGACGGGCAATGGGGGATGCCTCCTCTATCGGCATACACTTCATTTGAGTCGCTGCTCTTCTTCCAGTCGCTAGCGATCTCCGATTCCAAACCGACCAGCTTTGGGTCTATCTCAACACTCCTGCGCAACAACCCGTTAGTGCGCGAGAACGTAGAGTTCAATGCGGATCGCCTGACACCGGAGGCGCTGGAAGATCTGTATGCGACTTTGATGCGCGATGGATTCAATAAAGACGCCGTACTCCCAGTCAATGGTCGATCGACAGATACCTCCAGCCCTCCCAACCCGAAGAAGCGCAAGATCTCGAGTCCGCGACCAGAGGGATTAGTCGATGGGGTCACACATGCCATGCTTATTCCAGAATTAGTGGCACACCTATACGCTAAATACAGAGATCTCGTGACCAGAGAAATCAGGGACGATGAGAAGCAGTATACAGAGATCAGGGCGGAGCTCGAACGGCTACAGAAGGAGGATGACCAGCCCACAGAGGCGACGCTATCCAAGTCTGCAAAGGCAGCACGCACGGAGGCCACGGACGTTGATGTAAAGGAAGAAATACCTCGTCAAACCGTACAAGATCGGACAGACAAACCTCTAGCAGCGACAGTCCCACACGCACACGACAAGCCAGCTCCGCAGGAACCACAGCCACAGCGTATCGAAGTGAACGCGCCTCCTCCGAGTCAAGAAATTCCGAAGACACAACCAGCTCCTGTTGGCCAAACGCACCTTCAACCGCAAGCACAGACTTCTGCGCCCGAAGCCCCAGGGGCTGGACAACCACAACCGCCGGCCGCCAACATCCAACCGTTGGCAAAACCGCCTGTCCAGCCCCAGCTTGCTCCCTCTGCCCAGAAACCACCTACCACACCCGCCGCAGCACGTGTCACACCGGCTCATCCCTCGCAAATCGCACCCCGCGCCCATCCTACGCCTACACCCCTTCCCGGTAAGCTTGGGCCTGCGCTCCCGCCGGCCCCTCAGCGCACTCCGGCTCAGCCAAGCTTCCAGCAATGGCAGCTAGACCCTTCTCCCCATTCCACCTATCCCGCCATTTCTCCGGGTGCTGCTACTCCACAAGCAGCCCAAGCCAATATCAAACGACCTGTACCACCTCTCTCTACCAACCAACCAGCACTGGGGTCGCAAGCTCCCGTTCCATTCCAATCTCCTGTCCCAAATACACCTGGTGCTGCCTCCGCGGTCCAAACCCCTGTCCCAATTGGCCGGCCTCGCGTCTCTCAAACTCCAAGTTCCACATTCCCTTCATTTTCTGAATCGCGTGCTTCTCATCCACGACTGTCAATCGACACACAAGGTTCCTCAACGCCATGGAAAAGGACGCCTCGTTTGAGCATTCCAAAGTCCCCACCCTCACCCCCACGGCCACTACCAGAGGATGTTAGTCCGATCAGTGAAAGGGCACAATCGCCAATCGATGCGATGGACATGTCACCTCCCCCGAGGATGAATCGAGGTCAACGAGCCCGATCCCCCGAAGAAAGGAAACCTCGGCGTGGCCGTGCCGACAGCAAGTCTACTGCTAATGTCAAGACCGAGAAATCCGAGAAACCAGCTTCGACTCGAAGGACACGTGCCGTA